CGGCACGAGGGCACAAATCCTTTTGAGGTTTTTCATACCTCATTGGGGTCTACTTACTACCAAAAGATGGGATCTAAACTGCTTGAACACCTAAATATGTTCCCTCGTGAGTCACTATAGTATTGTTACTCAAAATGATGCCTCCTATTTTCATGAGGGCGTGAGGATGAGGGTGTCTGAGCCACTGTGTAGGTGAGTATATGTGTGGGTATGGCTGTGACGATCTTGATGGTGGATGTGTGGGTGTGAGATGAATACAGTATCCATATCTATATTCACACAGTCACCTTCACTCTTACCCAAACCCATAATTAACATCTATATTATCGCTCATACCGCACACGTAAATGTTTCGTCGTTCGATAAGTCAACAATTTTGCTTATTTACTGGAGAGGTTTTTTTCATACAGACGTATATTTCAACAGTAAGAATTGTCAGAGAATCACTGTAAACGGCTGGGATTTTTCCTTTTCTCTCACATTGTTTACGTATAAGGAATTGAAAACAATATTTGATCGCGTACAAGAGTGGTTTTTTTCTTTTACATTGAAAACTATATAAAGAGACTCACTTCAACGACAAATTTTGCTTATATTTTTTGTGATAAAAAATTCAGAACTTTCCATCAACACGCTAAATCTCCACAATGGCAAATATAAGATGTATTTCAACTGCTCTCTTCGTCAATTGACTAATCTTGATGATGTCTGTTCAATCTTCTTCAGGATCTCATGCATTCGTCATCATTTCATCTGAAGTCAGACTTGGCATCAAGCTTTCTTGGACGTCGTAGTATAAAATGTCAGCGTCACGTACTACCCGAAAATGATCATCATGGTTATATTTCATGGAAAGCAGCGACTCCTGAAGATCCCGACGAAAGAGAACTTGAAGAACGACATAGTAGCGAGAATGAGTCTTGAAACCCAAGAGAAGGACCTTATTCACCATTAATCTAAATTTACGTACTATGAGCATGTTCAAAACCGTTTTACTTACTAACTTATACCCGTAACTAGCTCATTATCCTTTTCTGATTTATCTATTAAGAAATTTAATAAAGATTTAATTACTACTGAAAGCCTACCATAGCATACAACTTCATTCGTGTTTTCACTTTTGAGGAGCAATTTTCATGACATGAAATATATTCTCAAATTATCTTCTGCCTATTTGTTATAAATAGGTTCTTGAATAATCTCTTATTGGTCATGATATTGACAGCTACGATGATGACTAAGGACGTGAGACTGTGGGTAGAGTGTGAGCGTGGACATGTGTTGGTGGGTATCGATGTGGATATGAATGAAGTTGAGCGTATCGTCCTCACCCACATTCTCAGCTTATTATAGCCGCTGCTCGAATCGGCAATCAAGGTGGAAAGATCATTTTTGTATTCAATAAAAACTGCTACTGAACTTTTGTTAAGAAATCTTTTCTCAAAGATAATCATATGAAAATATTTCTCCTCTTTACTACTGAATGCTTCAGCAAATCATATACTTGATAGTCAACAATGTATTCTTCCATTCAAATTCTGTTGTCTAATAAAAAGAATGCAAAAAGCAGTTTGTTTTGGCTAACTCTACGATGTTATATCAATGCGGATTTAATTGATACGTGTACGGTTCAGTATGAACAGAAATAAAGCTTGTGTAACACTGGGTTTTTATAACGTTGTCAAACCGACTCATCACGAATAGACACTGATTTTTCTTGTATTCTGATCTCTTCGAAACTCTGTAGCAACAACACACGCTTACTATGGTTCATCATGTGTGAATACAACAATCTCAATATCATCTTGTGCTGCATTTTATTCTTTCGATGCCAATGCACTCGATAGTGCTGGTAATCATTTGATGAAAGGAAATTTCCTATCAAGCTATACTTATCCGGATGGATCGGTTTAGCTATCAATTTCACATACAATGATTCACAGTTTCTTTCAACAACGTACATTCCATTCGGTTCACATTCATTTACAATTGGTTTTTGGTTTTATTCAGCAGGTCTAAACAGTACTTGGAATTTTTGCTTCAGTGGAGAATGTCCGTCATCGACGGTCAACACATGATTATTTCTCAACGTTTGCCATAAAAGACTTGTTCTAGGATTTTTCAGTGATGACGCTGTTGAAAAAACAACTATTACTAGCAGTCAATGGCATCATTTACAATAGGTGGTAAACCGATCGGCGGAGATGCACAGCCATTTGTTTATTATTTGGGCTAGACCGATCATTTTGGAATTACCTATCGATTGAATACACCATGTGAAATCTATTTAAATGCCATCCTTTTCTGTTATTTTCCATTTGATCCAACATCGTTTCTATCTGATTCTGGACCTAATTATCTGAGTGCAACTAATTCGAATGTAACACAAACAACTGGAAGAGTGAACCAAGGAGTACAATTCTCATCATCATCATCTTATATAACTATTAGTGGAGTTAATGTGTTGAATGCATTAAATAATCCATTCACAATCTCAATGTGGATTAAACCAATGAATCTTACTGGTGGTGGAACACTTATTCACACGTCAACACAATCTGATGGTTAACATTTTAGAAGTCTTTCTTTTGAAAGTTTCCAGTGCTTTGTTTATCTTTAGGTCTGGATAGCTGTTTTGCATCATGGGGTTTCTCTTCAAATGGTTCATTCATCGTGAACTTCCTCGATTCACTAGGCAATGCAATTCCAATGACACTCTCATCTTCGTTTCCGTTGAATCAATGGACACACGTTGTTCAAGTGTTCAACTCATCCAACGGAAACTACTTGTATATGAATGGAAATTTTATGTTTGAGTCGTCGCCAGTTATTTCAAATTCTTGCAAATCAGGATCGATTTCTATGAGTCAATTCTTTGGTGTTATTAATGAATTTTGTTTTTAGTCGAGCACTAACATTTGCCGTTTAGCAAATCCTTGAACTCCTCTGATGCTTTCTCTCCTCATTCACTACAAATAAACTGATTCGAAAGACTATACTTGTTGAAGTAAAACAATACAATTTGACCAAAAGCAACAAATAGCGTCACATTCATAAATCATTGTTTAGCTTTTTTAATCGATTTCTGATGGGTTCATTGTGGAGCGGAGTCAGAAAATAAAAAATGTGACATGTTTTTCGGACAAGGTTCTCCGACGACTTGATATTTTTCACAAATATCTCGAATGTCGTTTAATTCAGTTTGATTGAATTGAATTTGAGTTGAAAGAAGATTTTCTTCTAAATGGGCCAACTTGGTTGTACTTGGAATTGGAATGAAGTCTTCACCTTGCGCAAGGATCCAAGCTAAGGTTAACTGACTAAGACTGCAACCTTTCCTTGCACACAATTTCGTGAATTCGTCAGTTATTCGAATATTTTCCGTTAAATTCTCTGGAGAAAACCTTGGGAAATGTCTTCGGAAGTCATTTTTATCCAAGTCATCTAAACACCGAATATTTCCTCCAAGCAGTCCACGACTTAACGGCGAATAACAAACTATTGCCACCCCTAACCGTCGGCATGTTTGCAAAAGACTTCTTTGATCTTTCTCGATGTTCAGACTAAATGGTGAATATTCGATCTGTACACACGAAATTGGATGAATGGCATATGCGCGCTGAAGCGTTTCACTTGAACAGTTGGATAACCCAATGTGTTTGATTTTCCCGAGACCAATCAATTCTTTCATCGCATGGATCGTTTCTTCAATTGGAATTGACGTATCGATGCAATGAACATAATAAAGGTCGATAGAGTGCACGCGGAGACGTTTTAAACTTTTTTCACACGCTTCGTGAACGTATTGGGCATCGCCACGTGCAATATAAGATTTCGATTCGGACGAGTGAACAAGACCGAATTTTGTGGCGAGAAACACTTTTTCGCGTTGACTTGGATACTTTGAAAAATAATTTCCAAGCGAATCTTCGCTATCGCCATAAACATCGCCGCTATCGAAAAAACTACAACCAAGTTCGATTGCACGATGATAAATTTCAAATCGTTGGTCCTCTTTTCCATCGATGTTTGCCATAACAATTGCTCCACAACCGATACACGATACTTCAGGACCATTTTTTCCTAATCGACGTTGTCTAATTTTCAACATTTTGACCTACAAAGTACGCAAGGCACTGCTCGCAAATTTATCCTTATCTCGTGTAGCAAAAAAGTATAATAAAGCTTATATTCAAAATGATAAGTATAGTTAAATATCACCACTTTATCAAAGAACAAATTTCGCAATTCACGCAAAATGACACATCTCCAGATTAGCTTGAGTCGAATACTATTGGTTCTTTTATTAATGAATACAAAACGAAATTTATCTGACGAAATGAAAGTTAGCACCTAAACCGGGCGTTGAATTTACCAGTTTCAGGTTAAACACAAAGTCTCTGCATAGAAGTCGACGCGACAAACGAGTTGTCGTGCGATCAATACTCTTCCATTTTATTGTCGAATACTGACATCTACGAAGAAAATATACATGCGTAAAAAATATATGAGGATTTGAGTGAATCATGGTGAATGTAGTAGCCAACCAAGCGGTATAACGAGCGACGAAATAGCTCTGTTGATATAGGGGATAATCATACCGGACATGCGTATATCTGATTCTCTGTATTTTCAAAATTTTTTAAAGATCTTCGGAATTTTTTGTCGTCTCATATGTTTCATTATGTTTTCTACTTGATCATCTACATATATTTTTATTTAATTTGAAAAAAAAGAAGGAATGGATAAGGAAATGTCTTGATTATGTTAAAAGTGAATAATAAATGTCAAATACGACCGCAAGTCTATTTTTTCATGACTCGTTTCATTCTTTGTTTGTGTCTTGTTTGTGCATTGATCTTCGATGGGTTGAATGTGTTTGCCAATTTTGTAAATGTAGCAAACAAAGCCAAACCTTGAACTGGTACCATTGCAGCAAAGAATGCTGCAGTCAGAATAGCAATAGGTTGAAGACAGATATCTTCTTATTATTTATGTTATATACACATATGTACGATGATGATGAATGTTACTTACAAAGTCTTTCGGATACAAAACAGCAACAGTCGATTCAGTTGTCGAACCAGGTGACGTTGGAGCAGCTGTCGTTGGTGCTAAAAAGCAAACAAACCACATGAGACTCTGTGTACGAACAACAAGAACATTGGATGATACCAGCTGTCGTGGGTGGTGCCGTTGTTGGAGCTGTGGATGTTGTTGTTGGTGGACTGGTGGTTGTCACAACAATACCGGTCGTTGTTAACTATTTGGAATACATTCAGATACGATACAATGAAAAAAAGAGGAAGAGTCTTACGAGAGTGTTGATGCTTGTTGTCGATGTTTGTTTTGTTGTGACTGTGACAGTTGAAAAGGGTGTTGTCGTAGTTGTTGTTGTGGATGAGAGTGCAGGATTCCAGATGTTAAACACCCAGAAGGTCGGATCAGTGATGGGTGCAGATTCTGGACCTGGAAGAAGTGAGGAAAGAATGCATGCTTGTGCCATACTCTTAGTAGTATCACTTACCGCAAAACTCAGTTCCACTAGCCACACCTAAACATCAATACAAACAGAACATGAAAGAAAAGATCAAGAGAAACATACCACTGTCCATGTTGACATAGTAGAAAGCTCCAGGCTGCCATGGTGCAACAGGAAAACGAATGACAATGGTGAAACCCGTGTACGTGACTTCTGGTTCCCAGCCACAATCATATTTCTGAACAAGAGTGCCATTGGCAAAGTAAAAGTAGATATATGTGCCGTTACGAGTGGGACGATTGACTGAGATCGATGCTAAAAAATAGAAGAAAAGACCGTGCTGTTGTTTTCTTTGGTTCTTGCGTGGATAGATGTTACTTTGAATGGAGAATGTAGTTTGATTTTGAAAAACAGTGCCAATAGGTGAAGCTGAACCTTGCACCATCTTCGGTCGAATGACATCGGGTGATTTGAAACCAACCAAGAAAGTGATACACCATTGATTTGTTTGGATGTTCGTATTGTCGACTGCACCCATACAAACAGCTTGTGGACCATATTGACTGGCAACAGGAACCCAACTGAGAACGATTTCATAGATACCTGTCAATAATAAGCGAAATTAACGATGATGAAAACATCTGATATATTCACTGACCAGTGCTAGGATTTAAAATGGCACTTTTTGTCATGCCAACAGGTACACTAGAAACATAATCAACGATACTCTTGCCAGTACAATAAACTTGAATGATCACCAATTCAGTGACATTATCACCAACCAGTACACCAATGCAAGCTGAAGAAGACACAGATAAACAACATCTTTCGATGAAGTTCGAACTGCTTACCCCGATTTGGTCGACTACCAATGATAGCTGGTGGTGTACTGCAACCAGTGGGTGTTGGATAACCATAGAAAAGAAACTGAAGTGGCACCGAAGTCATCGGAGTGTTCGCTGACAATGCTGCAGCATTATAGAAATCTTCGATTTGCAATGCTGCGGCAACATACCAACTAGGTGTCACAAGTGTGAACACAATTGTACAGTTCGCTCCAATGAGATTGGCACCAGGTATGCCATTGCACACACCAGCACATTCATTATACTGATTGATGGTTGATGTTCCTCCAACGGACCATCGACATTGTAAGATGTCAGTGCCATCGAAATCAGACATTTGAACAACGTGTACATGTTGAACGTTAATCTGTTTGTAGAGAATGGGAAGACTGACAGCAACAGGACTTGTGTTGAGGTAGCCATCAGGTCGAAGGATGGTGCTGATTCGGCCGACAACAGCCCAACTTCCACCACCTCCGACAACAAGAGCAGCAAACCAAGCACTCGATGAAAAAGCGATACTGAATGTGATGTTGATTGGTATTGTGTATGTTTGATAGTATTCACCAGAAGCCACATCAAGAGGAGCACTGAAATCAGTGCAGTAAGTAGGGACAGGCATGCCTGTCCAATAACTACCACATGTACCAGATACACAGTTGAGGGTGTTTGAATCACCGATCTTGGGAGTTTGTGCAGCAATGGTAGCAGGAGAACAATTGGGAGAGTATGCACTTCGACGCCATGACCATCGTTCTCGCACAATAACATCGATCGAAGTGCCTGATGCAGTATTGTTGAAAGGACGGCTAGAAAAGATGAAGATAGAGTGAAACTACAGTGACGGTGAGTACTAACGATGTGATTGTTCCACCACGAAAATGAGATGAATCGATGGTAGATAAATGCAAAAGTATGCAAGAGAAAAGAAATCTGTGCATTTGCACTGTTCACGAAGTGTTGAAAACAAAAAAATGAAACAGTTTCGGCACTGCAGATTGTTTTTATACACTCCTGTTGCTAATTGAGGGGAACAGTGAGAAAGTAAAACTATCCACCTTTTAGAACAAATATTATTAACGCAGAATCGCAAATTATGCTGTTGCTATAATAGAAAACAATTCAACGCGCATAGTTGGCATGTACGTATTTTGTTTAGAGAAGAGAAAATAATGCATTCAAACAATTTGTCTCCATTAGTTCGCTGAAGAAAATATTGAAAAAGTACATTTCGAACGCCGAAGTATTTGTTCTTGAAGCATGAAATCATGTATTCAGAAATGTTTGCTTTGCAAGCTACGATGATGGACAGATTAAAATGTAGAGTAATAATAACAAGCAATTTCTCCGTTTTATCTCAGTATGTATGCTGTTAAGCATAACTGACAAAAGAATCGTAACGAGACTCGCCAATCTGAGCCATTCGTGTCCATTCAAGAACGATCTATAACGATATACTATGCGACTATTTTCTTCATTATTCCTTTTACAATTGTAGTTCACATTCCAATGTGGAAATTAGCAAGGATCGCAAATAAAAATCGCAGCAAGAACTATTATCGAAATGAATTTTCCCATCCTTATCCTCATTCGCAACTCAAACTCTCAACGATCAGTTTTGTTCGAAAGTAATATAGAATAGTTCCAATCATTGAAACTGTTCTAGGCGTACTAAAACGTCGTCTTTCGATGTATTTTAGAGAAATCACAACTGAATATTTTCCCTCGAAACGGGTAACTGATAGGAAAATTATCTGAACGAAAGTATTTCTAATATTTGAGAAACTTTCAAAGTAGAACTTTCTGATTGAAATCTACTAGACTGAAGAAAGTACATGTCTCTAACGTTGGCTGTTTAACATCGCATAAACTGTCTATTTCGCTTTTTATCAAAACCTTTTAAATACGACGGACACAATCGGTCGGATAGATTGTCTATGCACGCCACACTTCCTATTGGTTTGTCTGTTTCGTCTAGTTGACAATGTGGAAATATGTCGAAGAGGCGATGACAAGATATTTGAAAGGCGCTTCTACATTAATAAAGTTGTTAGTGAATATTCTCATTATGATGGCAGTCGGAGAAAATGTTCGCTAGTCTGTTGCTATTGTCCTAATACCGGGTTTTAATCCGTAGCTATTGCTTTTGAGATTGTCAACTGTGAATGCACAATTCCTATAGCATTGATAATCATCGATCATGTTCGATAAATATCGAACGCCTCACGACCCTATACTATATATCGATGTATAGTAACAAAGCGCTCAACGTATAAGGGAATTGAGCGAGCAAGATGTTGTACAATAACTGAACGAAAGTGTAAGCTATTGATGGTGACAGAAAGAAGAGAGTGTTTCATTTTGAATATGAGATCGAAGCATTTTGTAGATTATCACAAAATCAAGCAAATCGCTTTCCATCTTTTCGGCAGGATGTACTCGAAACATCAACTAATTCATAGAGGTACGATATTTCTGTATAAAAAACTATGTAACGCTGGTATTCCCCCGATATTCCTATCTAAGAAGCGTATACTCGTTTTCTTTGCTGGACATCTGCAATCAAATCTGTAGGAATGAGCAGTTTTATCAGTTCTTCATGTCAAATGATTCTTGATGATGTGGATCTGACGTGGAGCACGAAAGCTCGAATAATTTCTTTCATTTCTGTAAGAAATAAAATGTTCTTCTCAGCAATTACTGTCATGTTATTTCCATTCAAATGATAGCTGAGCATGATTGTATGTGCGAATATACTTTTCTAATTTTATTTTTATTTAGTGATATGAAAATAAAAAATTTGTTCGACTTCGATTCGAACAACATTTTTCAATTCGTATCGATGATTTCAGCTAAAATATCGCCATGACATGCTTCTGGTTTACACCAACAAGCAATCGTACGGCCACGAAGTTCCCGTTTCGCACGTTCCAGCAGCTCTGGTTGAGTCATGATCCATTCACGATACTTTTGAAGGCGTTCTGATTTGTCACCATCTCGACCAATTTTGAAAGGATTACCCCAGATCGAAGGTCGACCAATGTACACGTCGTAATTCGATTTTTTACAATGCACAACATGTGTTTTTCTTGCGTTTGTCAAATTGACATTCGCTGGTTCGGGTGCAACAGTAAAAGTAGTAGATTTCGTTGAAGAATCAGGGAGAGGAGTAGGTTTGGATTTGTTGTGACGAATTTTCAGCTTTCGTCCATTTAGTGAATTTCCATTGAGTGTCAATGCCATTTCATATGCCGACAAATCATCGAATTCTATGAAACCAAAGCCACGGTTCCGACGCGTGTGATTGTCATAAATGATGCGCGCTACTTTAACATGGCCACATGCTTTCTCGAAGAACGAATGAAGTTCCTGTTCATTTGTATCATAAGAAATATTTGATACAAAAATCGACCATTGATTTTCATCTTTTGAATAAACGTTAGTTGCCATGTAAATATAATGATTGAATTGACACATTCTACTGCAATAACTACACCGTTTTTTTTTACAAGACTTGTGCAATAACATAATTGCATTTCTATTTCTGTGTTTTTTATGCTGTCAGGCGTTACAGATCTACTGAGTCACAAATAAACAGAGTAAGAGTGAAAGCTCATGTTTCGATATGATTGAAAACGAAGACACATTTTCATTGTTTTTTTCACTCTTATGAAAACAATTTGTCTTTATTCGTTTTTGTATAGACCAATGCGAAGGATGGCGCTATAAGACTGTTCAACTTTATTTAAAAAAATAGTTTATCGACAAAATGCGGAAAAAATACTTCAATTCTTGTCTCTAACTCTTCACTCGAACTGATTCAATGTCATAGTCAGGTTTTGGAGTGGCCGGCTGATTTGTCTTTAAACCTCTCCGAACAAGATAAACGTGATACCGCACGAGTCGATATAACATTTCTAGAACTTCCACTAACGATAGAAAACTAATTCCAATCCACAAACCCGTTTGTCCTCCGACATTTGAAATGACATCGACTAATCCAAGTGTGGCTACTTCTGTATAGTTCTCGACCAGAGTCGATTCACCTGATACCGCTAACGAAACATAACTTGCGTGAATATGTTCTCGCCAATTAGTCGACCAATCACTGGCCAAAGGAAGCGATGAGTTCTCGACAAATGCTTTAATATCGCCTATAATCCATTCCGGTGGTGTCGTCATTATGGATGATTTCACAATAAAATTTGTGATTGAACATTGTTGTGAACAACCAGAACAATACTTTTCCTGAATAGATGGTGTTGCATCAAAATTATTCATTGCTATTGCAAAGCAAGAATCGGTCGAATTACACAAAGGTGCCACAATGATTTGATTCGAGCCTGGTAAAACTATAGATCGAGCATTCCACTGGCCAGGAAAGACACATCCGCATTGCTCGTAACTAGAAAATCATTTTTTGTCTAATCAATATGCACATAAGGAAATATTCAAAACTCACATATACGCTTGCGCACACAGGATATAACAAATATCTTCTGAATAACTATAATCGGCTCCTTCGTATTGATCGAACATGATTTTCATCGCCAGAGGTATTTCATTGGTACACGACGAGTAAGGTGATGGTAAAGAATATACCGTTTTCTTGGTGAATGTCATCTGATGTTTAAAACCAGGAGCTAAAGTCATTCCAGCTCGTTCGATCAGCGGTAATTGTTTATTGTCATGTACCATTGCCGTCATACCAACACCTGAATACATTTAAATCTAAAACATATTTCATATCTCATAATCCTTACCTTCTGTTAAGTAGGATACATATAGATGATCGTATAGATAGAGACGCAATGTTAGTGTAGTTACATCGCTACTCATGTAATTATAATACAAACTGTTGTTTTTAGTTTTGGCGTTGAATGTATAACATCGTCCATAAGCTGATGAATAAAACGATATAAAATCTTCAGCTGAACATCGAGCTTGACCGAATTGACAGTCCATCATAAGTGCATCCAACGAAAACATATATGGATCTAAGGATACACCTTGGTTGAGAAGAATCGGTAAATAAATTTTGATAATATTAGCTTGATTCGAAGAGAAAGCGCTTGTACTAGTTGGAGATGTTAAGTTTATACTATTGGTATAATTCAAAAGTAGTTGTTGAAACGTATCGTATCGAAGAGCACCGGCGTTGCAAAAAGTTAAAGCGGGAAAATATTGTTGCCGATCACTGACAATACTCACGGATGTTTGTGTTGGATACTGAAAGTACGCGAGGATCGCTTGAATAACGAAGAAGAACATAATACCAGCGAATATTAGAAATGCAACCGTCCAGAAGATTCGATTTTGTACACTTTCACTTCGAGCAATACCTGGAACGCCATGCATCGATGTGTTTAGGCTAAACTCTCGAATGATTGAACGACGTCGTGCAAGTTTTTTCTTTTGTTCAATCTTTGGATTCACTGGAAATGTGTTAATCGCTCGAATAATAAACTCTCCTTTGGATTCCATTGTATCACGTACTATTCATGAAATGTGAGTGTAAAACCGTTGTATTTATCGAATGTATCAAAAACAAAGTTCGTTCTCGGACGTACTAGTGTAATAGTTACAATAGTTGTTGAATACTTACAAGAGAGTGGTTCTATTCATTGCGTTTGAATACGTTAATCGAGAGTGATTCATTTCACAGAAGAAACACTTATCGGGGCAAGGATATGAATTGACTCATATGGTAAACAGTGCTAAGAATATGTTTGTTAACATGAGAGTAGATTATTCATTCTGAAGGAACTGAAAATAGAAACGAATGCGAAGGATTTATTTATTCTATTGGATTAAGTCTTTTCATAATCTCAAAGGAATTGAGATGTCCACTTCTCTATTTGAATTATTCTATGTGTAGAAGCGTTCTTTGGCATCTCAAGTTTGTACTTATTTTCCAACTGTGGAGATTGAATACAGATAAAACTGTCATTTTTTCTTCAAATGCAATCTGCTACTTGAGTTTGTACATAAAATGAAAATAACCTTATGTTTTTTCTAGTTACTCCTTACCATGAATTGTTTATTGACATTTATCACATGAAGTCTATTCAAAATATAGTCACATCGGCTGATTCGTCTGTCCTCGCCTGCGACAGTTGACATTGTTGAATGGCTTTTTATAATATTTGCACTCAAATTTCGTTTCTACTCTTTTGCATTGTGATGGAAGTGTCAATGACTTTTTTTATGTTCTAAAAGGGCATTTATATTAACTGTGCACTTAAATTTGTTTTGAAGTGGGGCGAGCTTTTTCTTCATCTATTGAAAGAGAAATTCACGTTGAAGGTATGATGAATAAATGTAACTACGTACCAGCTAATCATAGTCGAAACAAGAACTGGATTTTGTTTAAATATGAATGATACATGATGAAATTTTATCTGATGATTCGTCTTCTCAACGCTGACGCAACTAATCTGATGAGAAAACTTTGTTTTTTTTTCTGGATGAGTGAAGTGTCTTACTCAGTGACGTTTGAAAGAACAAGAAAACGTAATTAATTCTTTTTGTTGAAAAGAAAAACAATAATAAGAGAATGGCATCTGTCGGAATATTATATAAAGCAAGTGAAACTCATCAATCAATCACACACAATTTCTTAGCAAAACATTTCATACTTCTTCAGTAGAATTCTATTATGGCCGTTCGATATCCTAACGCATTTCAAGTAAATCGTGGTACTGATAATTCAATCCTCACTTATACAGACGTTAATTTAGACGCCATCAAGAAATGTCAATGCTAACAGAAACCATACTTTATCGGAATTGAGCACATATGGGTAAGTGCGAAGTCAATCTATTCCAATTAAGAATATCATTTGATAATAGAGCCGTCAAAACAACATCCGCAGCAAAGATCATTGTAGTTGTTGTGTTCACAGTCGTTGTTGTAACTTTGCTTGCTGCTGCGATTACAGTACCATTAGTATTGGCACTAACCAACACAGGTCCTTTTGCAACAACTAAATCAAGTGGCACGACTACCACCGCAGTCACGACTACAACAGTAGTCACAACTGGTAGGATATTTTTCCATTCAAACTGTATATATTTTCGAAACGAACGTTTCAGCTTCGACAACAACTAATTCATTTTCTGAATGTTCTTCGTACACAAACATCTCTGATGCAACACGGTTAACAACAGCTTCCGGTGGTAGTGCATGCGATTCATCAATATTTTCTTCAAGCACAACATGGGTTCGATTTACTGGATCAGGCGGAACGCAACTTGCCACGACTGCTCCGTCTGCAAATCAGTGTGGTACGCAAGCAAGTGGTTGGTATTCCAGTTCGTTACCATCATCAGGGTCATCTATTAATGGAACAGCGTGCTATGTGTGGGGTTCTAACAATTGTAATTGGTCAAATGCAGTAAGAGTGACCAATTGTGGCTCATTCTATGTATTTGGTCTCGTTACTCCACCCGTTTGCAACGCTCGATATTGCACTGTATGAGCATAAATAGTGAATTTTAATCGATTTTCTATTATCTACTGATTTGTCGTTTTCTCACTTTTATTCAGAATAAAACTTTTCATTTTCATGCCAGTGTGAATATTTATTTACTTTGAATTCTTTCTCAAATTGTCCGAATGTAAATAAAGGCGAGATTATAGCTATCATGCTTTCAAAAATGTGATTTTATGTTTGTTTCTCCATCGAAGATAGCATGCTGCAAAGAAAACAATCCATTAAATTTGCACTCTATTCTTACAAAACTTTAGTTAAACGACAAAGTAAATAAAAGAACTGCCAGAATGTTTCAGTTTTATTTATATGCACTGAGAAAAAAACACTTTTGGTAAATCGTTGTGCGATATCATTCGCGAAAATTTGTTGACAGTCATTTAAATTCAGTTGATTATAAAATGAAGACACTTTATTAGGAAAAGTAAATCACTGACGATCGACTAGCTTGAGACTATCTATTTATTTTTGAAAGGAGAGTTAGATTTTAATGAAACTTTCGACGCAGTTTAGTCCTATCAATATTTGAATCGAGTTTGCATACGAGTCTGATCAAATGAATTATTCCTGAGCTATTGAAAATCTATACGCAGATATTTCCTCATGACTTCTCCATTCGTTCTCTCTCTCATACATTTCCTACTATACAAATAACTTTCGAATGAAATCTGAAGTTATCGCATTGGTTAATCCGTACACTGGGCTACGAGTGGAATTTGTCAATGGAAACAAAGAGAAGCAGAAAAAAAGTAACTGTTTAATTTCAGTCTAAACACCACCTAAAATCCGAGATTCCGCACATTGAAGTGAATCCTCTATGTCGTGTTGTCAAGGAATTGACAGACAGTAACCCTCGTGTTCGGAAAGTCTCGACGAGTAACGTATAGTGCCTTATAACGATTACATAGAAAACGAGACGCTAACAATATGATCTATGATGGTTGTCTCTTTGAAAGTATTTTGATATGAATTCGATGACAAGACAAAGATAAGTATTGAGTGCATGTGAATAGAATGAGATAAACACAAACATATAGCCATTTATAACTCGATAAATCGGTACATTCTGATAGTGAAAAAATAGTCAAATGTGATATCCACAGAAAAATAAAATTAAAGAATTATTGACAAGTAGTTTATGTTTATTTCATTGTTCACGAAAATGTAGTCTGTACATTCGCTGTTTCCAAAGCTTCTGCTCGTCGTCAAGCAGTTACAGTGATGAAGAATAAGAAGTGATACGTACCAAAATTGCTAATCTATCGTGTTTACCTCGAAGACGACGTGCTTAGGAATGACCTCTAGTGAAGTGTATGGCTCAATGGAGTCGCTAAGATTGTATTATAGTAGTAGCTTTTCGGCATATTTGTTGAAACTGCGTGCTTTCTTGAAAAAAGTTGAAGTGTCAGCTAACTCTGAACTTTCTTATGGAACGGAAGAATATATCAAGAATTGAACGATTACCTGAGTTTTACTCAATTGAATAAGTTATAAAGATTAATCGAGAGAACCTGTTCGGAAGTGTTTATTTTGAAAAACAAAGAAGTTAATTTCTCTTCAAATATATACGTTTATTATTCTACAACGTTGTCAACATTCTGCACTTCTAAGTCCCGGACTCTGCGATATCGTAGCTTTGATACCTTTCACAGCCGGTTCGCTAAAATTAAGACTGTCAGCGAATATATTCAATGATAAGTCTCTAAAAATCGATTGAGTACTGTTTGTCCACCTGGGTCAGCTGAATTGAAAGATATCAGGCAAACTGCCTTCTTATGACTTAGTTTAATAAATCCTACTTGACATGTACACGAAATCACGAAAAACAACACTTCGCCAGTACGTGGGTGTAAATACGGTAAGGTCATATCGCATGTCTCACTGTGCCTGATACCCATAGCAATATCAATATCCAATCAACCCATCTTTTCCGTGTGAAAATTCTGTGTCTGCTAGCTGAAGCACAACTTTGTCAACTTTTCGTAGGATCATTGCGTGGATATAGTGGTCGTTTGTAGTCGTCACGCGATTATGAAGGTGATTCGTAATTATGTTCGTCAGTGAATTCATCGTCATAGTCTAAAACAACGCGCTGTCCCGAACGTTTTCGAAATAAAAAAGCCACTATAATTTGTTCCAAGACCACTTTGACAAGTTCCAGTTAAAGAACTGATCTGCGGGGCGTTACGACCAATCACTATGCAGTTATAAAAGAAATCTAATGATAAACAGGTCTCCGAGGAAATAACAAACGGGGTATTTGATTGGAAAAAATCGATGCCATAACCCAATACAATGAGTTCAGCAGCTGTGAATAGTTGTCCATACGTAATCTGAAAAATTGATTGTTAGCAACAAGCTGTTCCAAGATCATGGTGATTCATCGCCTTCAGTAGATGAAAAAATGGGAATATTTGGCTTCAAACTGATAAATTGACTTGTCAGAACTAAAAGAAATGTGACTATCGGAAGACAATGACTATGACGAGTATATTGAGTAGTGGGATATCGAATTCGATCGTATGATGGTTGATTGTTGTCGGCTTTGTTAGACTTGCGCACATCAGAGCTAGAACAAGTGTAAATACTTGCGTCGTAGCTTTGATTTCAAATGTCATTCTTTCTGTTCTTTTTTTCATTGTAAAAACCAATCAAAAATCGCACTTACGTCAGCAGTTTTTTTTATCTGAGCGATGGCATCGGTGATAATGAGTCCTGCAATCTTTTTGCTTCTTCAAAAATGGTATTCAGACTACCAACGACGATGTCCGTAGGTAAATCCTTGTTTGCAGTGCCAGCTGAACTCATCTTCAGGGAAAACAACAACTTGACCAGTGACAATGGCATTCTGGATGAATTGAACATCGTTTTTTTGGATAAAACTCCCTTGGGATTTATCCTGAACGACATAAACGAGAAAGATCGCTGTTTAAAATTATCGAAAAACGATTCATATGAATAGAATGCTCGAATAACAGGCGAAAGAGGCAAATGATAAACTCTCGTTTTTCCCTAGTAAAAGTCATAAATCTCTGTAAACAAATACAAAAGATTGTTCGCCCACTAGAATTTCGATTAGATTTCATCACAGTGAAATGTACTGGGTACAAAATCCATGTACTTTAGCGAGTAGTACTCGTCTATCATCTCAGCTGGTGTGCGATTATATACTCGGTAACATGAAAACTTTTTACAACATGGAATTACTTTATTAAAGAAGAAGATGAAATTCAAAGTGAAATATGGGAATCGAGCAGAGAATGCGCTAAACAGTAAAAAATTTTTCAACTATTTCTTTTTGTTTGCATGACGTTGACTCAAAACATCAAAAATAAGATTGATACAAGGAATGTTGAAATAGTCTTTGAGTCGATCATCAATACCAAGAAAATCGAGAACAGAAGGACCAGTCAATTGTTTCATAATAAAACCGCTATCGAAACAACCATGAATAAAAGACAATCCACTATGACAATCGCCATTTGTACACGAACGAAATGTTAAATTTGCATCTGCGCAATCGTTTGCATCGAAGATATAATTCTGACAAGCATAAAGATCACAGGTGGTGTTTCGCCAACTGCTAACATTGTGAATATTGTATTGAACAGTTAAATTATCACATTCACCACCATCGTAGGTATCACAACCGTGAATATAAGTTGTGCTGTTTCGACATTGATTACCATGACATGCATGGTTACGAATGGTCGTGGTCACGCAAGCGGTATCTTGAAGTTTTTGATTGGTATGATGTCGATGTATAGATGTTCCGTTCATGAAGGTGACCATGAGGAACATAAAGCCCAGGATATAGATAAATTGTGTGATTTTCTCCATTGTTGTTTGGAAGATGTGAAAGAAGGTTTGTGTCTTGACTTTATATAGTCGTTGGTTAACAAACAAAACAGGCCTTAAAAAAGAATGAGAAAAGAGATAAAAAATCTTTTTTTCTGTTGACAAGATACTATTCATGTGACTGTTTGCTGGTTTTTTATCTAAGTTTCAAAGTATTTCAATGTCCTTTTTTCCTTTAGTAGAATATTTCGATCAACTTCAGGTTAATTTTCATGGTAAGTAGATCAAATTTATAGCCTTTGGTTGACACAAAAGTAGACGAGTTTGACGTCATTGAAGGTGAAAGCAAATATGAAGACGAACATTTAGAAAATGACTTTGGATTGTAAGAAGATAGTCTGTACCTTCTTCTTGTTTATCTTGAATATTGACAATAACTTGATGAACATATATTATAACAGTTCGAATGTTGTCCATTCTTTTGTCAGTGCCTAAAGAAATACTCATTTACTACAACAAAATCAGACATTATCATTATATTTGAACGTCTCTCGAGTGGTTTCAAGTACCACTCATCTGTCTGTTTTATTGAATCAATACGAGAACACGTCATATTCTTTAATGGTGCACATTGTAAAATCAATTTCTTTGATTTCCGGCGCCTTGTTACTAAATACGTTATCATATACCTTGGAACTGAATGAACTTATCGATACTTGAAGTGACACTCTCGAAAAGAAGCTGCAGACGGTGACATTAATCTGTAAAATTATGAAAAATGGAAAAATCATTCAAAATAGTTAGCATCTGTAAAATCAAACAGCAACAAAAGCGATTAACATTGACCTTCTGTTCGTTTATTCTCAAGATAGATGACGTCAATCATTTTTTATGTTAGCAGTCACGTGAGTGATCTTGAAAACCAGGTGTTATTCTCTCATTAAATCTAGTTTTGTAAAAGCTTTATGACTAATAGGTAAATTGACAACACATTTTTGTGCCATTTCAATTTGTTTGATTGGACTCAAAGATTTCCTGAAGAGGAACTGAGCCTCACTTCGTGATTTCCCGGCTTCATCATTGAGATATAAACTGGAGAATATCGAGTGTGCGAAACTATTTGATCTATTGATAAGCGGAGATAAGAATGAATAGGTTGAAGAGAAAAAACAGGCAACGATCGTTTGAACTATGATCTTGATCTTTTACAAAGTCGAAAAAGCGATTGTTTGAAAGTACTCCGATACGAAGTCGAAGGAAGGACAAAGACAACAAATATGAGTATCGATGGTGTGAACGATATGAAATAAGCAGAAATATACAGCCATGCATAACGAGAAACATCTGTGCATCCAGATAGCAAGGAAATGACAAGGCGTGGTGTTGATAGAAGAAGTAACAGTAGAGGACTGATAACAAGTTGTTTATGTTCACTCCATTGTTCACGAAGATGTTTTCGATACGGTTGTCGATTCTGAGCTTCAGCCCGTCGGCGAGCACTTGCAATAATGATGAATACTGAAGAGAAGAGGTTTGTAAGAAATGGACCAAGAAGATGAATGAACAGGATGATGGTGTTGTAATTTTGAACTGATTGTGGATATGTAGTTACACACCAGACATAACTATGTGTCACAATTTCCGTTTTAAGAATTATCCCTACGTCGTTTTTTGTTTTTTCCATTGTTTCATGATTGGATATTTGACGGTATATTGGTTCATGAACCAGCGAGCCCATGATCAAGACTGGCAAGGCGAAGATGATCCATCGAGCGAAACGTTTACTTTTCTCCTTATCAAAACGCACTCCTTTGTAAACACTCGCTGAGCGTTCTACTGCCGCACATGCACTGAGCCAAGCATCCCAGTAGAAGAACAATTTCAGAAGACATTCAATCGACTTACAACCAGCTTGAAGAACAGACTGACGAACAAATGGACTCATTTGTGTACCGACAACGAACCAAAACTTGATTGTGAACATAGTGATTGTGAGAAAAGAAGTAACTGATGATGTCAGAAAATATAATCCACATCCGACTGTTCGTGACTTTTGGTTTTGGAATGTCAAAAATGTACAGAGACTACTAACGACGCTCACAATGAGCATGACCACTGTCAAAACACCGCTGATTTTGATAGAAAGTCGTTGATCATGAATGCTCATATTTCGATTGACTTCCAGTCGAAGAATATCATCGAGAGTGAGACCAATGCCTTTGACTTGAGTGTTACATAGACCACCAACATAGCAGTAAGTGGAGTTGTCAACTAAACAAATCGTTAAAAGTGAAACAGTTGCACAGTTTCTGATGAAATAAGTTTCATTTTTTTTCTTGAATAATCTTCGAGCATTCTCGTAACATGTCACGTATGAATATTGCCTTATTAAATCTCATTTTGTGTCTATTTAGTATTGATACTTACTAAAGCGTTGAAGAGTAAAATTTGTTGGGCCGTACAAGGCAATTGAGAAGGCTTGTGTTGTCAATGGTTGATTAGTTGTTACAACTAATATATATGTGATGTGAGATTGAAGCTTATATGTTTCTGCGACTTCATGGTTCCAAAAATCACAAAAATAGATCGTCTCCATGAACAAAAGTAAATTTTGGCGTGGATCCAATGGATTGAAATGATTTTTGTAGAAATACATGTGTTCTTTTTGATGCTTAATAGTAGAGAAAACATAATATCCATCGGTGGATACAGTCAGTCGTAGAGTTTCATAGTAAAAATATGAACGATCGCAAAGATTGTTATATACTTGGCTGTCTGTTGTTAGTTCCGACGAATACTTCAAGTAAGTGGCTAACGATGCATCTATTTAGAAAAAGAATCATCTTTTCATCTGATGGGCAATTCACTTTAGATATTCTTCCTGATTGGTGTTTTTCTACTACTGTTTCTAAAGATTATAGGCATCACTCACTTGTACGTCGAAGACTGACACTGCTTCTGCCAAATATTCTTATTGAAAAGCCCCATGTCATGTTTGGGGTACATGTTGTCACAACCAATATATATCGAATGTTACTGAAAAGTTCAACAATCATGTCGAGGGTCTCCAAGGGGACACAGGTCGACCATCCTTTGTATCGATATCCCTCGGGAATTAATGCATAAAAACGATGTTCATATATGACCATTGACATACCCACTTTCATACTGTTGCTGATTGGGATAGCATAAAAGCCACTCTCATTCACATTCATTTCTATGGCTTCATAGTACCGATCAGCAGTTGGGATACAAGAAGTGGAAGAATATTGTTCATGATTTCTTGTCAGTGTAGATATGTACGTCGATATTATTGTTTGTTCAGTACGTATGCGACGCACAAATGATCATGAACTGGCCTCGATAATTTGTGTGCTCAATATATATATATGAAATGAATGTATTGACGCAGAACACAAAAAAAAGTGAAAATTTTAGTATGACCTAATGTGAAATGTAGAAGAAAATCTGAATCGTAGTCATCATGGTCAGATCTGTCTCTTTTGCACATTTCTGTAATCAATTCGATCAAGTAATGCTCTCCATTTATGAAGCGAATATTCTCTTCAGCAGTGTACATTACTCACTAATGCGTTCAAAACGAACCGGATATGAACCGAATACAGTGACTAAAAACGGGCCTGTATCATATGGATTGTATGTCGTTACAACTAGAATATATTGCGTGCCGACAAGAAGTTCAATTGTGAAGTTGAACTGATCTTTGTTACAACATTTGCCATACCAGGCAATTAGATTCTTTGTAGGATCCACGGGATAGAAATGATCTTTGTATATATGACCATAGAGATCGATACTACTGTTGGCAGTGATAACGTAAAAGTCATTTTTATCGACAACTACTTTTATCGCTTCAAGATGGTAATATATATGATAGAATCTAGTGCGTGAAAATTTTGTATGATTTCGTGTTAACATCGATGAATATGTCACTTGGGTCGTGACTGGAACATTTTCTAAATGAGACAATGGAACAAATGCAGGATAATGAAAACTAGCAATACTTACGACATGAATCTATCTGTAAATCAAATTTTTGAAATCGTTGATTGGCCGCATCATAAACAAATATGTTCTTACGGACATCAAAACTAATCGCCTTCGGATAATATAATTGATGAGGTTGTTTACCCATTCCATCACAACCGAGCAAACATCGAAAACCATTTGGTCCTGACGCAACGATGCGACCGTTTGCATAGTCCGAAATGAATAGATATTTGTCAGCATCTAAGGCAATTGAGTGTGGTCGCTTGAGTACAATTGTGATATCTGATGAACTTTGTCCTGCCACTGTTTTTCCAATATATTTCCCCGACGAGAATAATTGTACTCTGCTATTCCACGTATCTGCCACGTATAAATCCAAATTTGTATCAACAAAGATTCCTGAAGGACCGTACAGTCTATCAGGAGTTGATCCAGCGATGTTCGTAATACCAGCCATAATCATCATCGGCGTTTTCCCATTTATTGATGTCCTCACAACTACAGCCAGATCATAGAATGAACAATATAAATGATTCTCGATGTCGATGAAAATGTCTCGACAAGGTTGTTGAAAGTGCGTAATGTTCACAAATGTACTTGTACTTGCCATCCATTTAATAATTTTGCCATCAGAAAAACTAATATAAATTTCACCGGTATTGGGAACAAATATAGAAAAAATGAGCGACCAATCGTCTCTTCCGATTGTCCTTGGATAAGTGGTGTTCTCGTGCCAAATCAGAATTTGTTTTCTTTGAGAAACAGTAATATAAATCGTATTGTTTGCGTCGATAAATATATCACCCTCGTTAGACCCAGTTGTAGATGTATTGGCAAAAGTGACTGCATCTCTACTCCATTCAACTGTTGGACAGAACTGGGGTTGATTGAACCAAAGGGCTAAACAATAAAAAAAACAGCGAGTATATTGACGAAATCAATCAAAGCAGTAAATCTGACTATATGAAGAGAATGAACACTTTCAAATTTTCTCTGTATTGCATTCATTTAACCCTCATTCTAGTCGAATAAGTAACGCTCACTGGTTATTGTATTGATGAAGATCAGCAGAAAAACTACCACTATGTTAAAACGATGATTTGTCAACATATTCAATGCAATATCCGACGAAGAAATAATTTTTTCATACTTTCCTCCGTATTTATCTCTCCTTCTCTTTATTCTAGTCGGAATATACAGACTCGAATGATTGATATGAATAAACATTCTCCAATTTTCCTTGTATTTACAGCAATCTTATGGTATACTTTTGAAGAAGATCAACATCTGCGCATAAATATTTCTCATAAAAAAGTAAAGTCATGTTCCGATAGACATGAAACGACGACAGATTATGATTTGAGACGAGATTAAGAAGAAAATCACACCTTATTGGTATACAGTGGTACTGAAATTATTCTTGGGGACATTGAACTCTGTACTTTGTTCAATGCAGTAAAAGTTTGTTCTAATTTTCGCAAGTCACATATGCAATTCAATCAGCTTCAACTAGATGAATTAAATTGCATTGAACACTACATCAATGAAATATTCTCCATCGACAATGTTGATTGATGGTGTTGAACAAATATAGCGATAATTTTCGATTTCTAAGACTTCTTCATATGGATATTGCTTCCACTCACTTCCTCATCATCAACACAGCAATCGAATTTAACGTTGCAGATGAAGTTGTTGTTTGTTAATGTAAATAAGAGAAAAATAATGAAATTGCGTTGTGAAAAAAAGTGTGCGTTTGCTTTGAATTGTATTTGTTTAGCGTGTATTAACATATTAATCATAAGGCGAGCGACTGAGTGAAGTTTTTTTTGCTTACAAAGGAAAATATATGATAGAATATTTGCACATCACGAACGATATATTTTTGGAGTATAGGAAGGAGTGATATAGTAAGTCGTGATCGCGGTTTTGTCTTTGCTTGAGATTGAGAGACTATTTTTATGATGAAAAATGATTGGATTGAAAGTGAAACATGTTGCATTCCAAGCGCGGATTAAGAGATCGTCAGATATATTCTATTCTTTCAAGCTCACTGACTGCTCAATCAATATTGGAGACTGAAAACTGTATTCTTCATTCGGTACAGAACAGAACTATTTCTTAGAAAAGTATGAGATTATCCAACGATAGTTTTATCATAGAGTAAGCCGTTTTCATTCTTCTTGTTACGCTCAAGATAGAGAATAGAGTTCACTGTTGATTCTGCTCGTCAATCTGTTTTGATTGACATATTAATATAGTCTCTAGACCTATCCGTCAATTTCTCGTACAATTATTTGTGCTAAAACAATAACACTATGAGCTGTATAACTGTGCGTTTAAAATTAACAGCATATTCGATCGTGCAGCTGTGATCAGTTTAATTTTTAGATAAACAACATTTGGGATTGAATTCTGTTTAAATGGAATTTATTAAAATATGGACAAAGGCAAACAACCTTGAATCAACAAAAGTAAAAGTAGCGTTGAATGCTGATATCGATGATGTCAAAGAGGAGATCTTTGGTAAAGAAAAGAACAAGTATTATGCAATGTATAAGAATCAAAAGCTGACATCATCCACACCGGCTCCCACTGATACTACGGATGCTAAACCAATTATATTTTTGAAGATTCATTAAAGCGATGAACCAGGTTCAGGTAAATGTTTCACTGCGAGAATTTAACATGAGCCAGTTGATTCTTACTTGAAAAGCAGTATCATTTTAATTCTATCTAGGGAAACCAATATTTGTTCCACCTGGTTCCCACTAAGAGCTCTGGTGCAAGGATCGTCCTTTGCTTCGATTGCGGTAGATGTCGTGACTGGTGCTATACTGGAGATTTTCAAAGCTGGCATTGGATTCGAAATTGCAAAAACTGGGAGAGAGACGATTGGAAGCACTATCGCGATGGTCGTATTTATAAACGATTTCAGAAGCAGCAGGATGCAACTTGCACCTTCACTCACAACAATAATCATAGAAACACTTATGTGCAATGTTTTTTTTTACTTTGGCTGTTATAATGGAGATTACCATAACTATTTTCATCATCTTATTGGTCGTGACCATTTTGATCGTAGGTATGGTTATGTCGATATTCGTTTCGATCCTGCTCATGGCTTTGGTATGTATGATCGTCACAGTGACACTTTCTGTGGATGCTATACGATGAAGGGTGTTGATGATAGCTATAATACGGCCAGTGTGTATGGCTTCTACTTCGAAGTCTGTTTGTGTTTAGGTAACAAGACTTAGTTATCTATTTTGAATCCGATCATACGCAGTTCTACAATAACATGCATTCTTTCTCTTTCGTTTTTTGTTTATTCTTCGACGTGTAATTATTTCTTAGCTGAAGAAAAAAACTATTGAAATGATCAATTCTATCTACCACTGGAAAGACTCTCGATGAAAGTAGATTTCCACGGATTTATGACCGTTTTCACATGCTTTCTGCACAGAGTCCATTAATTCTTGAGGCCCACAAGTGTAAACTCCAACCTTAGCCGATCTCGTCGCACATGGTAATACAACTTGTTGTAATAATTCGTTGGGATTCATCCTTTCTAAACTTCCTTTCACTCCGTTTGTTTGCAAGTCACATACTGATGACGGCTCACCTTCGAGATCGTTAGAAAACCATGCTGCTTTACCAAAAAGATGAACGCGTAATCGAGAATCCTGACGGTTAATTAATTTTTGCAGCAAACTCAACTTTCCTGCATTGATTTCTCGAGCTGCCCAGAATATAAAAACTAAGCAAGAACCAACATCATACTTCAATACATGTGATGCAATTGCCAATGCACCTGCAATACCCACTCCGCCAACGAAACAAGCAACTAAATTCATTTTTGATACGTCAAACTTCAAATATCCGAACGATCCATCGATGCGAACAGTAATTTCCTTTTCTAAACATCCATTTGGAAGAAGATCTGCTAATTGATTTGTCCATTCCGATCTGAATAATGTAGGTTTTATCAATAAAACTAAACTTTCATTGTCATCTGCAACTGTAAACGGATGACTGATTTGCCATCCAAGTTCATCGATTTTGATCATAACAAAACTGCCGACATTCACGTTGATTTTCTCGAAAATATCAATTCGGATATATCCACATTCTTCTCTCCGGATTAAAGCCTTTCTTTTCTTACTGTAATTATACAATCGAATAATCCAATCGACTAAGAGCAGAAAGGCGCCAGGCATACTATAGTACCAAACGCTACTGGTATGAAAACCTGCACTGATGATCATCAATGGGCCAAATATGATGTGAATGACGTAGAAGAAATGATATAAACGTCGTCGAACGATTGGGAAAGTGAATAACCAAAGAACTGCGATGGTGGCACCGGAAATAAAACCGAATGTCGTCATAAATCCTGCTTTGGATACATAAAAGATCCATTTCGGACCCTGAACGCCAATATTAAACGTCCAATAGAAATATGACGGCGGATTCAGAAATGTCACTGTTTTTGTCCAGATTAGAAATCCATGAGACAGACTAATCAAACAAAGAAGAATTCCACAACGTTTATGGAAACGAAGTGCAGCATCAATATGAATACCAAGTAAATTAGGCAGAAAAGAATGACGACCTAAGGGAATGAGAATAAGGCCCAACAAAACATCAGCCATATGTCCACTTCCCATTAAAGCTGCTGACCAATACGCTTTCTCTGTCAGCGGATGAGCGGACACTGATAACATTAAATTCCAATAGAGAACAAAATTGACAGTAACAAGTGCTAAAATTGCGAGAAAAGTCAAGAATTCAAGAACTGATCCTTCAAACCAAAAGTATCGGATAAACGGATGGCGACATGGTGATACCGGAATGTCCTTTTCCAACCAATATCGAATTCTGTATGGCAATTGTGAAATTAACTTGCAAAGAAGTGCGGCAATGAAGATAAATATCAAATATAGACTGTAAAGTATGGTAATACTATCCTTTGCATACGTTTCCACACAATGCGGGTGAACGCATCTGATTCGGCTAAAAACATAAAATAATCCGCTAAGAGCGATTGATGCAATGACTGTTGACCAGAGAACCACTTTGTTCGAAACCATAGTTGAATAGAAGTCTGTGGAAATGCTGCAGGCTTTTATACGTAGAAAGAAAGCGTACCATTAGCGCGATTAAGAGTGTGATGCTTTAAATAGACCAAGCAAAGAGCAACCGTTGTTGTTATGTTTAGAAAGTTTTTCAAAAACTTTGCAACATATTTTTCTTATCTGTGTGGGTGACCCCGAGAAATACTTTGCGTGCAAATACCAAATTTGTTTCTTAAAATTAATTTCGGTATTCCTATAGCGAGTTTTGTCGAAGCTCATGTGACGTCTTTTTGGAAGAATCAGTAATCCTCAGGTCGAAAAGTTTATCTTATCAGATTTTGTTATTTTGATCTAAGAATAGTACATCGAACTTTTCTTCAATAGATAAATAACGTGCAGAAAGAATGCTTTTTATCAAATCCATAAACAAAACACAAAGTCCAGTGTCATGAATATTCCTGTGTGCTCTAAAACCGTTTTTTAAATGTGTCATCATGTCGAAATCGACCTTATTCTTGATTATCTTCTGTGTACTGATTGATTTCGTCGGATTCGATATGCAAGTCTTTTGTCGAATATAGGAAAAATTCGTGTCGTTTAGATTAAACATATATCGACATCTAATCAACATAATTATATTCTCTTTTTTTTCAGAATGTTTCATCTGAATAGAGGTTTTACCAAAGAGAACGCAACAAAAATGTTTACGTTTTGTTTATACTCAAGTTTGACATACATTTTCTCTTTTTCTGTTACTCAATATGACATTATTGAATGAAAATGACCTTTTACATGGAAGATGTGAAAATTTGCCAGATGTTCGATCGAAGATCGTTCGTGTTTTCATTAGTTCAACATTTTCAGACACGCTGAGTGAACGAGATTCGTTAATCGACACCGTTTTCCCTCGACTTAAAGACTATTGTCGTGAAAAATATGGTCTTGAATTTCAGGTGCGTTCGAATTCATTGATTTGTTTGCTTTCACGTTAGGAATTTTCGGTTAAAGTATTCAGATATGCGATGGGGAATTGAAGGTGAAGCCGCTGACAATCACAGTGAAGTGGAAACCTGTTTGAAAGAAATCGACCTGTGTAAAAAATATTCCGTTGCGACGAATTTTGTGGTTTGTTGTATTTTTGACAGTATTAAAAGGAAGATTTTGTTTGAAAAGGTTTTACTAAGTCATCGTTATGGTTCCCGACCGACACCTGCGAAGATCGACTCATCGCTATTCGAACGTTTACGAGACATTGTTCAATCGGATCCAAATCTCATCGAAGATCTTGAATTGCTTTCTCAATGGTATCAATTAGATACAAATTCCATTCCATCGTCTTATATTCTTCGTTCGATTTCCTCATTATTGCCGAATATCAAATCTAACGTAAGAGAAGATCTCGTTCTAATGGATTCATTTTCTCTCTGTTCTTTCGCAGAATACGACTGAAATGAAAGAAGCAGGAAAACAATGGAACCGGATCAACGATCGCATTCGAATGTGTTTGAGACAAGCAGCAGAAAGGTGCTTTCAACAGAATCAAATTACTTCGGATGAGTATGACGACTTTTTTGTCTCAGGTAAAAATATTTTCTTTCTTTAAATGCGTTTTTTTTTTTGCTTAGCTACCGTGCGAGAATATTTTCTCTTCTTATTCGTCACGATATGCCGGTTACAATGTTTTGTCGTTTCTTTTAGTTACTGAGAAAGAAATCATCAAGGGAATACTACAGGCACCAGATGCTAATCAACGAACGTTGTGTTTTCTGAGGGAAATCGATGGAATTGGTGAACATTTATCGGATAAAAAAGCGTCGAAGTTTATCGATACGAAGTTGACAAAAGATGGAACTGTTGTGATCGATAAAGAAGCAGAAGATTTGTTGAATCGATTGAAATTTACACGAATTCCGAAGGCATTAGATTCCAAGAACGTGTTTTCCTACAAAGTTCCTTGGACATCCAATGGAATCACTCGAGATGCTCATCAGGAGTATATCAAGAAATTTCATGAAGATTTCTTCACTTCGATCAAACAGCAAATCGATACGTGTTTGCAATCTTCTTTGATCACAAGTCTGAGTTTATTACAACGTGAAATTCTCGAACATGCTATTCAATGTCAAACGTATGTGAAGAAGTTTCACAGTCGTACAGATACTTTAGAAAAAGTAAATGCTTTGTGTTCGATGACATATTCGAAAAAGAAAAGAATCTATGATTTTAGCTGGAAAAATACGTGAACAATGAAGAAGAACATCGACCGTGTATTGTTTACGGTCCATCAGGTTGTGGGAAAACGAGTGTAATGGCAAAAACTGCTACCGAAGTAAAACCTCAGATGTGAATTTTCATATACAAATTTTCCTGTTTAGATATTCAAATGGTGGTCAAATCGATCTGTATCCGTAATCCTACGCTTTCTCGGGTATTCTTTATCATATATGATTTTCTCATAGTAAAATTCCGTTTTCTCTTCTATAGAACTACCCGCACGTCGTCAACCATTTACAAAGTATTTTTATCTATTTCGGAACAAATTTGTCAATTGTACAATTTAACGATGCAAATGTATACCGATGTTTCTCAATTACGAAATCAACTTGAAAATGATCTGTTGCCATACATTCCTCCAAATCAGTATCTTCTTCTTCTGCTTGATTCCATTGATCAGCTTGAAACAGATTCTTATGATTGTAATTGGTTATTACCGAGGTTCCCCAAGAATGTCAAATGTATTGTGTCAACATTACCTGACCATGGAAATATATTGTCCAATTTAAAATCTCTCATTAGCTTCAATCCGGCTGCAGTAGATGAAACTGAACATATTNAACTCAAAATATTCGAGTTCTCAACTAACCAGTACTGGGATTCTGAATAGCACTTTTTGTCATACCAACAGGTACACTCGATACATAGTCAATGATACTCTTACCAGGACAATAAACCTGAATGATTACCAATTCAGTAACATTGTCACCAACTAATACACCAATGCAAGCTGAAAAAGACACAGATAAACAACATCTCTCGATGAAGTTCGAACTGATTACCTCGATTTGGTCGACTACCAATGATCGCTGGTGGTGTACTGCAACCAGTGGGTGGCGGATAACCATAGAAAAGAAACTGAAGTGGCACTGAGGTCATTGGTTTATTTGCTGACAATGCTGCAGCATTGTAGAAATCTTCGATTTGCAATGCAGCTGCAGCATAAGTATTGGAATTTGTAAGAGTGAACACAATTGTACAGTTCGCTCCAATGAGATTAGCACCAGGCACACCATTACATACACCAGCACATTCATTATACTGATTGATAGTTGATGTTCCTCCAACGGACCATCGACATTGTAAGATGTCAGTGCCATCGAAATCAGACATTTGAACAACGTGTACCTGTTGAACGTTAATCTGTTTGTAGAGAATGGGAAGACTGACAGCAACGGGACTTGTGTTGAGATAGCCATCAGGTCGAAGGATGGTGCTGATTCGACCGACAACAGCCCAACTTCCACCACCTCCGACAACAAGAGCGGCAAACCAAGCACTCGATGAAAAAGCGATACTGAATGTCGTGTTGATTGGTATTGTGTATGTTTGATAATATTCACCAGAAGCCACATCGAGAGGAGCACTGAAATCCGTGCAGTAAGTGGGCACAGGCATGCCAGTCCAATAACTACCACATGTACCAGATACGCAGTTGAGGGTGTTTGAATCACCGATCTTGGGAGTTTGTGCAGCAATGGTAGCAGGAGAGCAATTGGGAGAGTATGCACTTCGACGCCATGACCATCGTTCTCGCACAATAACATCGATCGAAGTGCCTGATGCAGTATTGTTGTAAGGACGGCTAGAAGAAATGAAGATAGAGTGAAACTACGGTGACGGTGAGTACTAACGATGTGATTGTTCCACCACGAAAATGAGATGAATCGATGGTAGAAAAATGCAAAAGTATGCAAGAGAAAATAAATCTGTCCATTTGCGCTGTTCACAAAGTGTCGAAAACAAAAAAATGAAACACTTGTGACATTGCAGATTGTTTTTATACGCTCCTGTTGCTAATTGAGAAGGGATGTGAAAAAAGGAAAACTATCTACCTTTTAGAACAAATATTATTGGCGCAGAATCGAAAAGTATGCTGTTGCTAAAACAGAAAACAATTTAACGCGCATAGCTGGCATGTACGCATTTTGTTTAGAGAAGAGAAAGTAATGCATTCAAACAACTTGTCTCCATTAGTTCGCTCAAGAAAATATTGAAAAAGTACATTTCGAACGCCGTGTATTCAAAAACGTTTGTTTTGCAAGCTACGACGATCGACCTATTCAAATGTAGAGTAATAATAACAAGCAATTCCTCCGTTTTATCTCAGTACCTATGCTGTTAAGTATAACTAACGAAAGAATCGTAACGAGACTCGCCAATCTGAGTCATTCGTATTTATTCACGAACGATCTATAACGGTATGCCAAGCGACTATTTCCTTCATTATTCTCCTCACAGTCGTAGTTCACATTCCAATGTGGAAATTGACAAGGATAACAAATAAAAATCGCAGTAAGAACTATTATCCAAATGAATTATCCCATCCTTATCCTCATTCACAACTCGCACTCTCAAAGATTATAGTTTTATTCGAAAGTGATATAAAATAGTTCCAATGATTGAAATTGTTTTAGGCGTAGCGAAACGTCGTCTTTCGATGTATTTTAGGGAAATCACAACTGAATATTTTTCCTCGAAATGAGTAACTGATAGGAAAATCATCTAAACGAAAGTATTTTTAATAGTTGAAAAGTACTTGTCTCTGATGTTAGCTTTTTGACATCGCATAAACTGTCTATTTCGCTTTTTATCCAAACCCTTTAAATACGACGGACACGATCAGTCGGATAGATTGTCTATGCACGCCATACTTTCTATTGGTTTGTCTGTTTCGTCTAGTTGACAATGTGGAAATATGTCGAAGAGGCGATGACAAGATATTTGAAAGGCGCTTCTTATACATTAATAAGGTTGTTAGTGAGTATAGCCATTATGATGACAGTCGGAGAAAATGTTCGCTAGTGCGTTGCTATTGCCCTAATTCCTAGTTTAAATCCGAAGTTAACCGTGAATGAACAATTACTATAGAGTTAATAATCTTCGATCATGTTCGATAAATCCTGAACGCCTCACTACCCTATACTACATAAAGATGTATAGTAACAAAGCAGTCAGCGTATAAGGGAATTGAGCGAGCGAAATGTTGTACAATAACTGAACAACAGTATAAGCTATTAATGGTGATAGAAAGAAGAGAGTGCTCTCTTTTGAACATGACACCGAAGCATTTTATAGATTATCACGAAATCAAGCAAGTCACTTTCCATCTTTTCGGCGGGATGTACTCGAAATATTAACTAATTCATAGAGGTACGATACTTCTGTATAAAAAACCGTGTAACGCTGATTAACTAAGAAGCGTCTACTCGTTTAACTTAAAGGTCGTCACGATGACTGACATATTGTTCTTTATCGTCATTGTCCACGGTCATAGTTTGAATATCACGTATTGGCATATTTCCAGGCGAAAGTGATCTAAACCATCCCATTGAATGATAATGATCTTATTGAGAACTGATATTGATATCTACGTAGCACCAAAAGTAAAATCTACATGAGAACAATTGCAAAACGATTCATTTTCTTTGCTGGACACCTGCAAAATGTTGCTGATAGCCTGCAATCAAATTTATAGAAATTAGCAGTTTTATGAGTTTTTCATCTCAAATGATTCCTGGTGATGTGCTCCTGACTTGGAGCACGAAAACTCGAATACTCTCTTTCATTTCTGTAAGGAATAAATAGCTCTGCTCAACAGTTACTGTCATGTTATTTCCATTCAAATGATAGCTGAGCATGATTCTATGTGCAAATATGCTTTTCTAATTTTATTTTTATTTAGTGATGTGAAAATAAAAATTTGTTCGGCTTCGATTGGTACAATATTTTTCAATTCGTATCGATGATTTCAGCCAAAATATCGCCATGACATGCTTCTGGTTTACACCAACAAGCAATCGTACGGCCACGAAGTTCTCGTTTTGCACGTTCCAGCAGCTCTGGTTGAGTCATGATCCACTCACGATACTTTCGAAGGCGTTCTGATTTGTCACCATCTCGTCCAATCTTGAAAGGATTACCCCAGATCGAAGGTCGACCAATGTACACGTCGTAATTCGATTTTCTACAATGCACAACATGTGTTTTTCTTGCGTTTGTCAAATTGACATTCGCTGGTTCGGGTGCAACAGTAACAGTAGTAGATTTCGTTGAAGAACCAGGGGGAGGAGTAGGTTTGAGTTTGTTGTGACAAATTTTCAGCTTTCGTCCATTTAGTGAATTTCCATTGAGCGTCAATGCCATTTCATATGCCGACAAATCATCGAACTCTATGAAACCAAAGCCACGGCTCCGACGCGTGTGATTGTCATAAATGATGCGCGCTACTTTAACATGGCCACATGCTTTCTCGAAGAACGAATGAAGTTCCTGTTCATTTGTATCATACGAAATATTTGATACAAAAATTGACCATTGATTTTCACCTTTTGAATAAACGTTAGTTGCCATGTAAATGTAATGATTGTATTGACACATCCTACTGCAATAACTATACCGTTTTCTTTTACAAGACTTGTGCAATAACATTGCATTTCTATTTCTGTGTTTTTTGTGCTGTCGGGCGTTACAGATTCACTGAGCCACACATAAACAGCGCAAAGGTGAGCGCTCATATTTCGATATGATTGAAAACGAAAACACACTCTGACAGATTTTTTCACTCTTATGAAAACAAATTTTCTTCATTCGTTTTTATATAGACCAATGCGAAGGATGGCGCTATAGGAATGTTCAAATTTATTTTAAAAAATAGTTTATCGACAAAATGCGGAAAAAAACTTTAATTCTTGTTTCTAACTCTTCACTTGAACTGATTCTATGTCATAGTCAGGTTTTGGAGTGTTCGGCTGATTTGTCTTTAGACCTCTCCGAACAAGATAAACGTGATACCGCACGAGTCGATATAACATTTCTAGAACTTCCACTAACGATAGAAAACTAATTCCAATCCACAAACCCGTCTGTCCTCCGACATTTGAAATGACGTCGACAAATCCAAGTGTGGCTACTTCTGTATAGTTCTCGACGAGAGTCGATTCACCTGATACCGCTAACGAAACATAACTTGCGTGAATATGTTCTCGCCAATTAGTCGACCAATCACTGGCTAAAGGAAGCGATGAGTTCTCGACAAATGCTTTAATATCGCCTATAATCCATTCCGGTGGTGTCGTCATTATGGATGATTTCACAATAAAATTTGTGATTGAACATTGTTGTGAACAACCAGAACAATACTTTTCCTGAATAGATGGTGTTGCATCAAAATTATTCATTGCTATTGCAAAGCAATAATCGGTCGAATTACACAAAGGTGCCACAATGATTTGATTCGAGCCTGGTAAAACTATAGATCGAGCATTCCACTGGCCAGGAAAGACACATCCACATTGCTCGTAACTAGAAAATCATTTTTTGTCTAATCGATATGCACATAAGGAAATATTCAAAACTCACATATACGCTTGTGCACACAGGATATAACAAATATCTTCGGAATAACGATAATCGGCTCCTTCGTATTGATCGAACATGATTTTCATCGCCAGAGGTATTTCATTGGTACACGACGAGTAAGGTGATGGTAAAGAATATACCGTTTTCTTTGTGAATGTCATCTGATGTTTAAAACCAGGAGCTAAAGTCATTCCGGCTCGTTCGATAAGTGGTAATTGTTTATTGTCATGCACCATTGCCGTCATACCAACGCCTGAATACATTTAAATCTAGAACATATTTCATATCTCATAATCCTTACCTTCTATTAAGTATGATACATATAGATGATCGTATAAATAGAGACGCAATGTTAGTGTAGTTACATCGCTACTCATGTAATTATAATACAAAGTGTTGTTTTTAGTTTTGGCATTGAATGTATAACATCGTCCGTAAGCTGATGAATAAAACGATATAAAATCTTCAGCTGAACATTGAACTTGACCGAATTGACAGTCCATCATAAGTGCATCCAACGAAAACATATATGGATCTAAGGATACACCTTGGTTGATAAGAATCGGTAAATAAACTTTGATGATATTAGCTTGAACCGAAGAGAAAGCGCTCGTACTAGCTGCAGATGTTAAGTTCATACTTTCGGTATAATTCAAAAGTAGTTTTTGAAACGTATCGTATCTAAGAGCACCGGCGTTGCAAAAAGTTAAAGCGGGAAAATATTGTTGCCGATCACTGATAATACTCACGGATGTTTGTGTTGGATACTGAAAATATGCAAGGATTGCTTGAATAACGAAGAAGAACATAATACCAGCGAATATTAGAAATGCAACCGTCCAAAAAATTCGATTTTGTACACTTTCACTTCGAGCAATACCTGGAACGCCATGCATCGATGTGTTCAGGCTAAATTCTCGAATGATTGAACGACGTCGTGCAAGTTTTTTCTTCTGTTCAATCTTTGGGTTCACTGGAAATGCATTAATCGCTCGAATAATAAAATCTCCTTTGGATTCCATTGTATCACGTACCATTCACGGAATGTGAGTGTAAAACCGTTGTATTTATCGGATGTATCAAAAACAAAGTTCGTTCTCGAACGTTCTTGTGTGAGAGTTACAATATTTGTTGAATACTTCCAAGAGAGTGATTCTATTCATTGTATAAGTACTTGTAGGTTTGAATACGTTAATCGAGAGTGATTCATTTCACAGAAGAAACACGTATTGGGGCAAGGATATGAATTGACTCATATGGTAAACAGCACTAAGAATATGTAAGTTAACATGAGAGTAGATTATTCATTCTGAAGCAGCTGAAAATAGAAACGAATGCGAGGGATTTATTTATTCTATTTGATTAGGTCTTTTCATAATCTCAAAGGAATTGGGATTTCCACTTCTCTATTTGAATTATTCTATGCGTAGAAGCATTCTTTGCATCTCGATTTTTCACTTATTTTCCAACCGTGGACATTAAATGCAGATAAAACTGACACTTTTCCTTCAAATGCAAAATCTTCTACTTGAGTTTAAACATAAAACGAAAATAAACTTTATGTATTTACTAGTTACTCCCTACCATGAATTGTTTATTGACATTTATCACATGAAGTCTATTCAAAATATAGTCAGGTCGGCTGATTTGCTTGTCCTCACCTGCGACAGTTGACATTGTTGAATGCCTGTTTATAATATTTGCACTCAAATTTCGTTTCTACTGTTTTACATTGTGATGGAAGTGTCGATGGCTTTTTTTTATTTTCTAAAAGGGTATCTGTATTAGCTGTGCACTTAAGTTTGTTTTGAAGTGGGGCGAGCTTTTTCTTCATCTATTGAAAGAGAAATTCACGTTGAAGGTATGACGAATAAATGTAATTACGTATCAGCTAATCATATTCGAAACAAGAACCGGATTTTGTTTAAACATGAATGATACATGATGAAATTTTATCTGATGATTCGTCTTTTCAACGCTTACGCAACCGATCTGATGAGAAAACTTTGTTTTTTTTTTGTTGGATGAGTGGAGTATCTTACTCAGTGACGTTTAAGAGAACAAGAAAAGGCAATTGATTCTTTTTGTTGAAAAGAAAAACAATAATAAGAGAATGGAATCTGTCGGAATCCTATATAAAGCAAGTGAAACTGGTCAATCAATCACACAATTCCCTAGCAAAACATTTCATACTTCTCCAGTAGAATTCTATTATGGCCGTTCGGTATCCTAATGCATTTCAAGTAAATCGTTGTACTGATAATTCAATCCTCCCTTATAAAGACGTTAATTTAGACACCATCAAGAAATGTTAATGCTAACAGAAACCATACTTTATCGGAGTTGAGCACCTATGGGTAAGTGTGAAGTCAATCTATTCTAATTAAGAATATCATTTGATAATAGAGCCGTCAAAACAACATCCGCAACAAAGATCATTGTAGCTGTTGTGTTCACAGTCGTTGTTGTAACTTTGCTTGCTGCTGCGATTACAGTACCATTAGTATTGGCACTAACCAACACAGGTCCTTTTGCAACAACTAAATCAAGTGGTACGACCACCACCGCAGTCACGACTACAACAGTAGCCACGACTGGTAGGATATTTTTCCATTCAAACTGTGTATATTTTCGAAACGAACGTTTCAGCTGCGACAACAACTAGTTCATTTTCTGAATGTTCTTCGTACGCAAACATCTCTGATGCAACACGGTTAGCAACAGCTTCCAGTGGTACTGCATGCGATTCATCAACATTTTCTTCAAGCACAACATGGGTTCGATTTACTGGATCAGGCGGAACGCAACTCGCCACGTCTGCTCCGTCTGCAAATCAGTGTGGTACGCAAGCAAGTGGTTGGTATTCCGGTTCGTTACCATCATCAGGGTCATCTATTAATGGAACAGCGTGCTATGTGTGGGGTTCTAACAATTGTAATTGGTCAAATACAGTAAGAGTGACCAATTGTGGCTCATTCTATGTATTTGGTCTCGTTATTCCACCCGTTTGCAACGCTCGATATTGCACTGTATGAGCACAAATAGTGAATTTTGATCGATTTTCTATTATCTACTGATTTATCGTTTGCTCACTTTTATTCAGAATAAAAATTTTCATTTCCATGCCAATGTGAATATTTATTTATTTTGAATTCGTTCTCAAATTGTCCGAATGTAAATAAAGGCGAGATTCTAGCTGTCACGCTTTCGAAAATGTGATTTTATGTTCGTGTTTGTCCATTGGAGGTAGCGTGCTGCAAAGAAAACAATCCATTAAGTTTAGATTTTATTCTTACGATACTTCAGTTAAACGACAAAGTAAATAAAAGAACTGCCAGAATGTTTCAGTTTTATTTATATGCACTGAGGAAAAAAAGCACTTTTGGTAAATCGTTGTGCGATATCATGCCCGAAAATTTGTTGACAGTCATTTAAATTCAGCTGATTATAAGGTGGAGAAACTTTATTAGGAAAAGTAAATCACTGACGATCGACTTGCTTGAGACTATATCCAGTTATTTTTGAAAGGAGAGTTCGTTTTCGATGAAACTTTCGACGTAGTTTAGTCCTATCATTATTCGAATCGAGTTTGCAGATGAGTCTGATCAAACGGATTATTCCTGAGCTATTGAAAATATATACGCAGATATTTCCTCATGACTTCTCCATTCGTTCTCTCTCTCATACGTTTCCTACTATACACATAAATTTCGAATGAAATCTGAAGTAATCGCATTGGTTAATCCGTACACTGGGTTACGAGTGGATTTCGTCAATGGAAACAAAGAGAGGCAGAAAAAAATTAACTGTTTAATTTCAGTCTAAATATCACCCTTAATCCGAGATTCTGCATATTAAAATGAGTCATCTATGTCGCGTTGTCAAATAATTGACCGACAGTAATCCTCGTGTTCGAAAAGTTTCGACGAGTAACGTATAGTTCCTTATAACGATTACAGAGAAAACGAGACACTAACAATATGATCTGTGGTCGTTTGTCTCTTTGAAAGTCTTTTGATATGAATTCGATGACAAGACAAAGATAAGTATTAAGTGTGTGAATAGGATGAGATAAATAGAAACATATAACCATTTATAACTTGATAAATCTGTACGTTCTGATAGTGAAAAAATAATCAAATTTAAAATCCACAGAAACATAAAACTAAAGAATTATTGACAAGTTGTTTATGTTCATTTCATTGTTCACGAAGATGTTGTCTGTATGTGTTCGCTGTTTCTAAGCTTCTGCTCGTCGTCAAGCATTTACAATGATGAAGAATAAGAAGTGATACGTACCAAATTCGCTAATCTATCGTGTTTACCTCGAAGATGACGTGCTTAAGAATGACATCTAGTGAACTGTATGGCTCAGTGGACTCGCTATGATTGTATCATAGTAGCAGCTTTTCGGCATATTTGCTAAAATTGCGTGCTTCTTGGAAAGGAGTTAAAGTGTCAGCTAACTCTGAACTTTCTTATGGAACGGAAGAATATATCAAGAATTGAACGATCACCTAAGTTTTACTCAATTGAATAAGTTATAAAGATTAATCGAGAGAACTTGTTCGGAAGTGTTTATTTTGAAAAACAATGAAGTTAACTTCTCTTCAAATATACACGTTTATTATTCTACAACGTTGTGAACATTCTGCAATGCTAAGTCTCGGACTCTGCGATATCGTAGCTTTGATAGCTTTCACAACCGATTCGCAAGCATTGAGGCTGTCAGCGACTATATTCGATAATAAGTCTCTAAAAATCTATTGAGCACTGTTTGCCCATCTGGGTCAGCTGAATTGAAATATATTAAACAAACTGTCTTCTTATGGCTTATTTTAATAAAACCTACTTGACATTTACACGAAGAACATTTCGTCGCAGTACGTGGCTGTAAATACGGTAAGGTTACATCGTATGCCTCAATGTATCCGATGCCCATGGCAATAGCATGTCCAATCAAGTCAGGGAAGTGATTTCCATGAAAGAAGATTAACGTTTGCACACCCATGTAAATATTTTTTGGATCTAAACGCGCTTCAATCGCGTCCGAATCGCGTCTAAATCACCGTAATCGAGCGCGTCCCAGATGAAACAATCGGAGCATCTAGACGCAGTATAAAACTGACTGCGTCTAAACGCACTTCAATTTGAGCTGCGTCCTCGGTGAAACTATCGGAGCGCCTGAACGCGTTCATATTAAATTTCAAAATTAGGCAAAAAATCTTTCAGCCATCTCAGATTCGAACTGAGTCGCCACCACAGTTATGTCCTGCTGGTCTTAGACTATTCTCGCACATAAACTGAATTTTTATCTTACTTGCCGAAATGTAGATTTGAACAGATGAACCATCGATCAGAAGTCTTGAACATACACCACTAAGCTATACTTGCTCGAAACATATCAGTATAGAAAAGAATATGTATCTGAATACACATTTAGACTTCTACACATGAGAATAATGATGCTCATTTTACGTGATTTCGAAGGAAAAATAACTCGCCGTCTCACTTGCTTCCGATAATCTCATTCAATTTCAAACTAATTTGGATTTTTTTTCTATTTCTATTTGAGATTTCATTTACAATAAAAAAATACTGAATGATATTCTGATCAGGCAGATATTGATAATCAATGACCTTCAACTGATTTAAGAGATTTGGTTTGAAGAGCAGATATCCAATAATCGTTGATAATATCTTTCAATATGTATAAATGATGATTTCCATCCAACTATTCTGTAACTGACAGAATATATTTTAGTTGAGCGTCTTTACATAAAGCAAACTGCTTTGATATTTAAAAAGACAGAGAATCAGTAGTTATTTGGAACCTAACTTAGACAAAGCTACCAAAAGCAAACGCATTTTTAGAGAATTGGAAACGAATCTCAAATGTGTTAAACCGCGTCTAAACGTATTTCAGTTACATTTTTCAACGCAGCCACGTGCTACTTTCTACAAAGATGCGCCCAATTGCGTTTAAAACCAGTTGTAGTTGCGTTTGGATACGGTTTAAACTTCCATCGCGTCTGGTTGCGTTTTTCTTTTTGAGTTAAGACCGTGCGTAGACGCGATTCTGTTAACAGACGCATCTGAATGCAGCTAAAAAGTCTTCTGGCTGCGTCTGAACGCAGTCATACACAAAATTGCGTCAAAGTGCATGAAAAAATTATTCTGTTTTGCATTCAGACGCAGTTATCTTGAGATACGCGTTTGAACGCGATAAAATTGATTTTAAACCGCGTCTACGTGCGATTTGCGAAGTAAAATGCGTCGGGGCGCGTTTATCCTGCGTCTGGTGTTTACATGGGCAAGCAAATACATTTAATCGCCATACTGTTGTAGAGACAATGCAGCCGCCGTTTCCGCTTGAAACGTCTAAGTCTGCAAGCTGAAGCACAGCTTTGCCAACTTTTCGTACGTTCATTGTGTGAATACAGTGGTCGTTTGTAGTCGTCATGCGATTACGACAGTGAATTCATTGTCATAGTCTAAAACAACGCGCTGTCCCGGACGTTTTCGAAATAAAAAAGCTGCTATAATTTGTTCTAAGATCACTGCGACAAGTTCCAGTTAAAGAACTGATCTGCGGAAAATCACGACCAATCACTATGTAATTTTAAAACAAATGTAATGATAAAAAGATCTCCGAGGAAATAACAAACGTGGCATTTGATCGGAAAAAATCGATGCCATCTTAATTGAACGAATTGGCAAACCGGTACTACTAATTAAACTGGCATAACCTAATGCAATGAGTTCAGCAACTGTGAATAGTTGTCCATATGTAACCTGGAAAAATTGATTGTTAGCAACAAGTTGTTCCAAGATCATGGTGATTCACCGCCTTCAGTAGGTGAAAAAATGATTGTTTGTCGAGCACATCGATAAAAAATGGGAAAACTTGGCTTCAAACTGATAAATTGACTTGTCAGAGCTAAAAGAAATGCGACTATCGGAAGACGATGACTATGACGAGTATATTGAGCAGTGGGATATCGTATTCGATCGTATGATGGTCGATTGTTGTCGGCTTTGTTAGGCTTGCGCACATCAGAGCTAGAACAAGTGTAAATACTTGCGTCACAGTTTTCATTTCAAATGTCATTCTTTCTGTTCCTTTTTTTTATGTGAAAACCAATCGAAAAACGATTTATATGAATAGAATATTCGAATGACGGGCGAAAGAGGCAAATTATAAACTCTCTTTTTTCCCCAATAAAAGTCATAAATACTGAAATGTACCGAGTACAAAATCTATGTTCTTTAGCGAGTTGTACTCGTTCGAAAAGATAATAAAATTAGACGATGTAAAGTAGATATTCGCCGAACATAGTGACAGGTTTTCTGATTTAACCATCATCTCAGCTGGCGTGCGATTCTATACTCGGTAACATGAACATTCTTTACAACATGGGATTATTTTATTAAGGAAGAAGATGAAATTCAAAGTGAAATATGGAAATCGAGCAAGGAATGCGCTAAACACTAAAGACTTTTTCAACTATTTCTTTTTGTTTACATGACGTTGACTCAAAACATCAAAAAGGAGATTGATACAAGGAACATTGAAATAGTCTTTGAGTCGATCATCAATACCAAGAAAATCGAGAACAGAAGGACCAGTCAATTGGTTCATAAGAAAACTGTCATCGAAACAACCATGAATAAAAGACAAACCACTATGACAATCGCCATTTGTACACGAACGAAATGTTAAATTTGCATCTGCGCAATCGTTTGCATCGAATATATAATCCTGACAAGCATAAAGATCACAGGTGGTGTTTCGCCAACTGCTAACATTGTGAATATTGTATTGAACAGTTAAATTATCACATTCACCACCATCGTAGGTATCACAACCGTGAATATAAGTTGTGCTGTTTCGACATTGATNAACAGAAGGACCAGTCAATTGGTTCATAAGAAAACTGTCATCGAAACAACCATGAATAAAAGACAAACCACTATGACAATCGCCATTTGTACACGAACGAAATGTTAAATTTGCGTCTGCGCAATCGTTTGCATCGAATATATAATCCTGACAAGCATAAAGATCACAGGTGGTGTTTCGCCAACTGCTAACATTGTGAATATTGTATTGAACAGTTAAATTATCACATTCACCACCATCGTAGGTATCACAACCGTGAATATAAGTTGTGCTGTTTCGACATTGATCACCATGACATGCATGGTTACGAATAGTCGTGGTCACGCAAGCTGTGTCTTGAAGTTTTTGATTGTTATGATGTCGATGTATGGATGTTCCGTTCATGAAGGTGGCCATGAGGAACATAAAACCCAGAATATAGATGAATTGTGTGATTTTCTCCATTGTTGTTTGAAAGATGTGAAAGAAGGTTTGTGTCTTGATTTTATATAGTCGTTGATTAACAAAGAAAGCAGACCTTAAAAAAGAATGAGAAAAGAGATAAAAATCTTTTTTTCTGTTGAAAAGATACTATTCAGGTGACTGTTTACTGGTTTTTTATCTAAGTTTCAAAGTATTTCTATGTCCTTTTTTTTTCTTTAGTAAAATATTTCGATCAACTTCAGGTTAATTTTCATGGTAAGTAGATCAAATTTATAGCCTTTGGTTGACACAAAAATAGACGAATTTGACGTCATTGAAGGTGAAAGCAAATATGAAGACGAGCATTTAGAAAATGACTTTCGATTGTAAGAAGATATTCGGTACCTTCGTTTTATTCATCATGAATACTGACAAAAGCTTGATGAATAGTTCGAATGTTGTCCATTCTTTTGCCAGTGCCTAATGAAATACTCATTTACTACAACAAAATCAGACATTATCATTATATTTGAACGTCTCTCGAGTGGTTTCAAGTACGACTCATCTGTCTGTTTCATTGAATCAATACAAAAACACGTCATATTCTTTAATGTTGTACATTGCAAAATCAATTCCTTTGATTTCCAGCGCTTAATTGTTACTAAGTACGTTATCACATACCTTGGAACTGAATGAACTCAGCGATACCTGAAGTGACGCTTTCGAAAAGAAGCTTCAGACGATGACATTATGAAAAGTGGAAAAAACATTCAAAATAGTTAGCATCTGTAAAATCAATCAGCAACAAAAGTGATTAACATTGACCTTCGGTTCGTTTATTCTCAAGATAGATGACGTCAATCATTTTCTATGCTATCAGTCACGCGAGTGATCTTGAAGATCAGGTGTTATTCTCTCGTCGAATCTAGCTTTGTAAAAGCTGTATGACTAATAGATAACTTGACAACACATTTTTATGCCATTTCAGTTTGTTTGATTGGACTCAAGGATTTCCTGAAGAGGAACTGAGCTTCACTTCGTGATTTCCCGGCTTCATCATTGAGATATAAACTGAAAAATATCGAGTGTGCGAAACTATTTGATCTATTGATAAGCGGAGATAATAATGAATAGGTTGAAGGGAAAAAACAGACAACGATCGTTTGAACTATGATCTTGATCTTTTACAAAGTCGAAAAAGCGACTGTTTGAAAGTACTCCGATACGAAGTCGAAGGAAGGACAAAGATAACAAATATGAGTATCGATGGTGTGAACGATATGAAATAAGCAGAAATATACAACCATGCATAACGAGAAACATCTGTGCATCCAGATAACAAAGAAATGACAAGGCGTGGTGTTGATAGAAGAAGTAAAACTAGAGGACTGATAACAAGTTGTTTATGTTCACTCCATTGTTCACGAAGATGTTCTCGATAGGGTTGTCGATTCTGAGCTTCAGCCCGTCGGCGAGCACTTGCAATAATGATGAATACTGAAGAGAAGAGGTTTGTAAGAAATGGACCAAGAAGATGAACGAATAGGATGACTGTGTTGTAATCTTGAACTGATTGTGGATATGTAGTTACACACCAGGCATAACTATGTGTCACGATTTCCGTTGTAGGAATTATCCCTACGTTGTTTTTTGTTTTTTCCATTGTTTCATGTTTGGATATTTGACGGTATATTGGTTCATGAATCAGCGAGCCCATGATCAAGACTGGCAAGGTGAAGATGATCCATCGAGCGAAACGTTTACTTTTCTCTTTATCAAAACGCACTCCTTTGTAAACACTCGCTGAACGTTCTACTGCCGCACATGCACTGAGCCAAGCATCCCAGCAGAAGAACAATTTCAGAAGACATTCGATCGACTTACAACCAACTTGAAGAGCAGACTGACGAACAAATGGACTTATTTGTGTACCGACAACGAACCAGAACTTGACTGTGAACATGGTGATTGTGAGAAAAGAAGTAACTGATGATGTCAGAAAATATAATCCACATCCGACTGTTCGTGACTTTTGGTTTTGGAAGGTCAAAAATGAACAGAGACTACTAACGACGCTCACAACAAACATGATCACTGATAAAGCACCGCTAATTTTGATAGAAAGTGGTTGATCCTGAATGCTCATATTTCGATTGACTTCCAGTCGAAGAATATCATCGAGAGTGAGACCAATGCCTTTGACTTGAGTGTTACATGGACCACCAACATAGCAGTAAGTGGAGTTGTCAACTAAACAAATCGTTAAAAGTGAAACAGTTGCACAGTTTCCGATGAATTAAGTTTCATTTTTTCTTGAATAGTCTTCGAGCATTCTCGTAACATGTCACGTATGAATACTGCCTTATTAAATCTCATTTTGTGTCTGTTCAGTATTGATACTTACTAAAGCGCTGGAGAGTAAAATTTGTTGGGCCGTACAAGCTAATTGAGAAGGCTTGTGTTGTCAATGGTTGATTAGTTGTTACAACTAATATATATGTGATGTGAGATTGAAGCTTATGTGTTCCTGCGGCTTCATGGTTCCAAGCAACACAAAAATGGACCGGCTCCATGGACAAAAGTAAATTTTGGTGAGGATCCAATGGATTGAAATGATTTTTGTAGAGATACATGTCTTCTTTTTGACGCTTATTAGTAGAGAAAACATAGTATCCGTCGGTGGATACAGTCACTCGTAGAGTTTCATAGTAAAAATATGAACGATCGCAAAGATTGTTATATTCTTGGCTGTCTGTCGTTAGTTCCGACGAATACTTCAAGTAAGTGGCTAACGATGCATCTATTTAGAAAAAAAAATCAACTTTTCATCTGATGGACAATTCACTTTAGATATTCTTCCTGATTGGTGTTTTTCTACTACTGTTTCTAAAGATTATAGGCATCACTCACTTGTACGTCGAAGACTGACACTGCTTCTGCCAAATATTCTTATTGAAAAGCCCCATGTCATGTTTGGGGTACATGTTGTCACAACCAATATATATCGAATGTTACTGAAAAGTTCAACAACCATGTCGATGGTCTCCAAGGGGACACAGGTCGACCATCCTTTGTATTGATATCCCTCGGGAATTAATGCATAAAAATGATGTTCATATATGACCATTGACATACCCACTTTCATACTGTTGCTGATTGGGATAGCATAAAAGCCACTCTCATTCACTTTCATTTCTATGGCTTCATAGTACCGATCAGCAGTTGGGATACAAGCAGTGGAAGAATATTGTTCATGATTTCTTGTCAGTGTGGATATGTACGTTGATATTATTGTTTGTTCAGCACCTATGCGGCACACAAATGATCATGAACTGGCCTCGATAATTTGTGTGCTCAATATATATACATATATGAAATGAATGTATTGACACAGAACACAAAAAAAAGTGAAAATTTTAGTATGACCTAATGTGAAATGTAGAAGAAAATCTGAATCGTAGTCATCATGGTCAGATTTGTCTCTTTTGCACATTTCTGTAATAAATTCGATCAAATAATGCTCTCCATTTATGAAGCGAATATTCTCTTCAGCAGTAATATATTACTCACTTATGCGTTCAAAACGAACTGGATATGAACCGAATACAGTGACTGAAAATGGGCCTGTATCATATGGATTGTATGTCGTTACAACTAGAATATATTGCGTGCCGACAAGAAGTTCAATTGTGAAGTTGAACTGATCTTTGTTGCAACATTTACCATACCAGGCAATTAGATTCTTTGTAGGATCCACTGGATCAAAATGATCTTTGTATATATGACCATAGAGATCGATACTACTGTTGGCAGTGATAACGTAAAAGTCATTTTTATCGACAACTACTTTTATCGCTTCAAGATGGTAATATATATGATAGAATCTAGTGCGTGAAAATTTTGTATGATTTCGTGTTAACATCGATGAATATGTCACTCGGGTCGTGACTGGAACATTCTCTAAATGAAACAATGGAACAAATGCAGGATAATGAAAACCAGCAATACTTACGACATGAATATATCTGTAAATCAAATTTTTGAAATCGTTTATTGGCCGCATCATAAACAAATACGTTCTTATGGACATCAAAACTAATCGCCATCGGATGATTTAATTGATGAGGTTGTTTACCCATTCCATTACAACCGAGCAAACATCGAAAGCCATTTGGTCCTGACGCAACGATGCGATTGTTTCCATTGTCCGAAATGAATAGATATTTGTCAGCATCTAAGGCAGTTGAGTGTGGTCTCTTGAGTGCAATTGTGATATCTGATGAACTTTGTCCTGCCACTGTTTTTCCAATATTTTTCCCGGACGAGAATAATTGTACTCTGTTATTCCACGTATCTGCCACGTATAAATCCAAATTTCTATCAACAAAGATTCCTGAAGGACCGTACAGTTTATCAGGAGTTGATCCAGCGATGTTCGTAATACCAGCCATAATCATCATCGGCGTTTTCCCATTTACTGATGTCTTCACAACTACAGCCAGATTATAGAGTGAACAATATAAATGATTCTCGATGTCGATGAAAATGTCTCGACAAGGTTGTTGAAAGTGAGTAATGTTCACAAATGTATTCGTACTTGCCATCCATTTAATAATTTTGCTATCAGAAAAGCTAATATAAATTTCACTGGTATTGGGAACAAATATAGAGAAAATGAGCGACCAATCGTCTCTTCCGATTATCATTGGATAAGTGGTGTTCTCGTGCCAAATCAGAATTTGTTTTTTTTGAGAAACAGCAATATAAATTGTATTGTTTGCGTCGATAAATATATCACCCTCACTAATCCCAGCTGTAGATGTATTGACAAAAGTGATTGCATCTCTACTCCATTCAACTGTTGGACAGAACTGAGGTTGATTGAACCAAAGGGCTAAACAATAAAAAAAGCAGCGAGTATATTGACGAAATCAATCAAAGCAGTAAATCTGACTGTATATATGAAGGGAATGAACACTTTCAAATTTTCTCTGTATTGCATTCATTTAACTCTCATTCCAGTCGAATAAGTAACGCTTACTGGTTATTCTATTGATTAAAATCAGCAGGAAAACAACCACCATGTTAAAACGATGATTTGTCAACATATTCAATGCAATATCCAACGAAGAAATAACTGTGTTCATACTTTCCTCGGTATTTATTTCTCCTTCTCTTTATTCTAGTCGGAATATACAGACTCGAATGATTGATATGATATGAATAAACATTCTCCAATTTTCCTTGTATTTACAGCAATCTTATGGTGTACTTTTGAAGAAGATCAATATGTGCACATAAATATTTCTCATAAGAAAGCAAAGCCATGTTCCGATAGACATAAAACGACGACAGATTATGATTTGAGACGAGATTAAGGAGAAAATCACACCTTATTGATAAACAGCAGTACTAAAATTACTCTTGGGGACATTTAACTCTGTACTTTGTTCAATGCAATAAAAGTTTGTTCTAATTTTCTCAAGTCACACGTGAAATTTAATCAGCTTCAACTAGATGAATTAAACTGCATTGAACAATGCATCAATGAAATATTCTCCATCGACGATGTTGATTGATGGTGTTAAACAAATATAGCGATAATTTTCGATTTCTAAGACCTCTTCATATGGATATTGCTTCCGCTCACGTCCTCATCATCAACACAGCAATCGAATTTAACGTTGCAGATGAAGTTGTTGTTTGTTAATGCAAATAAGAGAAAAATAATGAGACTGCGCTGTGAAAAAAAGTATGCGTTTGCTTTGAATTGTATTTGTTTAGGGTGTATTAACATATTCATCATAAGGCGAGCGACTGAGTGAAGGTTTTTTTGTTTTATAAAGGAAAATGTATGATAGAATATTCGCACATCATGAACGATACATTTTTGGAGTATAGGAGGGAATGATATAGTAAGCAGTGATTGCGGTTTCGTCTTTGCTTGAGATTGAGAGACTATTTTTAGGATGAAAAAATGATTGGATTGAAAGTGAAATATGTTGCATTCCAAGCGCGGATTAAGAGATCGTCATATATATTCTATTCTTTGAAGCTCACTGACTGCTCAATCAATATTGGAGACTGAAAACTGTATTCTTCATTCGGTACAGAGCGGGACTATTTCTTAGAAAAGTATGAGATTATCCAACAATAGTTTTATCATAGAGTAAGCCATTTTCATTCTTCTTGCTGCGCTCAAGATAGAGAATAGAGTTCACTGTTGACCCTGCTCGTCAATCTGTTTTGATTGACATATTAATATAGTCTCTAGACCTATCTGTCAGTTTCCCGTACAATTATTTGTGCCAAAACAATAACACTATCAACTGTTTGGCTGTGCGTTTAAAATTAACGGCATATTCGATCGTGCAGCTGTGATCAGTTTAATTTTCAGATAAACAACATTTGGAATTGAATTCTGTTTAAATGGAATTTATTAAAATATGGACAAAGGCAAACAACCTTGAATCAACAAAAGTAAAAGTAGCGTCGAATGCTGATATCGATGATATCAAAGAGGAGATCTTTGGTAAAGAAAAGAACAAGTATTATGCAATGTATAAGAATCAAAAGCTGACACCATCCACCCCGGCTCCCACTGATACTACGGATGCTAAACCAATTATATTTTTGAAAATTCATCAAGGCGATGAACCAGGTCCAGGTAAATGTTTCACTGCGAGAATTTAACAATGAGCCAGTTGAATCGTTCTCAATAGGCTGTTATTGATTCTTACTTAAAAAGCAGTATTATTTTAATTCTATCTAGGGAAACCAATATTCTCTCCGCCTGGTTCTCACCAAGAGCTCTGGTGCAAGGGTCGTCCTTGCTTCGATTGCGGTAGATGTCGTGACTGGTGCTATACTGGAGATTTTGAAAGCTGGCATTGGATTCGAAATTGCAAAAACTGGGAGCGAGACGATTGGAAGCGTTATCGCGATGATCATTTTTATAAACGGTTTCAGAAGTGGCAGGATGCAACTTGCACCTTCACTCACAACGATGATCATGAAAGCACTTCTGTGCGATGCTTTTTTGACTTTGGCTCTTATAACGGAGATTACCATAACTATTTTCATCATCTTATTGATCTTGACCATTTTGATCGTAGGTATGGTTATGTCGATATCCGTTTCGATCCTGCTCATGGCTTTGGCATGTATGATCGTCACAGTGACACTTTCTATGAATACAATACGATGAAGGGTGTTGATGATAGCTATACTACGGCCAGTGTGTGTGGCTTCGACTTCGAAATCTGTTTGTGTTTAAATAACAAGGCTTAGTTATCTATTTTGAATCCGATCATACGCAGTTCTACATTAACATGCATTCTTTCTGTTTCGTTTTTTGTTTATTCTTCGATGTGTGATTATTTCTTAGCTGAAGAAAAAAAAAACTATTGAAATGACCAATTCTATCTACCACTGGAAAGACTCGCGATGGAAGTAGATTTCCACGGATTTATGACCGTTTTCACATGCTTTCTGCACAGAGTCCATTAATTCTTGAGGCCCACAAGTGTAAACTCCAACCTTAGCCGATCTCGTCGCACATGGCAATACAACTTGTTGTAATAATTCGTTTGGATTCATCCTTTCTAAACTTCCCTTCACTCCGCTTGTTTGCAAGTCACATACTGCTGACGGTTCACCTTCGAGATCGTTAGAAAACCCTGCTGCTTTACCAAAAAGATGAACGCGTAGTCGAGAATCCTGACGGTTAATTAATTTTTGCAGCAAACTCAACTTTCCCGCATTGATTTCTCGAGCTGCCCAGAAGATAAAAACTAAGTAAGATCCGACATTATACTCCAATACATGTGATGCAACTGCCAATGCGCCTGCAATACCCACTCCACCAACGAAACAAGCAACTAAATTCGTTTTTGATACGTCAAACTTCAAATATCCGAACGATCCATCAATGCGAACAGTAATTTCCTTTTCTAAACATCCATTTGGAAGAAGATCTGCTAATTGATTTGTCCATTCCGATCTGAATAATGTAGGTTTTATCAATAAAACTAAACTTTCATTGTCATCTGCAACTGTAAACGGATGACTAATTTGCCATCCAAGTTCATCGATTTTGATCATAACAAAACTGCCGACATTCACGTTGATTTTCTCGAAAATATCAATTCGGATATATCCGCATTCTTCTCTTCGGATTAAAGCCTTTTTTTTCTTACTGTAATTATACAATCGAATAATCCAATCGACTAAGAGCAAAAAGGCGCCAGGCATACTATAGTACCAAACGCTACTGGTATGAAAACCTGCACTGATGATCATCAATGGGCCAAATATGATGTGAACGACGTAGAAGAAATGATATAAACGTCGTCGAACGATCGGGAAAGTGAATAACCAGAGAACTGCAATGGTGGCACCGGAAATAAAGCCGAATGTTGTCATAAATCCTGCTTTGGATACATAAAAGATCCATTTCGGACCCTGAACACCAATATTAAACGTCCAATAGAAATATGACGGCGGATCCAGAAATGTCACTGTTTTTGTCCAGATTACAAACCCATGGGCCAGACTAATCAAGCAAAGAAGAATTCCACAACGTTTATGGAAACGGAGTGCAGCATCAATATGAATACCAAGTAAATTAGGCAGAAAAGAATGACGACCTAAGGGAATGAGAATAAGGCCCAACAAAACATCAGCCATATGTCCACTGCCCATTAAAGCTGCTGACCAATACGCTTTCTCCGTCAGCGGATGAGCGGACACTGATAACATTAAATTCCAATAGAGAACAAAATTGACAGTAACAAGTGCTAAAATTGCGAGAAAAGTCAAGAATTCAAGAACTGATCCTTCAAACCAAAAGTATCGGATAAACGGATGGCGACATGGTGATACCGGAATGTCCTTTTCCAACCAATATCGAATTCTGTATGGCAATTGTGAAATTAACTTGCAAAGAAGTGCGGCAATGAAGATAAATATCAAATATAGACTGTAAAGTATTGTAATACTATCATTTGCATACGTTTCCACACAATGCGGGTGAACGCATCTGATTCGGCTAAAAACATAAAACAATCCGCTAAGAGCGATCGATGCAATGACTGTTGACCAGAGAACCACTTTGTTCGAAACCATAGTTGAATAGAAGTCCGTGGAAATACTGCAGGCTTTTATACGTAGAAAGAAAGCGTACCATTAGCGCGGTTAAGAGTGCGATGCTTTAAATAGACCAAGCAAAGAGCAACCGTTTTTGTTATGTGTAGAAAGTTTTTCAAAAATTTTGCAGCGTAGTTTTCTTATCTATGGATGACATCGAGAAATACTTTGCGTGCAAATACCAAATTTGTTTCTTAAAATTAATTTCGAAGCTCATGTGACTTCTTTTTGGACGAATCAGTAATCCTCAGGTCGAAAAGTTTATCTTATCAGATTTCATCTAAGAATAGTACATCGAACTTTTCTTCGATAGATAAATAACGTGCAGAAAGAATGCTTTTTATCAAATCCATAAACAAAACACAAAGTCCAGTGTCATGAATATTCCTGTGTGCTCGAAAACCGATTTTGAAATGTGTCATCACGTCGAAATCGACCTTATTTTTGATTATCTTCTGTGTACTCATTGATTTCGTCAGATTCGATACGCAAGTCTTTTGTCGAATATAGAAAAAATTCGTGTCGTTTAGATTAAACATATATCGACATCTAATCAACGTAATTATATTCTCCTTTTTTTTCAGAATGTTTCATCTGAGTAGAGGTTTTACCAAAGAGAACACAACAAAAATGTTTAAGCTTTCTTGACAATCAAGTTTGACACACATTTTTTCTTTTTCTGTTACTCAATATGACATTATTGAATGAAAATGACCTTTTACATGGAAGATGTGAAAATTTGCCAGATGTTCGGTCGAAGATCGTTCGCGTTTTCATTAGTTCAACATTTTCAGACACGCTGAGTGAACGAGATTCGTTAATCGACACCGTTTTCCCTCGACTCAAAGACTATTGTCGTGAAAAATATGGTCTTGAATTTCAAGTACGTTCGAATTCATTGATTTGTTTGCTTTCACGTTAGGAATTCTCGGTTAAAGTATTCAGATATGCGATGGGGAATTGAAGGTGAAGCCGCTGACAATCACAGTGAAGTAGGAACCTGTTTGAAAGAAATCGACCTGTGTAAAAAATATTCCGTCGCGACGAATTTTGTGGTTTGTTGTATTTTTGACAGTATTAAAAGGAAGATTTTTCTTTGAACAGGTTTTACTAAGTCATCGTTATGGTTCCCGACCGACACCTGCGAAGATCGACTCATCGCTATTCGAACGCTTACGAGACATTGTTCAATCGGATCCAAATCTCATCGAAGATCTCGAATTGCTTTCTCAATGGTATCAATTAGATACAAATTCCATTCCATCATCTTATATTCTTCGTTCGATTTCCTCATTATTACCGAATATCAAATCTAACGTAAGAGAAGATGTCGTTCTAATGGATTCATTTTCTCTCTGTTCTTTTACAGAATACGACTGAAATGAAAGAAGCAGGAAAACAGTGGAATCGGATCAATGATCGCATTCGCACGTGTTTGAGACAAGCAGCAGAAAGGTGCTTTCAACAGAATCAAATTACTTCGGATGAATATGACGACTTTTTTGTCTCAGGTAAAAAAATATTTTCTTTCTTTAAATGTGTTTTTTAATTGCTTAGCTACCGTGCAATAGAATATTTTCTCTTCTTATTCGTCACGATATGCCGGTTACAATGTTTTGTCGTTTATTTTAGTTACTGAGAAAGAAATCATCAAGGGAATACTACAGGCACCAGATGCTAATCAACGAACGTTGTGTTTTTTGAGGGAAATCGATGGAATTGGTGAGCATTTATCGGATAAAAAAGCGTCGAAGTATATCGATACGAAGTTGACAAAAGACGGAACTGTTGTGATCGATAAAGAAGCAGAAGATTTGTTGAATCGATTGAAGTTTACACGAATTCCGAAGGCATTAGATTCAAAGAACGTGTTTTCCTACAAAGTTCCTTGGACATCCAATGGAATCACTCGAGACGCTCATCAGGAGTATATCAAGAAATTTCATGAAGATTTCTTCACTTCGATCAAACAGCAAATCGATACGTGTTTGCAATCTTCTTTGATCACAAGTCTGAATTTATTACAACGTGAAATTCTCGAACATGCTATTCAATGTCAAACGTATGTGAAGAAGTTTCACAGTCGTACGGATACTTTAGAAAAAGTAAATGCTTTGTGTTCGATGACATATTCGAAAAAGAAAAGAATCTATGATTTTAGCTGGAAAAATACGTGAACAATGAAGAAGAACATCGACCGTGTATTGTTTACGGTCCATCAGGTTGTGGGAAAACGAGTGTAATGGCAAAAACTGCTACCGAAGTAAAACCTCAGATGTGAATTTTCATATACAAATTTTCCTGTTTAGATATTCAAATGGTGGTCAAATCGATCTGTATCCGTAATCCTACGCTTTCTCGGGTATTCTTTATCATATATGATTTTCTCATAGTAAAATTCCGTTTTCTCTTCTATAGAACTACCCGCACGTCGTCAACCATTTACAAAGTATTTTTATCTATTTCGGAACAAATTTGTCAATTGTACAATTTAACGATGCAAATGTATACCGATGTTTCTCAATTACGAAATCAACTTGAAAATGATCTGTTGCCATACATTCCTCCAAATCAGTATCTTCTTCTTCTGCTTGATTCCATTGATCAGCTTGAAACAGATTCTTATGATTGTAATTGGTTATTACCGAGGTTCCCCAAGAATGTCAAATGTATTGTGTCAACATTACCTGACCATGGAAATATATTGTCCAATTTAAAATCTCTCATTAGCTTCAGTCCGGCTGCAGTAGATGAAACTGAACATATTCTCGTTTTAGTTCCCCCATTCGATGTTTCAACAGTTGATTCGGTTTTCGAGAATTGGCTTCAAATGAGGAAACGCTCATTAACTGACGATCAACGATCGTTCATACATGAAGTCATTTCTGGAAGTTCAAACATGTTACCATTGTACGTGAAACTTATCTTTGATATCATTTCCACATGGCATTCGTACGATCCAATCGATCAAGAACTGATAAAATTGAAAAATGTCGATGATTGTATCAGATATCTGTTTCGATATTTGAGTAAAATACACAATACAATACTGTTTCATCATGCAATAATTTATATGACATCATGTCGAAACGGTATCAGTCAAAATGAACTTGAAGATATTCTCTCACTTGACGACGATGTTTTGAAAAGTGTTTTTCAACATTATATTCCGCCCGTTCGTCGTATTCCTGGTATTTTATGGACAAGAATTCGAAATGATTTGGATGAATATATTACTGAGAAAGAAGTAGATGACTCGCCTGTTATTTACTGGTAAGATTGGCATATTCAACGGGAAAACGTTTGTGATAGTTGACGTTTAGGTATCATCGTCGATTCATTGAAGTTGCCAATTCTGAATACATTTCGAAACTGAGTAGCGATCAACGAAAAGATATATTTCAAAATGTAGTTGACTTCTACAAAGAAACATGGAAGAACAAGAATAAACCAATAAAAATCAACAATCCGCATTTAGTCAGCAAATATCAATTGAATGACACGAATGGTGAAATTCAAGCGAATCGATTGACAACTTCTCAACCAATCGAATTCATTGATGCCAATGGTCGAACGCAGTTTAATAAAAGGAAGCTAAATGAATTACCACAATTTGTTAATCAACTAACGTCTAGCTTGGCTCTCCCGATTGCTGCTGATGAAATATTTTTCAATTATTCATTCATGCGTAAGTAATATACATGATAAAAATTCGAAAGAGAGNCGAATGGTGAAATTCAAGCGAATCGATTGACAACTTCTCAACCAATCGAATTCATTGATGCCAATGGTCGAACGCAGTTTAATAAAAGGAAGCTAAATGAATTACCACAATTTGTTAATCAGCTAACGGCTAGCTTGGCTCTCCCGATTGCTGCTGATGAAATATTTTTCAATTATTCATTCATGCGTAAGTAACATTTCAGTTTCCTCTTCGAATACTAAATAAACTGGACATATTTGCGAGAATGACTGTAAACTTTGTTCACTTTCAGGTGGCAAAATTGCCTGTTCAACATTCAACGATATACTCGATGAAGCACAAAACTTAAAACAAACATCTTCATATAATCTTTCGGAATATGTATTGGGAATCAAGAAAGAACTTGACATATTTTCCATGCTGTACTTACTCATCGGTGGCCTGCTGCAAGAATATCCAGAAAATTTCCCCTTTGAATATTCAGCACGTCTTTTGACCTTATATGGAATCAAACCATGTATAACATCATTGATAAAACAGTTCGACAAAGAAAGTATTCATCATTGTGCATTAATCGTTCCTTATTGTCAAATTCAACCGCCTGGAAATGGTTTACTGTTTTCCACCATTCGTCATTCATCACCAATTGTTGATTTTGACTTCACTGATGACCAAATCAATGCAATTACTCTTTCGAATCGAATTGTTGTTATCAATATGTCAACTGTTAAAACAGTTTTAGATATCAAACTACCAGATATAGATGAGCCGTATTTAAACGCAACAACATTAGCAAAAATATATCATTTAAATGAGAAGAATGATGTCATTGAACATTCATCGGACAATGCAGAAGATGAATATAAACAGTATCTATTTCTTATTAATTCTCGTCATCACGTTTATTTGATTTCAACACAAGAAACGATCAAATATCAGCGTTCGTCAACTAATGGTTTCTTAGTTACGAAAGTTCTTGATAAGAAACGATCTCTTTGTACAATAGCAGAAATCAATGGTACTTCCATTGAATGTTATGATCTTGCTCGAAACCGTTTATTTACAAAGATTGACTTTCCAAAATCGATTCTCAAACAAGTTTTGTGTGTTCCTATGTATTCCATGATCGTTACCTTGTTAAACGACGGAACTATTCATATTCATTCGATTACCGATTGGGCAAAGACATCATTCGTTCACCGAGGTACAATTCATGCGGGAAAGCATCTTCATCAAGTTACTCATGATAGTGGAAAGTTAATTTGTACATTTGATGAGACGATTCCAATCGATTTGTCAATTATTCCACTAAAGCAATTTCATCAGGATGAAAAAGTGTTAATTGACGATCAAGTCGTGAAGACATTGATTAGTTTTAGTCCTCCGATCGAACCGAAACCATTCAAAAGAATAATTCTATCTGATAAAGAAATAATGAACAACGGAAGTTCAAAGGAATATTTTTCATCGTTTATAATCGAAACCAATGATTCAATCTACGTTGTTCACAAATGCGGCGCCTCTCGTTTATCATACATGCGTATTCCTGGTCAGTTCGATCTTATCACAATGCATCTTACAAATGATCGATGTATTCTTACTGCTCGTGGTGGTATTATTGAGATTTATCAGTATAAATGCGTTGCAAATGACGAAACTGGTGAATTCAATCACGAATATCAGTTATTCGTATCGATTGATACCGGTTCTTCGGCAGCCACTGCGATCAAGCCTTCGTCTGACAACGGTAAACTCGTCTTGCTCCGCTTACGACTAACTATTTGATTGATATCTGTGTATTTTCTAGCATCGATATTTCTCTGTTCATTCGAAAACGGCGTCATTCAAGCATATTATGCAAAACACGCGCGGGAGTCTTTTAAAACAATGCCAACGTTTCCACGTGCACANCGAATGGTGAAATTCAAGCGAATCGATTGACAACTTCTCAACCAATCGAATTCATTGATGCCAATGGTCGAACGCAGTTTAATAAAAGGAAGCTAAATGAATTACCACAATTTGTTAATCAACTAACGTCTAGCTTGGCTCTCCCGATTGCTGCTGATGAAATATTTTTCAATTATTCATTCATGCGTAAGTAATATACATGATAAAAATTCGAAAGAGAGCAATATTTTGGCATATTTTGAATGACTGTAAACTTTGTTTACTTTCAGGTGGCAAAATAGCCTGTTCAACATTCAACGATATACTCGATGAAGCACAAAACTTGAAACAAACATCTTCATATAATCTTTCTGATTATGTACTGGGAATCAAGAAAGAATTGGACATATTTTCCATGCTATACTTACTCATCGGTGGCCTGCTGCAAGAATATCCAGAAAATTTCCCCTTTGAATACTCAGCACGTCTTTTGACCTTATATGGAATCAAACCATGTATAACATCATTGATAAAACAATTCGACAAAGAAAGTATTCACCATTGTGCATTAATCGTTCCCTACTGTCAAATCCAACCGCCTGGAAATGGTTTACTGTTTTCCACCATTCGCCATTCATCACCAATTGTTGATTTTGACTTCACTGATGATCAAATCAATGCAATTACTCTTTCGAATCGAATTGTTGTTATCAATATGCAAACTGTTAAAACAGTTTTAGATATCAAACTACCAGTTATAGATGAGCCGTATTTAAACGCAACAACATTAGCAAAAATATATCACTTAAATGAGAAGAATGATGTCATTGAACATTCATCAGACAACACAGAAGATGAATATAAACAGTATCTATTTCTTATTAATTCTCGTCATCACGTTTATTTGATTTCAACACAAGAAACGATCAAATATCAGCGTTCGTCAACTAATGGTTTCTTAGTTACAGAAGTTCTTGATAAGAAACGATCTCTTTGTATAATAGCAGAAATCAATGGAACTTCCATTGAATGTTATGATCTTGCTCGAAACCGTTTATTTACAAAGATTGACTTTCCAAAATCGATCCTCAAACAAGTTTTGTGTGTTCCGATGTATTCCATGATCGTTACCTTGTTAAAAGACGGAACTATTCATATTCATTCGGTTACCGATTGGGCAACGACATCATTCGTTCACCGAGGTACAATTCATGCAGGAGAGCATCTCCATCAAGTTACTCATGATAATGGAAAGTTAATTTGTACATTTGATGAAACGATTCCAATCGATTTGTCAATTATTCCACTAAAGCAATTTCATCAGGATGAAAAAGTGTTAGTTGACGATCAAGTCGTGAAGACATTGATTAGTTTTAGTCCTCCGATCGAACCGAAACCATTCAAACGAATAATTCTATCTGATAAGGAAATAATGAACAACGGAAGTGCAAAGAAATATTTTTCATCGTTTATAATCGAAACCAATGATTCAATCTACGTTGTTCACAAATGCGGCGCCTCTCGTTTGTCATACATGCGTATTCCTGGTCAATTCGATCTTATCACAATGCATCTTACAAATGATCGATGTATTTTTACTGCTCGTGGTGGTATTATTGAGATTTACCAGTATAAGTGCGTTGCAAATGACGAAACTGGTGAATTCAATCACGAATATCAGCTATTTGTATCGATTGATACCGGTTCTTCGGCAGCCACTGCGATCAAGCCTTCGTCTGACAACGGTAAACTCGTCTTGCTCCGCTTACGACTAACTATTTGATTGATATCTGTGTATTTTCTAGCATCGATATTTCTCTGTTCATTCGAAAACGGCGTCATTCAAGCATATTATGCAAAACACGCGCGGGAGTCTTTTAAAACAATGCCAACGTTTCCACGTGCACANGTATCGATTGATACCGGTTCTTCGGCAGCCACTGCGATCAAGCCTTCGTCTGACAACGGTAAACTCGTCTTGCTCCGCTTACGACTAACTATTTGATTGATATCTGTGTATTTTCTAGCATCGATATTTCTCTGTTCATTCGAAAACGGCGTCATTCAAGCATATTATGCAAAACACGCGCGGGAGTCTTTTAAAACAATGCCAACGTTTCCACGTGCACATCAGCATATCAAAGTACTTCAACTGTATGGAAATCGAGCGTTTACATTAGACGACTCTCGACGGTAAATTCGAACTTTAGAAAACTGAATTTCATTTTTAATTTTCAGCGAATTAACCACATGGGCATATCAACACTCTGCAGCGATAGTCTCGACACATTTATTTAATGAAAACATCCTCATTGAACATTTCGCCGTTTTGCCGAATAATGCTAATAAGGACATCCCGTATGTGATCGTCTTTACAAAGAGCCATTGGATTCAAATTTATTCCTGTGAATCATTGGATAAAAAACCGATATTCAAACAAAATCTTCGGACACTTGCACGAGTTCACACGACAGCTCATGGGAATATTTATGTTTTGACCAAGAATTCGTTGATTTATTCATTTGGTCAACGAACTCTCTCGAATAATTCCAATGAATTTTATCAAATCAATCAGATCCAGTTAGAAATTCAATCGTCAATGATGTTCAGTTCAATATGTCGAATCAAAGGAAATGAAAGTTTAGTCATCTTCTCTGACGATATGAAATCCTTGGTTATCTACACAACCGAGAATACAATTGATATGAAGATCGATATTTCATCATACATTTCCTCACCATCAACAAAAGTACAATTACTCGAAAGTGAACAAACCGAGAATTGCCTATTCTTCTATTTCAATGATCAAACTCTCCTCTCATGTCAAATCAATCTTCAACAAAATCCATTTCAATTTCACTCCTTTTTAAATGTCAATAAATTTGCTCTGAAAAACTCTTCTTTGGCATTATATTCCCATGATAAACTACAAGTAAATGTTTACAAGAATTCATTCGAAAAACAATTTCAAGCAATCAAATTGGATAATCAATGTGAACATTTATGTTTCAATGCAACAGGAGAATATTTGTTCGTGTTAATCAAACCAAGAATACTTTCTATGTATCGAACAAAGGATAATCGACAAATGGCGAAGTTATTTGTTTATGATTTTGTTACATCAATGAACGCGGATGAAGAATTTGTCGTTTTGGCTATGAAAGATCGACGATTGTTGACTTTAATGATTGCGGATCCCCATGATTCGACTTTACACAATCGAATACAACAACTTCCGAGCAGGTAAGAGCCAAAGCTTCGTTTCATTCCGTCGTGTGTAAGTCAATCTGATTTTATAGGAATATCGAATCGACTAACCAATCTGATGTTAATAAACTCGTCGAATATTTGAACAAATGCGCTGATTTCGGTTCGAGTGATGAAGAAAAAGACGATGAAGAGTCAGATTGGAAAGAACGATCTATCGCACCAATCAGCTCGTTTCGTTTTGTCACTCGATTGATTGGTCGTTGTTCACATTCAAAAATGAAGAATGACGAGGAAATCCGATCGAAAATAATTTCTATATTCGAAAATACAGAAGAAACCATCGATCTAACCCAAGTAGAGAACGATTCGGATGATGATGACGTTGTATCAACACATATCGAACCACAGCAAGCAACAGTCAACACGAACCTGGATGATATTCGTCAGAAGACATCAGAATACGATCAAAATCAAATCAAAGGCGTCCAATTCGCAAATGCTGGAAGTGCAAATCTGAAAGTTATCAACAATCATTCTGTCACATCAGAGACATGCGTTATTGTCTAATTAGAAATAAATTTATCTCAAAAGACTTTCTTTCCGATATTGTTGTGCAGAAGTGTTCTCTAGGTATTCTGGCGAATTTATCCCAAAACAGCAGTTGCGACATAGTGTTTCATGGAAAGGTGATTTGTATTTTGAAAACAAAAGTATCATAAACATTTGATTTGAGAATTTCCTCACCAAAGAACTATGTACCTGACTTAAACCTATTTGCATTATCTAATCATCAGTATAATGTAGTTTGCTCGAGTGATTTTGTTACTAAGACTCTGCGAGCAAGGTAATGATCGATGTTTTTGAAGTTTTCAACTAATGAATGTATCTCAATCAACGTTGTATACATCAAATATTACCAATTAATCATTTGATGACTGAAGATTGGATTGCAAATGTATACTGTCTTTGTATACTTATTTTCAAACATCTCGACGATCTTCTCTCTCTATATATATATTGACCAAACTGATTAGTCTATTGGCGAATTTAGCATTTATTTCTCGCTCGATGTTCTCCTTTGTCTTTCGGAACTTTGAATAATTATTCTCTCAGCGAGAATTTCAATGATCGTCAATGGATAACAAGCATATCATTTTTTTCCATACTATAACTAATACACGCCGTCACCATATACATACTGATATGAGAATCGAAACGATCGCTGTGTCATCATCATAGTCATTTCGTTTTTCTATGGAAGTTTATCGCTGAGATTAAAACTAATCATTTTAGTTGATCTCTATTTGATTGACATGATTACTCTATTCGTTATATCACATCATACTTTGTCTAATTCGATTCCATCCAAGGATTTTCTCTACATCGTCAGCGCATAATTTCAGTTGCGCGCTTCACTCTGTCAATTATCGAAACAACAGGTGCGAACGTGTTCCTGAACATATAATCTATCGAAAATACTTTATCAGTCATCTGCTTAGAACATTCCACTGAGTTACAACGGATGTAATTGTGCACTATAATTCCAATAAGTAATTTATCTTATGAATCTGATTTTGATCAGTGCGTTCCATTTTCCTATGTTTATTTTTATGTTGATAAGAGTAATATAATTGAAGATATGTTGACATCGATTGATTGTTATTCTGATTCTTGAACAGATTTCATATCGAACGCGGCGAGCAACTGGATGTGTCTGTTTATCTTAAAATGTGACATCAGCCTAGAACAGGAGATACTAAAACTTCCCAAATCGATTTTTTTTATTTGGAAAAGAAAAAGTGAAATACTGAAAGATTAATCTCTGTGATTTAACGTATCACCTGTGTATTGAAATTTCGTTTTGTTCTTGGTAGGTATGGCTTCATTTGATTACTAATGATGATCGACAAACAACTCTTCTGTTTTTTCCTGATTCTAATCAGGTAAACGAATCGATCTGTTACATATGATACAACTTAACATTTATTTTTTAGTACCACAGGTTTGTTTATTGAATCATAATCTTTTTCTCTCTTAGAATCCTTTGATACATAGTTCAAGTAAACTCGCAGTTATGTATGAGTACTGATCAATATGGTTCCTGTTCAACAAACAAAGAATGCGGTTGTTTTCATATGCTAAATACCGAAAATATTGGTATTTGTGCTTTTCTCTGGCCAAGTTGTTCACAATTCACTCCCTGTAATGCAACGGGCAATACGTGTGATAGACAAAGTACAATTTGTGTCCAACACCCACGATGTCACAATCGTCCCATTTGTTATCCGACCTCACTAATGGACGAACGATTGTGTCCATAAACATTTACTTGAAAAATAGAAATGGATTCGTCTCAAATCGATGTTTCTTCTTCTATAGTTGAAAGTGTTCGTTTCGGTGGGGGTTTTGCATTGACATAAACAAAGCGTTGAATAACTGGCTTACGCCGTTTTGCTCGCCGTTCTTTTCGTATTCGTTCGCGCTCTCGTCGTACGGGATCAATGCCGAAAAAGTATCTGAGAAAGTCCATAATAATAACGAACAATATAACGCTGATCATTGCTAGAATTGCAATGAAAGCGAACGACGTCGCGACAACTCGATATATATAAAGTTTTGTTGTAATTTTTTCGCAATGTTCACCACCGGTTCCAAAGAGACACTCACATTTATAAGCACCTAACAGTGGACGACAAACGCCTCGATTGTAACAGGTGATATTCCAGCAATAATTTATTTTTCGTTCACATCTCGTTCCTTCGTAACCATATGAACATGTGCAATCATATGTAGAATTTGTTATCGGACGACAAGTACCTAAACAGAGACATTTTCGCAGAGTTTAATAATGAGAAAAACAGAATTTACCGTAGAGACAAGTATTTAATTTACAAGGACTTCGACTGAATTGACATTGTTTGTCAAAGAAATCAATGTGACATGAACAATTGTAATCGTGCCCGTTGTTCAGATCAATGCAGTTGCTATTGTTCGGACACGGCTTTTGCATAGCACAAACTGTTCCGGATATATTACAATTTTGACCAATATTTGTTGTAGTACCACAGGAGTCAACAACAATAAACATTGATGTTGAATTATCTATACAGTAGACCTTTATTATAATGTAAGGCGAAATCTGTACGCATACCTCGATATTTAGATAAAGATGAAGTTAAATATGGTTTTTCTGTTGTTCTCAATTGATCTAAGTAGTTCGAATTCGAAACCACTTTGGAATGTAAAAACACTTACCGCATGTATTCATTTTTGAACGAAATATTTGAACGCGAAAGTTCCATTCATCAGCAACATACAAGTTTCCAACACTGTCAAAATAAACAGTATGTGGATGATAAAGTTGATTAGAAGATGATCCCGATGTATTCGTATTGCAACCAGCTATGTACTCAAACTCGCCATTTCCCACTCGGACTATACAATGCTGTAGGCTATCCGCAATGTACAAAAAACCATTTCCATCACCCGTCACACCAGTGGGATATTGAAGTGTTAAACCTTCTGGAATGTTCGATCCAGCCACTGTGTCCCCGTTCAAGTCTCCACGTCGAAATAACTGAACTCTGTTGTTCCCACCATCAGCCACATATAAATGATAATTGAGATCAACAAATATTCCCATAGGTTGATCAAGTTCATATGACCCCGATCCTGCTTTGCCTGTTCCTGCTATGTATCTCTCCGTGTGATTATCACTGGTTAGTAATACTTTCACTACTAAGTGATTTTCGTGACGAGAACAATAGAGGGTGTTGCGAATGTCAACAAAGAGACCAAAGCAGTGTGCAGACAGTCTTGTAATAAGTTTACTTTCGGTAGAACTTGATGTAAACTTCCGAATTTCACCTGTTTTTTCACCATTCTCGAAATAGATATCGCCATTCAATGTCACAAATAAAGGCGTAAACTCGTACAAACTAGCGTTTAACTGTCGTAGTTGGTCAACACTCTGATTAGACCAAATGAGAATTCGGTTCTTCATATGGTCGGCTACGTAGAGGGTATCGTTCAAATCGACGAAAATGCCGCGAACTTTTGAAGTAAGAGTTTTGTTATCAACAAAAGTGACACCACATTTACTCCATGTTGTGTTCGACAAGAACTTCGGTTGATTGAATGAAACTAAATACAGAAAAGTGTGCCTGAGTGCAACAACGTTTTCTCTTTCTCTTTCTCTAGTGTCTATCGCATTCATCAAATTATGATGATAATAGTATAATTTCGTACTCACCAGGATAGTTGAGAATTTGAAATTGTTGCACTCGGTTATTTGCCCACTCACTCACATACAGTGAACCAAAACTATCGAATGCTAACGAATGCGGTTCGCGTAACTGAGTTGGTTTATTTCCCGCTGTTGCTGAACATGCAACGATACATACTCCAGAGATTGAACCAGGTTTCCAACGAGTGATGCGCGAGTTGCCTAGTTCACTAATGTAAAGCAACTCATTTTCATCAACAATCACATCTGTTGGTGACTTCACTTGCGTCAGACTGTTTCCAGCTGTTCCATCACCAGCCACACGAATTCCAACTGATGCTCCAGATGTCCATTTCATCACTCGATGATTCTCACGGTCTGCAATATAGATCGTTCCCACATCAGTGACGAATATCCCGTGCGGCCGAGCCAGTTGTTCATTGGCAGATCCTCGAGTTCCATTTCCAGCCACTCTTAAGCTCTCTGATGAACTCGATCGGAAAACAAACACACTGTGAATAGCTCTGTCGCTGACGTATATGTCGCCATGATTGTCAATGTAAAAATAGAGCGGATCTTTCAATCCAGTTAAATTACGTGTTATAGTTGACTTTGATCCGTTCAGCGGCATTTTCTCTATGCGACGGTTTCCTCGGTCGAGAACGTAGAGAGATGAGTTGAAAATGAAAACATCAGTTGGATCTCGAAACTGACCGAGATCTGAGGCGCGTATGGAATCGATAGTAGAAGTATTCATTGAAGAATGAAGATGAACTAGAACAATTCGACTATTATTTCCGTCGGCGACATATAGAATATCGTTGTCTGTAATTAATATCCCAATAGGCTTATTAAGTTGAAAAGATAACGATCCTGGTATTGCGTCTGGGGAACCTGCAACTGTAGTACCATTTTGACTCCATATTGAATGAGATGATAGTTTAATTTGCACTAGAAAGATAAAATATATGCTTAATGTATTTAGTGAGTTAGAATATGGACAGCTAATCGTTAATCAGATAATATTCAAATGAAATATGTTGCCGAAGCTAAAAGTTTTGAATAATTACTTGATACGGCAGTGCTTAGTATTACCAGAACAAAGCATTTCATGAAACAGTATCTACTTGTCATCTGATGAACTTTGAAGCTTTTTTCTAAATGGAAACTAAAGAATAAATATATTTCACTTGAATAATGTGTTTTCTCTCTCTTTCAGCTTATTATTCAATATTTAGAGTATTTGAACGAACCAACTGATAGCATCACAAAGATTTGCGATTTATCCGTGCATTTCGATATCCTATACTTAATTGCTTTATATTATATGTAAACTGGATTGAATTGATCATAATATTAACTAAGAGAGGAAGATCTAATTAATCTCAATGAGTAGAATGTATTTTTCAGAGAAAAAAAGTACATCATGTCAAATAACGACTGACGTCAATTGGACACACATTTGTTTCACTCTTTTTTTTATCACGTACATCTCATTTGACACGCTTGATCAATGTTTGTCAATTGATACAGCGAGAGAAAGATTTTATTTATTAAAATGTCATGTCTTTTTTACATGAGCTTTTACAAAAATTCTCATCCAGAGAGATTACGTGATATTCACAATAACTATATATTCGAAAATCTTACTTCCGTTAGTGATAGTACTGGACCATAGATAAGAAATTCGCTTAGAAATGCTACGTTTACAGCTGCAAGATGTCTTCAAATATAGATTCGACATATTTCAACGGGAGTTGATTTTGATTGCAAATTGACTTTGTCTATGAAGCACGTTCGATTCACAGTGAAGTTTCATCATCATTGTACGTCTATCTTCAACTGTAAACGCTAAGAGTTTTTTCTGTATGAACATATATTATTTAGCTGTGAACGATATCTATACATATGGTGATTGTTATCGAAAATGAACACTTTATTTCTTTCATCAACATTTCACTGTAACAATACCATACGAATCATTTGATTCTATCCACCAACTTTATTTACAGGATATAGCTGTGACGTTAAAGTCGTTTGACTGCATTACACGTGTTCGTCGATAGTTGACAGAAAATAGCAACTGTAAATGAATACCCGATGACGTGAATCCCATTTTCTCCATAGAAATCGTATTTTTCAAGTGATAACAGTCTTCCATCGACTGTTGTCTGACTCTCATCACGAGTTTGATGACGGTAATTGTCCCAGGGTATCAATGTAAAGCAAATAGACAAATATTATCCGTTATTGATCAACGAAAACTATCAATTCAAGGAGAAACACGTTCTGTTTTCTGATTGTCGCCACTGTAGGCGATATTTTGTTTTAACTAATATTTCTACCGACGTCATTTCTCAAAACAAAGCACGGATAATATTAATTACGACTGTTCACATCAAACTGTCTTTCTCGACCATATTCAACGGTTAATTTCAAAACGAAATGAAATCATATTATTATTTATTTCTATATTCCATTATCCTGTTCATCGATGTTGAGTCTTCAAGTAACTATCGACATTTTTTTTCTGTTTCGTATATACTATAGCCAGCATATCAGTAAAGATAAACTATCAAATAAACCTATTTTCTATACCTTTGCATTTACTTCATGTAAGAATGGATTCTTAGACATGACTGGTTTTCATAAAGAATATTTACACCCTTCGCCCACTTTCTTTCCTGCGACAAAAAAAGTTTCTTAATACTATTTCTTGAGGAATATGGACAACGACGCATTCGTTTACTTGATCTTCAATTACGCTTGATATTACAACCAAACATATCTTTGTCCATAGCAATTGTTAACGGTGCGGTTTTCGTTCGTATGAGAGGAAAGATCATCCCATCAGACATGAATTCTTGAGATTTTCTCTCAGATTATGCGGTTGAATGTTGAGTTGATTCTCGTCTCATTTGAACATATCACTAAAACTGTATTCTTCCCTATATGTTTTCATTTCAATGAATGAATGTGTGACAAATTTATCTTCACTTGAATTCATCTGGATTTCGATACTGAAAATAAATGGAAGATTTTGTCAGAAGTTTTTCTCCCATTTTGGTATATAGTTCTCTCACCAGTCCTTATTAAACTGTACTAATAGCTTTTTTAAAACACAAATCAATGTTTGTCTAAAAATCTTTCTTTGTTCAAAGTGAAAGTTAGACTATCATCTCATTCAATATGGAGTCAAAATGGTACTACAGTTGCAGGTTCCCCAGACGCAATACCAGGATCGTTACCTTTTCAACTTAATCAGCCTATTGGAATATCAATTACACACAACGATATTCTTTATATCGCCGAGGAGGGTAATAGTCGAATTGTTATAGTTCATCTTCATTCTTCAATGAATACTTCGACTACCGCTTCCATACGCGCCTCAGATCTCGGTCACTTTCGAGATCCAACTGATGTTTTCATTTTTAACTCATCTCTCTACGTTCTCGACCGAGGAAACCGTCGCATAGAGAAAATGTCGCTGAACGGATCAAATTCAACTATAAAACGTAATTTAACTGGTTTGAATGTCCCGCTCTATTTTTACATTGACAATCATGGCGACATACACGTCAGCGACAGAGGTACTCACAGTGTGTTTGTTTTCCGATCGAGTTCATCAGAGAGCTTAAGAGTGGCTGGAAATGGAGCCCGAGGATCTGCCAATGACCAACTGGCTCGGCCGTACGGGATATTCGTCACTGATGTGGGAACGATCTATATTGCAGATCGTGAGAATCATCGAGTGATGAAATGGACATCTGGAGCATCAGTTGGAATTCGTGTGGCTGGTGATGGAACAGCTGGAAACAGTCTGACGCAAGTGAATTCGCCAACAGATGTGATTGTTGATGAAAATGAGTTGCTTTACATTAGTGAACTAGGCAACTCGCGCATCACTCGTTGGACACCTGGTTCAATCTCTGGAGTATGTATCGTTGCATGTTCAGCAACAGCGGGAAATAAACCAACTCAGTTACACGAACCGCATTCGTTAGCATTCGATAGTTTTGGTTCACTGTATGTCAGCGACTGGAAAAATAACCGAGTGCAACAATTTCAAATTCTCAACTATCCTGGTGAGTACGAAATTATACTATTATCATCATAATTTGATGAATGCGATAGACACTAGAGAAAGAGAAAACGTTGTTGCACTCAGGCACACTTTTCTGTATTTAGTTTCATTCAATCAGCCGAAGTTCTTGTCGAACACAACATGGAGTGAATGTGGTGTCACTTTTGTTGATAACAAAACTCTTACTTCAAAAGTTCGCGGCGTTTTCGTCGATTTGAACGATACTCTTTACGTAGCCGACCATATGAAGAGCCGAATTCTGATTTGGTCTAATCAGAGTGTTGACCAAGCACGACAGTTAAACGCTAGTTTGTACGAGTTTACGCCTTTATTTGTGACATTGAATGGCGATATCTATTTCGAGAATGGTGAAAAAACAGGTGAAATTCGGAAGTTTACATCAAGTTCTACCGAAAGTAAACTTATTACAAGACTGTCTGCACACTGCTTTGGTCTCTTTGTTGACATTCGCAACACCCTCTATTGTTCTCGTCACGAAAATCACTTAGTAGTGAAAGTATTACTAACCAGTGATAATCACACGGAGATACACATAGCAGGAACAGGCAAAGCAGGATCGGGGTCATATGAACTTGATCAACCTATGGGAATATTTATTGATCTCAATTATCATTTATATGTGGCTGATGGTAGAAACAACAGAGTTCAGTTATTTCGACGTGGAGACTTGAATGGGGACACAGTGGCTGGATCGAACATTCCAGAAGGTTTAACACTTCAATATCCAACTGGTGTGACGGGTGATGGAAATGGTTTTTTGTACATTGCGGATAGCCTACAGCATTGTATAGTCCGAGTGGGGAATGGCGAGTTTGAATACATAGCTGGTTGCAGTATGAGACGTGGATCATCATCGAATCAACTTTATCATCCACATACTGTTTATTTTGACAATGTTGGGAACTTGTATGTTGCTGATGAATGGAACTTTCGCGTTCAGATATTTCGCTTAGAAATGAGTACATGTGGTAGGTAGAAGTAGTAGGAACAAATAGAGGAGAATTCTCGGAATGTCTTTTAAAGGTTGTTATCCTCCCATTATCAAAATAATCCCATCTGGAACTGTACTAAGAGTCCGACGTAATCAATATTTTTACATAAGCTCCGAAATTGAACTTCGATGTAATCTGTCTGAATCATTCTCAGCACAATGGTCAATTTTGAATTGTGCATCACCATGTTTCGATGAAACAATTGATATGTACAAGAATAATCTGTACATTCCATCCCAAACTCTTCCGTATGGGATCTATCAATTCGAATTAATAGTGAAGATGACGAATTTTCACGAAATAAAATCTTCAGTATTCGTTGACGTCAAAATTATTGCCTCCAGTATCATAGCTCATCTTGTTTCGTATGATACACTAATCATTAAGCATCACTATGAAGAAAATCTTGTCCTGAATCCCGGCAATTATTCTTACGACCAGAATTTAATCCATTTCAATCAACACGTATGTTTTCACAAAGAGCCTTTGTTTGATTTTTTTTCTCCTTTTTAGGACTGGCATTATGAATATTATTGTCGAATTTATTCAACGAACTCTCAACAATTCTCCACCTTTGAAGACTCAAACCAAACTTGTTTACTAGGTGAATGGACTTATAATAATGTAAATCGTACAGCTATAACAATCTTCAGTAAAGCATTCCAATTAAACCAAACATACCAGTTTATGGTTCAGATGACTCACCGAAAAAACTCTTCTCTCCAATCTTTTGGTTATCTGATCGTGCAAGTTGGGAATCTTCAATCGCCCATTATTACCATCAAGTGAGTTTTACAATTAGCCTAAAACTCTTGATTCTCACGTACCTTCTAGATGTCTCATCATAACAATGTGTTCATCAAAAGGCGAATTTCGCTACGTCAATCGTCATAGGCAAATATCACTTTCTTCATTCTGTACGAATAACTGTTCACAAACAGTGAAAATTAGCTGGAATATCTACCAAGGAATGTTAGCTTCACCAAACGCAACTGTTCAATGGAATTCTGTTATTTCATTGCCGACATCATCATTTTTCGGTAAATCATCTTGGAAAATACGTGCCATTTCTGAAAATTTATGTCCATAGGATTAGATACGAAGGATCTACTTATAATGAGCGATATTCTCACCGGTCAATATTGGCGTTTTGAAGTTCTTTATCAATTTGAATCCGAAACAATTCGAAGTACGTTCGATGTTGAACTGAACGATGGGCCGCGAAATGGTTTTTGTCTGATTGATCCACCGAATGGAACAATCTTAACTTTATTCACAATTAATTGCTCGAACTGGTTCGATGCAGATGGAATTAAAGATTTCCTCATTTACGGTAGATTTCTCATTTCTCGTCAATTAACAACAGACTTTCTTCTCTTCAGGTCTGATTGTAAACCTTCAAAAACGAATACTACTTACAACTTCATCCAATCCAATAATTCTCCTTCGACTACCTGTGAATGTTCATTTAATTGTTCAAATTCGAGACACATTGGATTGTACTACTGAATATGATCTACCATCAATCACAATCTATTCGAATTCTGCAATGATCGATACTTTGCTGATGCAAGAACACTCAAATGACGATCGATATATGATCCCGATGATATTATCAAGTAAGCATTTCATCTAAAAGTCGATTTGGACTTTTGAGAAGAAAATTTAGTGACGAATAACTTCGATCTGAACACTTTAAATCGATATGCAACTATTCGAGAACAAATCATGATGATTATCAACAAATTACCTTTAACCACACTGAATGAAATCAAATTTCAATCATCAATGCTTTCAATCCTCACTGAAACAACAAACCAACTAACACGAAGAACATCGGTAACTCTCACTCTGATTTTCATTCCTTTCAAATTCATTCTTCATAGATCATCGCACTGAATAAATGTTCCCAATTATCCTCCTTTCACAAAGCCAATGTGAATAAATTCTCATATGAAGATACGCGTTTCATCTCAACAAATATTCTCGAATGTATCACTAACATTCACACGGTAAGCTGTTCCACTGAAAATTCCGACGTTTCTACTTGAATTTAAGAGCATCAATGGACCATTACAACAACGTATGCAAGTTCTTCAAGCTGATCTACGAGAAGTCAATGATATTACTCTTACAGGTAAACAATTCTCGATGAAAATCTAGTCAATTTGATATTTTAGAAGAACATAATCTTCATCATCGAAATTTTGAACATCAAAAACAAATAGTAAGACTGATTTAACTTTGCCAAGCATCTTTAAGGAGCTTTTTCATAGGCCAATGAAATGACACATCAAATCAATGAAATTCTCTCGCTAATTACATCAGTCTTAGACATTCATTTGCATTTGACTCAAAATTTTACCATCAATACATCAACGATTTCATTTCTGTTGGCGAAAATCTCATCCTCATCTGTTCCCGATAACTATCAAATTGATTATCCATCGAATTCAACTATGCTAATTCGTATGATGGTGCAACCATTAGCTTCATATGGAAATTCTGTACAATCGTATACGAACTCATCGCGACTACTGTCGCTTTCTATTCTCGACGAAAGTCAAAATGATATTCGAATAAATCGAATGGAATTCTTCATTCCTCGAGATCCAAACAAGTTAATTCCACCGATGTTTTTCCAAAACGTGACAAAAATGAACCAGAACAAGCTATTGTTTCATTTCTATTCGTTTGACTTAACAAAATCAAATGAAAATCAAACATTTTCCATTCATTTCGAAATCCATCCCTTGAATTCCAACATCTCCTATCTATTGATTTACCAATTCGATCACAAACCTCAAATACATTCAATTCAAAACTGGACATACCTATGTCCTTCCAATTCAACAGGTGATCAGACGTATCTTCACTTTATCGACAATTCTCAAACATCCGACCATCATTCAATCATTTACGGAATTCGTGAATTAACATTCGAAGAAATGAACATCTATTGTTCCGACAAGAAATTCTATCAAAATCTCGATCAGCCAAGAAGATTTTTGTCGGATTATGAAATTCGACTTTATCAATCGAGTTGTTTGTATCTTGATTCGAATAATATTTGGAAATCGGACGGTTTCCTAGTTGGCCGTTCAACTACTCATAATCAAACACAATGCTTTTCAATACATTTAACATGAAATCTTCAAGGATTTTACCTTTTCTTTCTACTTTGACGAGTTATATATAATCATATTCTTTTTGTGACATGACTTTTCAATCTTGTGAGCTAATGCATTCACAATCCACTTATAGTCTTATCGAAATAAATTTACACACTTTAACCTCGTTTCCCTATTTTTTTAATAGAACGAAATATTGTCATGCTTAATATTGACAACGTGATTCTATATCTTTATTTTCTAAAAAATAGTATTGTATCGATCATTTCTTGAGTAGCAAAGACGAAAAGAAAGTGACGTTTTCGGTACAAATAGAAATATTCTGGTTTTTTCCTCAGAATAAATAATCATGTAAACGCTATAGTACAAAACAAATTTGCTTGTGAATATTAAAATGACATCATCTTGTCAAAGGTTTTCTCAGGGCTTACTTTTCTGTTTAAAATAGTAGATTGCATTAATTATGCTATTTGAATGAGACGAATAGAATCAGGAGTAGAAATAAAATATCATGGATTTAACCACCGTGTCGTTTGTTGTCGTCAGAAGAAGAAGAAGAAGAAGTAAAAAAAGGGTAACAGGAAATGATGAATAAAAGCTTTAGTTTATTTTTAGTTGAAATAAACTTAGAGCAATTGTGTATCTAATAGAGAATGTTCGAATTTGTCGGATGTATGAACATCGTTTCGTGATGTGAGAGAGACGTATTTCTAGACGGTGGAAACGAGGTATGACGGCATGGCTATCGTTCTTTCGTTTTCGTTCCATTATGTCTCGTGACTTCTTCTTTCTCTTGTTGATTGAGGTATGGTATGCCAATAGTTCCTGTTAACCTCGATAGTGTTCTAATGCGCAGATGCATATATTTTCATATAAGATACAGTCAGATAGATAATAACAGAACGCTCAGTTCAACTTCTGAGTTTGAAACGACAGCGGTCCTTGCGCATTTTTGGATTTCATTGTCCTTTTGTAGCATAGCAATTAAATAATACTTGGCATCAAAGAATATTTAACAAACAAAGCACGAGTATCTCATGTTGTCGTGGGCAGTCGTGACGAAAATGGTCATACTCTATGCTGGTAGTGCTGTACTCTTTTCCAGTTTATTCGGTTGTCTAATGAATGTGATCATATTTTCAAGCTTTCATATGTATCGTTCTCAGCCATGTACATTTTATCTACTCATCGCAGCGCTCACTCGATTTACGCATCTTTTGATGATAGGTATTCCTCGTGGCATTGCCATTCTCTTTAACGTCGACTTGACACTTATTTCACTCGAATGGTGTAAAATGAGATTTTACATTGTGAGTACTTGTTTTGGTTTGGAGATGACCTTCGAATGCTTGGCAACAATTGATCGATTTTTGATAACATCCCGAAAGGTCTACGTACGACAATTGAGTAATATCAAGATGGCTCATCGTGTTACTGCTGGTTTGATTGCTGTTTGGCTACTTCAGAATATACCATATCTGATCTTCGTTAATATAAGGTACGATTTTGGATTTTTGTTGAATCGATGAGAGTACGGAATTGAAGTTCATGTATTTTCCGTTATTTTATTCATTTAGTTCGAACATCTGTGCGATTTACAATGACTTTTGGCAACTTTATTCTACTTATGTGAATAGATGGGTTTTATATACGGCAGTTCCTTTGATTGTTTGCATCGTGTTCGGTATTCTTGCACATAGAAATATGCGCAGTTTGAAACGTTCCCGTCAATTACAGAAAGCGGATCGTCAACTCTTCTACATGATCTTTGGGCAAATCATAGCCACTGTTCTTCCAGTTATACCAAGCGCTGTTTTCAATGTGTATTCACCTTCGGCGATTTCTGTAAACCAAGCTGCTGAAAGGGATAGTGATTATTTTGCCTTCAATCTTCTTAATGTTCTTTGTGTATTATGTTATGGAGTAAGTAAAGGAAATTCGTTATTTGATCGTTTTCTTATCGACTTTTCTTTATTTCTAGAGCACCTTCTTCATCTTTATCATCGTTTCAAGTATCTTTCGTAGCCGATTTAAGCAGCGTTTTTCTTGTTGTAGCAGACACCGAAATCTCGTGACAACCGTTTCTGTGCGCAAATTCGTTGCAGAAGCAAACCCTCATCATTAGCCTGACGGTGAATATTGTAAGTGTTGTTCTTAAGTCAGAAGTTTTGCAACATTTTTCTCCTGCAATAGTAATTGTCTTCGTTGTTATATGGAGTGGCTGACGAAAGATTAATGGATGGTTTTTGTGATCGACGAAATCTCTTTTCGAGCTTTTTGTTTTATGCTATTTGATTGACCGAATGAAATTGTTGTCTAATAAAGCAAATACTCGATTGTACTGGAGTACGTTTATCATTTTAATTAACTTACTTTTCGCTTTTTGATATGCATTAAAACTTCTTCGGATTGAATATTATCTTGATCAGGCGAACTAACTGATTTATTGAATGCTTGAATAGAAAAGTAGACCAAAGTTGACTTGAACTGTGTTTCAACTTAAATGATATATGACTTACCAACCTTGAGCTTCATCTTCTTCTTGTTCAAATTGTTTTTGTCGCTTATGTTTTTCATTTAAGACTTGTTCAAGGTCAATATTTGTGCGTCGATTCTTGACCTCAATGATGTCTTATAGTTCTTGAATATCATCCTTTTCTCGCCCGTGAGTCACGTGTACGTTAAAAGTGATCTCACGTAAACATTTCGTACGTCTTATATATAGAACCGATAGATTTGAATGTCATTTAAATAGGTTTCTCCTATGACATCCTCTTTGCGAACATTCAACTTTGTAGCTCGGTAGATATATTCACCAGAGGTTTTGCATCTCTTGAAAGAGACATCGGCAGAGATTATGAATAGAACAACGGAATCTTTACCTGATGTGAAATGGAACCATTAAACGGATTTCAAAGGAATTATCCTCTTTACGTTTAACATAATGAATCTTCGATGGATTGAAATCGGGCGAATAATATTTCTAAATACGAGAACAGAACGTATCGGTATGCGGAATAACTATACATACATTCAAAACTTTTCGCTCGTTCATGGTTTAATATAAACACAGCAATCGTTGACAAACTGATCTCAAGTTCTTTTCACTCAAATGTTATTGCGAAACGAAGCGCGAAGTTACTACATATGAACTTCATACTGGATTATGCGCAATCAATCAGAATGCATGAGAGCGTCTACAGTAAAAGTTTTTTTTAGTTAAAACTCTTGCTTTTTCAAGTAGGTGTGTATAATGAACCATTATGTGCACTGTGTTTCACTTCTTTCGTTTAAAATTATCTTGCGTATAAACGTATCAATATGCTTTACCTAGACCAATTAATTCCATGGCTCTCACACTCGGTTTTATTCGAAATCTTCGGTCGCTTAGTATGAACTATTTCTAATTGATCAGTTTTACAAACACATTGATAAACTATTAGTTGTCTTTAACGAGATAACAATATCACACAGATTTCAAAGCAAATATAAAGCAAACCGTTTATCTTTTTCTTTCTCCTAACATACCTCTTGTGTTCTATGTTGTATAAGAAAAACGACTCAGCACAGAAGAGAAAGACAATCCACGTGCGTCGGTATAAACAGCAATCTATATAAAGGTTTTGTTTTTTTGCGTCGAACAATTTTTACCCGTAAAATATCGTTAATGAAACATTCAAACACATTATGCAAAGAAAAATCTTTACTAAGCCTATTTTATGTTACTTCTTCTAGATCTTAGTTATGGTTCTTCAATTGTACACTGATTGGCTATCTGAACCATGCCGTGCTGTAGGTATTTTACTATTGGAAAACAACATAGAACATGAAGTTCATGAACTGGATGTTCTCAAAGGAGAAACACACACGGATTCGTATAAGAAAATTAATCCTGTTGGGAAAATTCCATCAATTGTGGACGATGACGAGTTTAATCTAGGCGAGTCTCATACAATCATGCGTTATTTATGTGAGAGCAGAAATTTACCTGATCATTATTATCCCAAGGATATAAAACAACGTTGTCGAGTTGATTTTTGGTTGGATTGGCATCATACAAACTTACGGCATGCAGCTCTTCGTTTAATAAGAGCAAATGTATTTGGTCCGATGAGAAATCTTCCTCAAACAACGATCGATGAGTCACGAAAAGAAGGTGAAACTGCTTTACAATCAAGTTTGACCTTTATGGAAGAAACGCTTAGTAAAAACGATTATCTTGCTGGTGGAAAACAATTATCAATCGCTGATATCGCGTTGGTATGCGAAGTGGCGATGTTTCCAGTTTATGGAGCTTCGACTGATGGTTATCCACACGTTGAAACTTGGCTTAAACGACTTTCAACAGAAATCAAATGTTGGAATCAAATTAATGCTAAATTGGATCAGTTTCTTGCTTCAAAAAAACAATAAATTAGTATTCGTTTTGAGGACTTTGACGATCCTCCTCTCTTTTATTTTAATCAAAATAAAGATTTCTTTAGACTTCAGTCTCTGATTATTAACATTATTTCGATTTGTTTTCATACTGATCGAAGTACAATTTGAAACATTCCTGTCCTAAAAGGAAACATGACGAAATACGGGTAACACAGATTCTACTGGAAGAATTACCTTTAGCTGAGAGTTTCGTTACGTCCAATTTGCTTACGCGATTTTCGAAAAGAGTGATTCGTGTTTCACGATTAAGATCTACTTGACAGTTTACAAACCAGTTGAAACCGAGTTCGCGCTCAGTTGAAGAAGCTTTGCCATTTGATATCAGTATGTCCCATAGCTCTTCGCATCGCTTATATATCAAATATAAATCACCTTTTTTAAGTAAAACCGATAGCAAATCTAGATGAATTTCAATGGCGTCTTCGTTTGTACATCGTCCATGAATTAGCGTAATATGTTTCGTTGAAGTTTTCCCTTTATCCTGTGTAACTAATTGGCAAGCAAAGATATTTTGAATCAATATATTAATAATATCGTGCTTGACCACAAGCACTTGAATTATATCGAAATTACTGCGCTCGACGACTGTAGTTGTATGAGTTGAACTTAGAATTTCTATAAGGTATCGAATAGCTGAAATCGTGTAGTCTTGTTTTTGTTGAAGATGTTTTACGCATCTCGAACAGTATTCACGTTTGAGCTCATTGTGCGGTGAACGTTCTTGATTGAGAATAAGACAGTGACTCTTGAAAATACGTTGCTGTATTACTTCGTTCAGTCGATTATCGTGTGCCAAATTCCATAATATTTCCAAGACCTTTACATACATGAGAAATGTCGATCATTGGTGTTTAGTATCGAATAAATAGACGTACTCGTGCAGCTAAATCATGTTGACAGCGTTGACCAATGCTGTTTAACAGTGAAATGAATTTCAACTGCGCTGCTACTCCATCGATATGACAATCCCATAACTGAATTTGAGAAAAAACAACGATGGTTTCTCTCTGATGCAATATGCTACTCACTTCCTCGGCAAAATCAATTATATAATTGAACTGTTCGCGAGTAAGTGTCGGTGATGTAGATTCAATAAATGTCAATAAATTATCGACAGTTATTGACGATAGTTTTCGCTAACAAAGTAAAAGTGTTCATAAAATCATTAGCATGAATACTCCTATGGCTTTTACTTTAAGATTAGGCCGATTTGATATAACAGGTGTTTCTTGTTTAATTTTGATCATCTGAATGAGCGGCACGTCTTCATCGTTCGATAGTCGAATCGTCGCTGTTGTCTGAAGCTGTTGACGCATTTGCTTCAATGTTTCTGTCCATGAGGCTATATTTACCTCAGATATGAAATTATCTGATTGTCGACTTGATCGAATTTCATTGGTGATCTTTGCACATGACGTCTGCATTGTATTCTGGAATCCTTGAATCTGTTTTTCTACATCTCGACGAGTCTCGTCTGCCACTGTTCGAATTTTGACAATCGACTCTTCTTCCCATCGATCAATATCAGCTAAAAGAGGATGGCGCGTAGAAAGCCGTTTGGAATCCTCTTGAAGTGAATCATGCTCTTGAGCGACCAAATCCATTTGGAGAGAAAGATCGGATTTATGTTCATCAATATGTTTCCAACAAAATGATCTATGACAGCCATGACATGTAAATAAGCCACCGCTTGTAATTTGACATTTTACACACGAATTATTTGCTTTGGTAACATTGGTATCCATGTTGAGTAGTCGACGATTCGCACTTTTCCTGACGGAAACAGTGAAAAAATGAAAATACGCAAAATTTAATCATTTTCACAATGGCAAAAATGACCAACTTGGATTTTTCCTGATACAGAAAAAAGCTTTTTTACCATTGCACGAGTTTGCCATTGAGTCTGTGGAGGATACGAGTCAGCATTATATACTGACATCTATCTTGTTGCCTTCAGTGGTAAGAATGATAGAAAGCAATGTTGACTTTATGACCAATATTCGTATTCATCAGTGAGTATGTTGTTTTCAAGAGGAGTAAGAGCGATTATTGTTCTTATTTACTCACGATCTCACCCACATTCTTCATCGAACAAAGAAATAGAGAGGGCGATTGATCTCTTTTTTAATCTTAAAAATTCCCAAGCAAAAATATCAAAATCACAAATGTCGTTTCAATCGTAATAGATCCTTCGTTAATCTTTACAAGAGTAATGAGTGAAGATCGATTATATTTTTATCCTATTGCCAAGTAAAACAAGATAAATATCTAATCTTCACGATAATCCTGTTTTTTCTCTCTCTCTCTTTATTTGCGACAACAATCATCAGATATTGTACCTTTTTCTTCTTCGTAATCGTACAAAACAAGTAGGAGAGACGACCTATAAATGTTACCTTCAATGTTTTTTACTATAAAAAAAAAGAAATCACTGAAAAATCAGATATAAGATTGCCGATTTGACACTAAACACACGAGCAAAATACGTCTGCTGATATGAAACAAACGTTTTTGCTTGGTAAACTTTTTTTAAATTTCACATTTGTGGGTTTATTTTTGCGGTTTATCATTAGCTATAGGATTGATTTTGGTATCGCCGACAATAAATCAAATACTTCTTACAAATGTTCCATTCGAATGTCGAAGCAAACAGGATGGCTTCTGGCGTGATTTAAGATACTGTGATGTCATTCAGGTTTGTGTAGGCGGTGAACAGAAACGATCGTACGGGTGTCCTCAGGTTGGAGAACGATTTTATTTTGATGAACAGACTCAGAGGTAAGCACCAATGGTGATGATAAGTGGTTTGTTGTATGATATGTGTTTGGATAAAGATGTGAATTCGCCGCGAAAAATACAGGCGGTTGTCAGTCGAATCAATATTACACTCCAATCACAAATGCTACTACACCTTCTGGAACACAACTGAGCACACCTGGTAAACTGGATTAGTTTTTATGATTAAGGAAATCTGTTATTTTCTTTTTGTAAAGCTCCTACTGAGCCATGGAAAATCTTCGCAAGATCGCAAGAGCAATTTAACTGTGCAGGTAAGGAGAATTTACCTTAACATAGACACATTTCGTTCTTTATCAACTCAGGTCGACAGGATGGATTCTATGCTAGCCGATGGTGTAACGTGTTCTATCGTTGTTACAGTGGTGTCTCCAATGCTTTCCTCTGTCCATTACAGCCTGGTGGTGCACGTCTCTGGTGGGTTCAACATGGATCCTCTCAAGGTTTATTAGACGAATCAGTGGCAACGTGTGTTTATCCTTGTGACACGGGTAGACAATGTTCAAGTGCCGGAGGAATCATTGTAGAGAATGGAAATCAAATTAGTGAGAGTCAACAGGAAGCTGCAAATGTCTACAGGCAGTCTCCATGCTCTAATCGAACGAGTTCTGGCAGTGGAGCAGGACAATTCGGGTCTGGTCAAACTGGTTCAGGGCAGCTTGGTACTGGCCAGACAGGTACAGGACAAATTGGATCTGGTCAAACAGGAACTGGTCAGATAGGAGGAGGAAATCAAGGAAGTACAGGAGGTAAGAAACTTGATACTAATATTATTATGATGCAAGCAAAGTATCGATACTTTTCATTCTATTTGAAGGTACCTTCACTGTTGACTCGGACGTCAGTTGCGCTGGCAAACCAGATGATACATATTTGTCCAGCCGTTATTGCAACGTTTTCCATCGATGCGTGTCAGGTGTTAGATTCGATCTCCGATGTCCTCGTGCCAACAACATTCCCTACGATTTATGGTGGAATCAACAAACTAATCTTTGCGATTGGCCGTGTCGCGTACAATGTACCGGACAGCTCTATGCATCGAGTACAGCGGCACAACAAGTATCCAGCGAAAGTTTAAAATTTTTCAATGGCGATTGTCGAGCTTACCCACTCATATTTGATTAAAATAAATAATGACATAATTCGATAAAAAAACTCTCGAAGAGCTTTTTCAACACATGCCATTCGACAGAAATAAGAACGTTTTGATATACTAACAAATTGTGAAATAACGACCCGAAAAATAATAATATCATCGCATGTTATCTTTTGTTCGTATACCATTTACTATGCAGTCAGCATCCATACAATCGATTCCTAGCTTGCATCGCAATGAACATGTGTGTAAAAGATGATTACGTTTTTTTCGTGAATCATTGTATCGTTCACAAGTCAAGTCACACTCGTCAGCATTATTTAAAGTGTGTGCAAATAGTCTTTGAAGAAATCATCACGATTGAAAGTTTTACCGTTCATAGATTTCAATTTAGTTGTGACCTACAACGTATAGAAACCGTGACAATATTTCTTGTGTTCTTTTTCTTTAGCTACGACACGTGCCCTACTTGGTAGCTATACGACTTCGTTTTGCGTGTGTTTTAATAAAAGTGTAATTCATAGAGAAAAAACGTCGCAGAACACTGTTTACGTCCTGAGATTGGGAAAAAAGAAAGTGGGTTTTTCTTTGCTAGTACATTTAATCAGTTTATATCGAAACAAAGCTACTTTATTTGTGAATGGCCGCGTCTACATTCAAAGCGACGAATGTTATGTTCAAGTCATGTGAAATCAAAAACTGTCAACGTATTTCAGCCGCATTATGTCAACACTGTAAGAAAAACGTGTGCCGACGTCACTTTGACGAACACGCGGATCAGCTTACACAAGAATTACATCCGTTAGTTGATCAAATGAACGAATTAAGAGAGACAATCAGCGTCTTCTCTGTAGGAGAATATAAATTACAACTACTTAGGAAGTTAACTGAGTGGCGCGATGAAGCTATAAAAAGAATCAATAGATTATATGAATTGAAAAAGCAAAAAATCGAGATGCTTTTCCAAGAAAACGAAGAAATGTATTCAAAACAAACAAGCAATCATATAACAACTCTCGATGTACTGAAACAAGAAACAGCAACTTTTATCAAAGAAAATGATGTGACAATTGAAGAACTGAACTCATTGAAAGAACATCTCCGTGAATTAGGAAAACTTGTTTGTGAAACGCACAATGATCTTGTGCGGTGTGATGTAGAACCGTTGTCTATTAAATACAACTCAGTTCTTGTTTATTCTGGGAAAAATAATTATATGCTTGGAGGGACATTACTTTGCTCTGCTTATCAAATGAAACTGAATGAATTTTATCGCAAATCAACACAAAAATGGCAATTAATTTACAAAGCACAAGTAGATGGTTTTGGTGCAAAAGATTTTCATCGTTGTTCAGATGGTAAAGGACCTACAATGACTATCATAATGAGTAAAAATGAAAATTATTTGTTCGGAGGTTACGCAGCAATATCTTGGGGTTCCGATAACACATATAAAAAGGATCCAGCAGCGTTTTTATTCACTCTAAAGAATCCTCATGGTATTCAGCCTACTAAATTTTCCTACAATGCCAAAATAGCCTGGAGCGTCGCTCATAGGAACTCTCATGGTCCATGTTTTGGTGGAGTCAAGAGAAACGAAGAAGAATTTGATGACATCATTATATGTAGTAATGCAAACGAAAGACAAGGTTCTCGATCTTCATTTCCGTCCAGCTACCTTGATACAACTGGAAGGGGTGAAACACTTTTCACCGGAGAAAAGAACTTTACGGTGAAAGATATCGAAGTTTACACACCTTTGATCGAATAAGATCAGAAATCAACTGCAGTTAAAATTATCTACTTCTACTAACATCCCCCAGATGTCCTAAATAAATCAGAATTCATTTAGTTTATGAAATATTTTGAGAATTACAATCATCAAAGCAAAATCATCATCTGCGTACATTTTTCAAAATATGATTTGAGACTTAACTGCCGACAAGACCGTGGACCACCCACGATTGATGATTGGATGTTTTTTTTTGCTTCTTTGCGTACCGTCTCTATCAAGGTAAATATCAGTAGGACAAACGAACAGAAAAAGTGCGAAAAGGAAAAAATAAAATAAATGGAGCGTCAACAGCAAACAATGACACGTCTACTATATATAAACCACGGCAAATCGAGTTGTGTTTCATAGCTCGACACACACAACACACATCCAATTCAAGCCAAGAATCGCACACGTAAATGCTACACGTTCTTTTTTTACACAAAAACACAAATCTTTTTTAGACGAAAATGTCAGGCACAGCAACGGGTACAGTTGTTGGAAAAGATGGATGTGAAAATGAGACATTTACCGGCAATGAAACATTAACAGTCTGTGTTCAAGATACTGCTCTTATGGACGCACCATCTACTACACTCGGCGAACAAACAATAAGCTTGAAAGCCGGACAAACATTCCCGGTTAAATATAGTGTTAATTATGACCAAGAAAAAGCAGATCGACTTCCAGAATATGGTTTCACACTAAGTGCAAGAATTGAAGATCCAAGTGGTAAACTGCTATACATTAATGATACAAGAACAAGTGCGAGAGACGACAAAATTGAAGTGAAAAAAATTGTACCTTTCAATTACGAATAAGACATTTTAGTGGTTATCATTAGTCTTCAACCAGAACTTTACTAATCATACCCATTTCTATAACTTATGTCCTATTAGTCTGCCTCATTTATTTCGATGTTTTTTTGTGAATTCTAAACGCACTTTGACAACAAAATTTCTTTCTTTTGTTGGGCTTCAATTACATTTCGACGCTCGCCGTATTATATCTTACTTATAATGACATTTCTTACTAAATAATAAACTAGTTGAATAGATATGCGCATTTTAGCAGAGAACTCATCCATTTGAGTGAAAATTTCCGATATTGGAACAGAATAATGCAATTTATTTACTGCAAAAGATTAAACGAAGCGAAATGTCGTGTGTGCTCTATTAACAACTTGTATCATACAGAGCAGTTATCGGCTCTGTTCAAAAATAATATTGGACGCATGTTTAAAAACTTTCATTGTTCATGCAGGACGAGAAAGTGTGACTGTTTGTTTTGAAAAATGAATTTGCAGACCTTTGAGTGAATGATTGGATGTAGTTATTTTGGTCTTTTCAATCGAAAACAGAGCAATTATCCTTACCTGAAAAGGATTAAATAAATAACTGACATGTGCACATGCTCGATTGAAGCCAATCATTGCACAGGTAAAATACTACACTTTTTTCGTATAATCATTCATAAGATAAGAAAATATTCTAATCCGTTCAACAAGAATTAGTTATCAGATATAAATGTCACAAGTACGAGTGCCAGAGAGAAGAAGGCTAAACTCAAGAAAGCTTAGTTTGCTCACATTTATTTATATATAAGAAACCAGAATATATCTTAATCGTAACATAAAACTTCAACACAGTTTATTGGAAGATAACTCAGGTAGTCACACGTGTTTCTCGCAATAGATACATTGATCATTGTCGCTCGATGATTTGATATATTTTATTATTTGTACACTTTCTACTTCGAGCGTGGCGAATATTCTTGTATTAGATTAAAAGGTAAAGCACGCGGAAAGTTAACGTAAGAAATCAGTGAAGTGTATATTCTATCCATAAAAGCACGTTTGTTTTCATCATTTTGCTCCTACTTTTGGGCTATCGTTTTATCTTTAGTATTCATTGGGCCTACAAAAAATGTCGGGTGATCGTCGTTTTCAATACGGAGATGTAACAGCTGAAGATATTGAAACGTTCAATAAGGTAAGTATCGTGAAAGCACTTTTGATGTGTTCTTCATCTACTAATGAACTGATTCGTTTTTTAGCATAAAGAACAAATCAGTCAAGCAGTTCGAGAGAAATTTCCATGGGTTCCGGCTGATTTCGAGCTGAAACCAGTGCTCTATCGTTCTCCACCTGCCTGTGGTAAAATTGAAGATTTCAAGGTACAAGTATAGAGCGAAACTCGATTATACCATCAAAAACGTTTCTTCCCGTNCAACAGGAGAATATTTGTTCGTGTTAATCAAACCAAGAATACTTTCTATGTATCGAACAAAGGATAATCGACAAATGGCGAAGTTATTTGTTTATGATTTTGTTACATCAATGAACGCGGATGAAGAATTTGTCGTTTTGGCTATGAGAGATCGACGATTATTGACTTTAATGATTGCGGATCCCGATGATTCGACTTTACAGAATCGAATACAACAACTTCCGAGCAGGTAAGAGCCAAAACTTCGTTTCATTCCGTCATGTGTAAGTCAATCTGATTTTATAGGAATATCGAATCGACTAACAAATCTGATGTTAATAAACTCGTCGAATATTTGAACAAATGTGCTGATTTCAGTTCGGGTGATGAAAAAGAAGAAAAAGACGAGGAAGAGTCAGATTCGAAACAACGATCGATTGCACCAATCAGCTCGTTTCGTTTTGTCACTCGATTGACTGGTCGTTGTTCACATTCAAATATGAAGAATGACGAGGAAATCCGATCGAAAATAATTTCTATATTCGAAAACACCGAAGAAACCATCGATTTAGCCCAAGTAGAAAATGATTCGGATGATGATGACGTTGTATCAACACATATCGAACCACAACAAGCAACAGTCGATACGAACCTAGATGATATTCGTCAGAAGACATCAGAATACGATGAAAATCAAATCAAAGGCGTCCAGTTCGCAAATGCTGGAAGTGCAAATCTAAAAGTTATCAACAATCAATCGGTCACATCAGAGACATGCGTTATTGTCTAATTAGAAATAAATTTATCAAAAAAGACTTCTTTTCCGATATTGGTGTGCAGAAGTGTTCTCCAGGTATTCTGGAGAATTTATCCCAAAACAGCAGTTGACATAGTGTATCATGGGAGGGTGATTTGCATTTTGAAAACAAAGGTATCATAGACGTTTGATTTGAGAATTTCCTCACTAAAGAACATTATTTACCTGACTTAAACCTATTTGCATTATCTAATCATCAGTACAATGTAGTTTGCTCAAGTGATTGTGTTACTAAGACTTTACGAGCAAGGTAATGATCGATTTTTTCGACTAATGAATGTATCTCAATCAATATTATATACACCAAATATTACCATACAATTGATGATTAATCATTTGATGACTGAAGATTGGATTGCAAATGTATCCTCTGAGAAATATCATTTCCGAATGTGTACTGTCTTTGTGTATTTATTTTCAAACATCTCGACGATCTTCTATATATATATATATTGACAAAACAGATTAGTCTATTGGCGAGTTTAGCATTTATTCCTCGCTCGATGTTCTCCTTTGTTATTCATCTCATTCATCGTTCGTGGAATTCGACGCCACGACCGAAGATTTCTTCTAAGTCAGAGAAGGAAAGATAGTGCAACTATATTCAATTCGTTTTTTCAAATATGCTGGGTCATGTTAGTGGAAAGAATCAATCCAAAAGAAAATTGCGAGTTTGAAAATCTTTCAATATGACTCAAATGCTGTTCAACACAAGCGTTGTCAACATTACCATTAGTTATATTCCAGTTATCTCATTTCGACGCAATGAGTGAGATTCATACGAATAAGTTCTGACGATGGTCTTGTTTCTGATGATTATTTTTGAATGAATCATGTGAAATATTTCTTCAATCAGAATTTGTAGATTCACAACTCCTCTTGCAGCAAACATTTCAAAGTCAAATCAATTGTCCAATATCTACAATACTGACATCTCTGTGAACGTAACTTCGAAAAACCCAATAACAAGACCATCAGTATATTTCACGTGTAACTGCTGTATTACCGTCGCACAGGAATATTATTTTCTATACATCGATCATTCTTCATACAATTCCAAATTTCTTCAGTGGTTGTTAATCTCTCGAAGCGTTATTTTCATCCAGATTATACAATCTTATTATAATCTATTCTTATTTACTAACATCGAACAGATATTAAACGTCTTTCGGAACTTTCAATAATTATTCTCTCAGTGAGAATTTCAATGATCATCAATGAATATCAAACATATCATTTTCTTCATACTATAACCAATACACGCCTTCGCCATACACATACTGATATGAGGATCGAAACGATCGCTGTGTCATCATCATACTCATTTCATTTTTCTATTGAAGTTTATCACTGAGATTAAAACTAGTCATTTTAGTTGATCTCTATTTGATTGACATGATTACTCTATTCGTTATATCGCATCATACTTTCTATCAATCTCTTAAACGTATACTCATCTGTAAGAAGGAAAAGCAGTTAATTCATCGGTTGCACAAGACTTTAGTTGTTGTAACCTTATCATTTGTTTATATGTAACAGCCGTTGAATTCACTTGAATATCGTTGTTCGAAAATTTCGATAATAAAACATCGCATCTCCATCAACTTTGTTCAAATGATTTCGTTTCTGATCTCACCAACGCTTATTTCCTTAGTTATACTTTGTCTAATTCGATTCCATCCAGGGATTCTCTCTACACCCCCAACGCATAATTTCAGCTGCGCGCGTCACTCTGTCAATTGTCGAAACAACAGGTGCGAACATGTTACTGAACATCTAATCTATCGAAAATACTCAATCAGTCATCTGCTTATAACATTCCACTGAGTTACAACGGATGTAGTTGTGCACTATAATTTCAATAAGCAGCTTATCTTACGAATTATATTTTGATCAATACGTTCCACTCTCCCATGTTTATTTTTATGTTGATAACAGTAATATAATCGAAGATGTGTTGACATCGATTGATTGTTATTCTGATTCTTGAAAAGGTTCCACATGGAACGCGGCGAACAACTGGATGTGTCTGTTCATCTTAAAATGTGATATCAGCTTCGGATAGTAGATACTAAAACTTCCCCAATTGATTTTCTTTTTTAATTTGGAAAAGAAAAAGCGAAATACTGAAAGATTAATCTCTGTGATTTAACGTATCACCTGTGTATTGAAATTTCGTTTTGTTCTCCTTAGGTATGATTTCATTTGACTACTAATGATGATCGACAAAAAACTCTACTGTTTTTTCCTGATTCTTCTCAGGTAAACGAAATCGATCTGTTACATCTGATACAACTTAACATTTATTTTTTAGTACCACAGGTTTGTTTATTGAATCATAATCTTTTTCTCTCTTAGAATCCTTTGATACATAGTTCAAGTAAACTCGCAGATATGCATGAATACTGATCAATATGGTTCCTGTTCAACAAACAAAGAATGCGGTTGTTTTCATATGCTAAATACTGAAAATATTGGTATCTGTGCTTTTCTCTGGCCAAGTTGTTCACAATTCATTCCGTGTAACACAACAGGCAATACGTGTGATAGAGGAAGTACAATTTGTGTCCAACACCCACGATGTCACAATCGTCCTATTTGTTATCCGACCTCACTAATGGACGAACGATTGTGTCCACAAACATTTACTTGAAAAATATAAATGAGTTCATTTTAAATCGATGTTTCTTCTTCTATAGTTGAAAGTGTTCGTTTCGGTAGGGGTTTTGCATTGACATAAACAAAGCGTTGAATAACTGGCTTACGCCGTTTTGCTCGCCGTGCTTTTCGTATTCGTTCGCGCTCTCGTCGTATGGGATCAATGCCGAAAAAGTATCTGAGAACGTCCATAATAATAACAAACAATATAACGCTGATCATCGCTAGAATTGCGATGAAAGCGAACGACATCGCGACAACTCGATATATATAAAGTTTTGTTGTAACTTTTTCGCAATGTTCACCGGCGGTTCCAGAGAGACACTCGCATTTATAAGCACCTAACAGTGGACGACAAACGCCTCGATTGTAACAGGTGATATTCCAGCAATAATTTATTTTTCGTTCACATCTCGTTCCTTCATAACCATATGAACATGTGCAATCATATGTAGAATTTGTTATCGGACGACAAGTACCTAAATAGAGTCATTTTCGCAGAGTTTAATAATGAAAAAAGTAGAATTTACCGTAGAGACAAGTATTTAATTTACAAGAACTTCGAATGAACTGACATTGTTTGCCAAAGAAACCAATGCGACATGAACAATTGTAATCGTGCCCGTTGTTCAGATCAATGCATTTGCTATTGTTCGGACACGGCTTTTGCATAGCACAAATTGTTCCGGATATATTACAATTTTGACCAATATTTGTTGTAGTACCACACGAGTCAACAACAATAAACATTGATGTTGAATTATCTATAAAGTGGACCTTTATTGTAAAGCACGTCGAAATCTGTACGCATACCTCGATATTTAGATGAAACTGAAGTTAAAGATGGTTTTTCTGTTGTTCTCAATTGATCTAAGTAGTTCTAATTCGACATATTTTTGGAGTGAAAAAATACTTACCACATGTATTCATTCCTGACCGAAATATTTGAACCCGAAAGTTCCATTCATCACCAACATACAAGTTTCCAACACTGTCAAAATAAACAGTATGCGGATGATAAAGTTGATTCAGTGATGATCCAGATCTCATACTGCAACCAGCTATGCATTCAAACTCGCTATTTCCCACTCGGACTATGCGATGCTGTTGGTTGTCTGCAATGTACAAAAAACCATTTCCATCACCCGTCACATCACTNGTTGCAGTATGAGATCTGGATCATCACTGAATCAACTTTATCATCCGCATACTGTTTATTTTGACAGTGTTGGAAACTTGTATGTTGGTGATGAATGGAACTTTCGGGTTCAAATATTTCGTTCAAAAATGAGTACATGTGGTAGGTAGAAGTAGTAAGAACAATAGAAGAGAATTCTCGGGATGTCTTTTAAAGGTTGTTATCCTCCCATTATCAAAATAATCCTATCTGGAACTGTACTAAGAGTCCGACGTAATCAATATTTTTACATAAGTTCCAAAATTGAACTTCGATGTAATCAGTCTGATTCATTCTCAGCGCAATGGTCAATTTTGAATTGTCCATCACCATGTTTCGATGAAAGAATTGATATGTACAAGAATAATCTCTACATTCCATCCCAAACTCTCCCGTATGGGATCTATCAATTCGAATTAATAGTGAAGATGACAAATTTTGACGCAATAAAATCGTCAGTATTCGTTGACGTCGAAATTATCGCCTCCAGTATCATAGTTCATCTAGTTTCGTATGATACACTAATCATTAAACATCACTATGAAGAAGATCTCGTCCTGAATCCCGGCAATTATTCTTACGACCAGAATTCAATTCATTTCAATCAACACGTATGTTTTCACAAAGAGTCTTTGTTTGATTTTTTTCTCCTTTTCAGGATTGGCATTATGAATATTATTGTCGAATTTATTCAACAAACTCTCAACAATTCTCTACCTTTGAAAACTCAAACGAAACTTGTTTACTAGGTGGATGGACTTATAATAATGTAAACCGTACAGCTATAACAATCTTTAGTAAAGCATTCCAATTAAACCAAACATACCAGTTTATGGTTCAGATGACCCACCGAAAAAACTCTTCTCTCCAATCTTTTGATTATCTGATCGTGCAAGTTGAGAATCTTCAATCACCCATTATTATCATCAAGTGAGTTTTTCAATCAGCCTAAAACTGCTGATTTTCACACACCTTCTAGATGTCTCATCATAACAATGTGTTCATCAAAAGATGAATTTCGCTACGTCAATCGTCATACGCAAATATCACTTTGTTCATTCTGTACGAATAATTGTTCACAAACAGTGAAAATTAGCTGGAATATCTACCAAGGAATATTGACTTCACCAAACGCAACTATTCAATGGAATTCTGTTATTCTATTGCCGACATCATCATTTTTCGGTAAATCATAATGGAAAATATTTGCCATTTCTGAAAATATATGTCCATAGGATTAGATACGAAGGATCTACTTATAATGAGCGATATTCTCACTAGTCAATATTGGCGTTTTGAAGTTCTCTATCAATTTGAATCCGAAACAATTCGAAGTACGTGCGATGTTGAGCTGAACGATGGACCACGAAATGGCTTTTGTCTGATTGATCCACCGAATGGAACAATCTTAACCTTATTCACAATAAATTGCTCGAATTGGTTCGATTCAGATGGAATTAAAGATTTCCTCATTTACGGTAGATTTCTCATTTCTCGTCAATTAATAACAGACTTTCTTCTCTTCAGGTCTGATTGTTAACCTTCAAAAACGAATACTACTTACAACTTCATCCAATCCAATAATTCTCCTTCGACTACCTGCGAACGTTCATTTAATTGTTCAAATTCGAGACACATTCGATTGTACTACTGAATATGATCTACCATCAATCACAATCGATTCGAATTCTGCAATGATCGATACTTTGCTGATGCAAGAACACTCAAATGACGATCGATATATGATCCCGATGACATTGTCAAGTAAGCATCTCATCTAAAAGTCAATTTCGACATTTGAGAAGAGAATTTATTGACGAATAACTTCGATTTGAACACTGTAAATCGATATGCAACTATTCGCGAACAATTCATGATGACTATCAACAATTTACCTTTAACCACACTGAATGAAATCAAATTTCAATCATCAATACTTTCAATCCTCACTGAAACAACAAACCAACTAACACGAAGAACATTGGTAACTCTCATTCTGATTTTCATTCCTTTCAAAACCATTCTCCATAGATCATCGCACTGAATAAATGTTCCCAATTATCCTCCTTTCACAAAGTCAATGTGAATAAATTCTTATATGAAGATACGCGTTTCATCGCAACAAATATTCTCGAATGTGTCACTAACATTCACGCGGTAAGCTATTTCACTGAAAATTTCGACGTTTCTACTTGAATTTAAGAGCATCAATGGACCGTTACAACAACGTATGCAAGTTCTTCAATCCGATCTACGAGAAATCGATGATATTACTCTTACAGGTAAACAAGTTTCAATGAAAATTTAGTCAATTCGATATTTTAGAAGAACATAATCTTCATCATCGAAATTTTGAATATCAAAAACAAATAGTAAGACTGATTTAACTTTGTCAAACATCTTTAATGAGCTTTTTCATAGGCCAATGAAATGGCACATAAAATCAATGAAATTCTCTCGCTAATTACATTAGTCTTAGACACTCATTTGCATTTGGCTCAAAATTTTACCATCAATACATCAACAATTTCATTTCTGTTGGCAAAAATCTCATCCTCATCTGTTTCCGATAACTATCAAATTGATTATTCATCGAATTCAACTTTGATAATTCGTACGATGATGCAACCATTAGCGTCATATGGAAATTCTGTACAATCGTATACGAATTCGTCGCAACTACTGTCGTTTTCTATTCTCGACGAAAATCAAAATGATATTCGAATAAGTCGAATGGAATTCTTCATTCCTCGAGATCCGAACAAGTTAATTCCACCAATGTTTTTCCAAAACGTAACAAGAATGAACGAGAACAAACTATTATTTCATTTCTATTCGTTTGAATTAACAAAATCAAATGAAAATCAAACATTTTCCATTCATTTCGAAATTCATCCCTTGAATTCCAACATCTCCTATCTATTGATTTATCAATTCGATCACAAACCTCGAATACATTCAATTCAAAACTGGACATACCTATGTCCTTCCAATTCAACAGCCGATCAGACATATCTTCACTTTATCGACAATTCTCAAACATCCAACCATCATTCAATCATTTACGGAATTCGTGAATTAACATTCGAAGAAATGAACATCTATTGTTCAGATAAGAAATTCTATCAAAATCTCGATCAGCCAAGAAGATTTTCATCGGATTATGAAATTCGACTTTATCAATCGAGTTGTTTGTATCTTGATTCGAATAATATTTGGAAATCGAACGGTTTACTAGTTGGGTCTTCAACTACTCATAATCAAACACAATGCTTTTTAATACATTTAACATGAAATCTTCAAGGATTTTACCTTTTCTTTGTACTTCGACGAGTTATATTTAGTCATATTCTTTTTTTAACATGACTTTTCAATCTTGTGAGCTAATGCATTGAACCCACTTGGTCTTATCGAAATAAATTTACACGCTTTAACTTCATTTCCCTATTTTCTTAATATTGACAACGTGATTCGATATCTTTATTTTCTAATGAATAGTGTTGTATCGATTATTTCTCGCATAGCAAAGACGAAAAGAAAGTGACGTTTTCGGTACAAACAGAAATATTCTGTTTTTTTCCTCAGAATAAATAATCATGTGAACGCTATAATACAAAACACATTTTCTTGTGACTATTAAAATGGCATCATCTTGTCAAAGGTTTTGTCAGGGCTTACTTTTCTGTTTAAAATACTAGATTGCATTAATTATGCTATTTGAATGAGACGAACAGAATCAGGAGTGGAAATAAAATATCATGGATTTAACCACCGTGTCGTTTGGTGTCATCAAAAGAAGAAGAAGAAATGATGAGTAAAAGCTTTAGTTCACTTTTAGTTGAAACAAACTTTGAGCAATTGAGTATCTAATAGAGAATGTTCGAATTTGTCGGATGTACAAACATCGTTTCGTGATGTGAGAGAGATGTATTTCTATACGATGGAAACGAGGTGTGATGACATGGCTATCGTTCTTTCGTTTTCGACCCATTATGTCTCGTGACTTCTTCTTTCTCTGGTTGATCGAGGTGGTATGCCAATAGTTCCTGTTGACCTCGATTGTGTTCTAATGCGTAAATGCATATACTTTCACATAAGATATAGTCAGATAGATAATAACAGAACGCTCAGTTTAACTTCTGAGTTTGAAACGACAGCGGTCCTTGCTCATTTATTTATTTCATTGTCCTTTTAGCATAACAGTTAAATAATACTTGGCATCAAAGAATATTTAACAAACAAAACACGAGTATCTCATGTCGTCGTGGGCAGTCGTGACAAAAATGGTCATAATACTCTATGCTGGTAGTGGCTTTCTCTTTTCCGGTTTATTCGGTTGTTTAATGAATGTGATAATATTTTCAAGCTTTCACATGTATCGTTCTCAGCCATGCACATTTTATCTACTCATCGCAGCGCTCACTCGATTTACGCATCTTTTGATGATAGGTATTCTGCGTGGCATTGCCATTCTCTTTAACGTCGACTTGACACTTATTTCACTCGAATGGTGTAAAATGAGATTTCACATTGTGAGTACTTGTTTTGGTTTGGAGATGACCTTTGAATGCTTGGCAACAATTGATCGGTTTTTGATAACATCCAGAAAGGTCTACATACGACAATTGAGTAATATCAAGATGGCTCATCGTGTTACTGCTGGTTTGATTGCTGTTTGGATACTTCAGAATATACCATATCTGATCTTTGTTAAAATAAAGTACGATTTTGGATTTTTGTTGAATCAATGAGGAAGATGAGAGTACGAAATTGAAGTTCGTGTATTTTCTGTTATTTTATTCATTTAGTTCGAACATCTGTGCGATTTACAATGACTTTTGGCAACTTTATTCTACTTATGTGAATAGATGGGTTTTATATACAGCAGTTCCTTTGATTGTTTGCATCGTGTTTGGTATTCTTGCACATGGAAATATGCGCAGTTTGAAACGTTCCCGTCAGTTACAGAAAGCGGATCGTCAACTCTTCTACATGATCTTTGGGCAAATGATAGTCACTGTTCTTCCAGTTATACCAAGCGCTGTTTTCGATGTGTATTCACCCTCGGCGATTTCTGTAAAGCAAGCTGCTGAAAAGGATATTAATTATTTTGCCTTCAATCTTCTTAATGTTCTTTGTGTATTGTGTTATGGAGTAAGTAAAGGAAATTCGTTATTTGATCGTTTTCTTATCGACTTTTCGTTATTTCTAGAGCACCTTCTTCATCTTTATCATCGTTTCAAGTATCTTTCGTAGCCGATTTAGGCAGCGTTTTTCTTGTTGTAGCAGACACCGAAATCTCGTGACAACAGTAACTATGCACAGATTCGTTGCAGAAGCAAGCCCTCGTCGTTAGCCTGACGGTAAATATTGTAAATGTTGTCCTTAAGTCAGAAGTTTTGCAACATTTTTCTCCTACAATAGTAATTGTCTTCGTTATCATATGGAGTGACTGACGAAAGATTAATGGATGTTTTTTGTGATCGATGCTGGTTTCTTGCGAATTATCATCGATGAAATCTCTTTTCGAGCTTTTTGTTTTGTGTTATTTGATTGGTCAAATGAAATTGTCGTCTAATAAAGCAAATATTCGATTGTATTGGAGTACGTTTACCATTTTAATTAACTTACTTTTCGTTTTTTGATATGCATTAAAACTTCTTCGGATTGAATATCATCTTGATCAGGCGAACTGACGGATTTATTGAATGCTTGACTGGGAAAGTAAACAAAAGTTGATTTGAACTGCGCTTCAACTTATATGCTAACTTACCGGCTTTCAGCTTCATCTTCTTCTTGTTCAAATTGTTTTTGTCGGTTATGTTTTTCATTTAAAATTTGTTCAAGATCAATATTTGCGCGTCGATTCTTGAACTCGATGATGTCTTCTAGTTCTTGAATATCAGCCATTTCTCGTCGTGAGTCACGTGTGCGTTTTTCTAATAGCTTAAACATAAAATTCATTGAGAGGGTGGATAATTCAATCAAATTTTACCATCATACGATCCAGATCTTCTTTTTCATCTGGTGTTGAACGAGTCGGTTGGAAGAGTCGTGTAGCACCATGCTCTAACTCATAATCATTGTTTTTCGGATCAGTCTATTGACAAAACAACGAACAATTTGTTTCTTTATAAAACCAAACTTGACTTTTACTTTAAAAGTGATCTCACGTAAACATTTCGTACATCTTATATAGAACCGATAGATTTGAATGTCATTCAAATAGGTTTCTCCTATGGCATCTTCTTTGCGAGCATTCAACTTTGTAGCTCGGTAGATATATTCACCACAGGTTTCGCATCTATTGAAAGAGACATCGGCAGAGATTATGAATAGAACAACGGAATCTTTACCTGATGTGAAATGGAACCATTAAACGGACTTCAAAGGAATTATTCTCTTTACGTTTAACACAAGGTATCTTCGATGGATTGAAATTGGACGAATAATATTTCTAAATACGAGAACAGAAAGTAAACGTTTCGGTATGCGGAATAACTATATACAGACATTCAAAACTTTTCGCTCACTCATGGTTTAATATCAACACAGCAATCGTTGACAAACTGATGTCAAGTTCTTTTCACTCAAATGTTATTGCGAAACGAAGCGAAGTTGCTACATTTGAACTCCGTATTGGATTATACACAGCCAATCAGAATCCATGAGAGCGTCTATAGTAAAAGTTTGAGGTAAAATTCTTGTTTTTTTCAAGTAGGTATGTATAATGAACCATTATGTACACTGTGTTTCACTTCTTTCGTTTAAAATTATCTTGCATATAAAAGCATCATTAAGCTTTACGTAGACCAATTAATTCCATCGATGATAAAGTTGTTCAAGAAGTCAATGAGCTCAAAAATTTCCCAACAGACAATTAACGTAATCACCAACAGCATTTATATGCAGTTTGCCTGGGATTTGTGGTTAGAGAGTCGTTAAAAATGAATTTCAAGACGATTACAATGATTTCGTAGCTCTCACACCCCGTTTCATTCGAAATCATTGGTCGCTTAGTATGAACTATTTCTAATTGATAAGTTTTACAAACACATTGATAAACTATTAGTTGTCTTCAACGAGATAACAGTCATACAAATTTCAAAGCAAATATAAAGCAAACCGTTTATCTTTTTCTTTCTCCTAACATACTCCCTGTGTTCTATGTTGTAAGAAAAACGACTCAGCACAGAAGGAAAAGACAATCCACGTGCGTCAGTATAAAACAGCAATCTATATAAAGGTTTTGTTTTTTTGCGTCGAACAAATTTTACCTGTAAAATATCGTTAATGAAACATTCAAACACATTATATGCAAAGAAAAATCTTTACTAAGCCTATTTTATGTTACTTCTTCTAGATCTTAATTATGGTTCTTCAATTGTACACTGATTGGCTATCTGAACCATGCCGTGCTGTAGGTATTTTACTATTGGAAAACAACATAGAACATGACGTTCATGAACTAGATGTTCTCAAAGGAGAAACACACACGGATTCATATAAGAAAATTAATCCTGTTGGGAAAATTCCATCAATTGTGGACGATGACGAATTTCATCTAGGCGAGTCTCATACAATCATGCGTTATTTATGTGAGAGCAGAAAGTTGCCTGATCATTATTATCCCAAGGATATAAAACAACGTTGTCGAGTGGATTTTTGGTTGGATTGGCATCATACCAACTTGCGGCATGCAGCTCTTCGTTTAATAAGAGCAAATGTATTTGGTCCGATGAGAAATCTTCCTCAGACAACGATCGATGAGTCGCGAAAAGAAGGTGAAACTGCTTTACAATCAAGTTTGACCTTTATGGAAGAAACGCTTAGTAAAAATAATTATCTTGCTGGTGGAAAACAATTATCAATCGCTGATATCGCGTTGGTATGCGAAGTGGTGATGTTTCCAGTTTATGGAGCTTCAACTGATGGTTATCCACACGTTGAGACTTGGCTTAAACGACTTTCAACAGAAATCAAATGTTGGAATCAAATTAATGCTAAGTTGGATCAATTTCTTGCTTCAAAAAAACAATAAATTAGTATTTGTTTTAAGAACTTTGACGATTCTCCTCTTTTTTATTTTAATCAAAATAAAGATTTAGACTTCAGTCTCTGGATTATGAACATTATGTCGATTTCTTTTCATACTGATCGAAGTATAATTTGAAACATTCCTGCCCTAAAAGGAAACATGACGAAATACGCGTAAGACAGATTCTACTGGAAGAATTACCTTTAGCTGAGAGTTTTGTCACGTCCAATTTGCTTACGCGATTTTCGAAAAGAGTGATTCGTGTTTCACGATTAAGATCTACTTGACAGTTTACAAACCAATTGAAACCGAGTTCGCGTTCAGTTGAAGAAGCTTTGCCATTTGATATCAGCATGTCCCAGAGCTCTTCGCATCGATTATATAATAAATATAAATTACCTTTTTTAAGTAAAACCGAAAGCAAATCCAGATGAATTTCAATGGCGTCTTCGTTTGTACATCGCCCATGAACTAACGTAATATGTTTCATTGAATTTTTTGCTTTATCCTGTGTAACTAATTGACAAGCAAAGATATTTTGAATCAATATATGAATAATATCATGCTTGATCACAAGCACCTGAATTATATCGAAGTTACTGCGCTCGACGACTGTAGTTGTATGAGTTGAACTTAGGATTTCTATAAGGTATCGAATAGCTGAAATTGTGTAGTCTTGTTTTTGTTGAAGATGTTTTACGCATCTCAAACAGTATTCACGTCTGAGTTCATCGTGCGGTGAACGTTCTTGATTGAGGATAAGACAGTGACTTTTGAAAATACGTTGCTGTATTACTTCGTTCAGTCGATTATCGTGCGCTATATTCCATAATACTTCTAAGACCTTTACATACATGAGAAATTTCGATCATTGGTGTTTAGTATCAAATAAATACACATACTCGTGCAGCTAAATCATGTTGACAGTGTTGGCCAATGCTGCTTAACAGTGAAATAAATTTCGACGGCGCTGCTATTCCATCGATATGGCAATCCCATAACTGAATTTGAGAAGACAACGATGGTTTCTCTCTGATGCAATCTGCTACTCACTTCCTCGGCAAAATCGATTATATAATTGAACTGTTCGCGAGTAAGTGTCGGTGATGTAGATTCAATAAATGTCAATAAATTATCGACAGTTATTGATGATAGTTTCCGCTAACAAAGTCAAAGTATTCATAAAATCATGAGCATGAATATTCCTATGGGTTTTACTTTAAGATTAGGTCGATTTGATATAACTGGTGTCTCTTGTTTAATTTTGATCATCTGAATGAGCGGCACGTCTTCATCGTTCGATAGTTGAATCGTCGTTGTTGTCTGAAGCTGCTGACGCATTTGTTTCAATGTTTCTGTCCATGAGGCTATATTTACCTCAGATATGAAATTATCTGATTGTCGACTTGATCGAATTTCATTGGTGATCTTTGCACATGACGTCTGCATTGTATTTTGGAATCCTTGAATCTGTTTTTCTACATCTCGACGAGTCTCGTCTGCCACTGTTCGAATCTTGACAATCGACTCTTCTTCCCATCGATCAATATTAGCTAAAAGAGGATGGCGGGTAGAAAGCCCTTTGAAATCCTCTTGAAGTGAATCGTGCTCTTGAGCAACCAAATCCATTTGAAGAGAAAGATCGGATTTATGTTCATCAATATGTTTCCAACAAAATGATCTACGACAGCCATGGCATGTAAATAAACCACCGCTTGTAACTTGACATTTTACGCACGAATTATTTTCTTTGGTAACATTGGTATCCATGTTGAGTAGTCGACGATTCGCACCTTTCCTGACGAGAACAGTGGAAAAATGAAAAGACCCAAAATTTTATCATTTTCACAATGACAAAGATGAACAACTTGGATTTTTCCTTATACGGAAAAAAACTTTTTCACCATTGCACGACTTTATCATTGAATCTGTGGAGGATACGAGTCAGCGCTATATACTGACATCTGTCTTGTTACCTTCAGTGGTAAGAGCGATAGAAAGCAAAGTTGATCTTAGGACCAATATTTGTATTCATCAGTGAGTATGTTATTTTCACGAGGAGTAAGAGTGATTATTGTTCTTATTTACTCACGATCTCACCCACATTCTTCATCGAATAAAGAGAGAGAGGGCGATTGATCTTTTTTTTAATCTTGAAAATTCTCAAGCAAAAATATCAAAATCACAAATGTCGTTTCAATCGTAATAGATCCTTCGTTAATCTTTACACACAGTAATGAGTGAAAATCGATTATATTTTTATTCTATTGCTAAGCAAAACAAGATAAATATCTAATCTTCATGATAATCCTGTTTTTTTTTCTCTCTCCATCTTTATTTGCGACAACAATCATCAGATATTGTGGCTTTTTCTTCGTCGTAATACTACAAAACAAGTAGGAGAGGCGACCTATAAATGTTACCTTCAGTGTTTTTTACTATAAAAAAAAAGAAATCACTAAAAAGATCAGATATAAGATTGCCGATTTGACATTGCACACACAAACAAAATACGTCTGGTGATATGAAACAAACGTTTTTGCTTGGTAAATTTTGTTTTATTTCGCATTCATGGGTTTATTTTTGCGGTTCATCATTAGTTATAGGACTGATTTTGGTGTCGCCGACAATAAATCAAATACTTCTTACAAATGTTCCTTTTGAATGTCGAAGCAAACAGGATGGCTTCTGGCGTGATTTGAGATACTGTGATGTCATTCAGGTTTGTGTAGGCGGTGAACATAAACGATCGTACGGGTGTCCTCAGGTTGGAGAACGATTTTATTTTGATGAACAGACTCAGAGGTAAGCACCAATGGTGATGATAGGTGGTTTGTTGTATGATATGTGTTTTGATAAAGATGTGAATTCGCCTCGAAAGATACAGCCGGTTGTCAGTCGAATCAATATTTCACTTCAATCACAAATGCTACTACGCCTTCCGGAGCACAACTGAGCACACCTGGTAAACTGGATTAGTTTTGATGATTAAGAAAATCTGTTATTTTCTTTTTGTAAAGCTCCTACTGAGCCATGGAAAATCTTCGCAAGATCGCAAGAGCAATTTAACTGTGCAGGTAAGGAGAATTTACCTCAACATAGACACATTTCGTTCTTTATCAACTCAGGTCGACAGGATGGATTCTATGCTAGCCGATGGTGTAACGTGTTCTATCGTTGTTACAGTGGTGTCTCCAATGCGTTCCTCTGTCCATTACAGCCTGGTGGTGCACGTCTTTGGTGGGTTCAGCATGGATCCTCTCAAGGTTTATTCGAAGAATCAGTGGCAACATGTACTTATCCTTGTGACACGGGTAGACAATGTTCAAGTGCCGGAGGAATCATTGTAGAGAATGGAAATCAAATTAGTGAAAGTCAACAGGAAGCTGCAAATGCCTACAGACAGTCTCCTTGCTCTAATCGAACGAGTTCTGGCGCTGGAGCAGGACAATTCGGGTCTGGCCAGACAGGCACAGGACAATTTGGGTCTGGTCAGACTGGAACAGGACAAATCGGATCGGGTCAAACAGGAACTGGTCAAATAGGAGGAGGAAATCAAGGAAGTACAGGAGGTAAGAATTTTATATTAATATTATTATGACACACGCAAAGTATCGATACTTTTCAATCTATTTGAAGGTACGTTCACTGTTGACTCGGATGTCAGTTGCGCTGGCAAACCAGATGATACATATTTGTCCAGCCGTTATTGCAACGTTTTCCATCGATGCGTGTCAGGTGTTAGATTCGATCTCCGATGTCCTCGTGCCAACAACATTCCCTACGATTTATGGTGGAATCAACAAACTAATCTTTGCGATTGGCCGTGTCGCGTACAATGTACCGGACCGCTCTATGCATCGAGTACAGCGGCACAACAAGTATCCAGCGAAAGTTTAAAATTTTTCAATGGCGATTGTCGAGCTTATCCACTCGTATTTAATTAAAATAAAGACTGACATAATTCGATAAAAAAACGCTCGAAGAGCTTTTTCAACACATGCCATACGACAGAAATAAGAACGTTTTGATATACTGACAAATTGTGAAACGACCCACAAAATAATAATATCATCGCATGTTGTCTTTCGTTCGTATACCATTTACTATGCAGTCTGCATCGTTAACGAACATGTGTGTAAAAGATGATTACGTTTTTTTCTTGAATGATTGTATCGTTCACAAGTCAAGTCACACTCGTTAGCATTATTTAAAGTGTGTGCAAAGAGTCATTAAAGAAATCATCACGATTGAAAGTTTTACCGGTCATAGATTTCAATTTAGTTGTGACTTACAACGTATAGAAGCCGTGGCAATATTTCTTGTGTTCTTTTCTTCAACTATGACACGTGCGTTATTTGGTAGTTATACGCTTTTGTTTTGCGTGTGTTTTGGTAAAAGTGTAATTCATAGAGAAAAAACGCCGCAGAACACTGTTGACGTCCTGAGATTGGGAAAAAAGAAAGTGGGTTTTTCTTCGCTCGTAAATTTAACCAGTTAATATTGAAACAAAGCTACTTTATTTGTGAATGGCCGCGTTTACATTCAAAGCGACGAATGCCATGTTCAAGTCATGTGAAATCGAAAACTGTCGACGTATTTCAGCCGCATTATGTCAACACTGTAAGAAAAGTGTCTGCCGACGTCACTTTGACGAACACGCGGATCAGCTTACACAAGAATTACACCCGTTAGTTGATCAAATGAACGAATTAAGAGAGACAATCAGCATCTTCTCTGTAGGAGAATATAAACTACAACTACTTAAGAAGTTAACTGAGTGGCGCGATGGAGCTATAAAAAGAATCAATAGATTATATGAATTGAAAAAGCAAAAAATCGAGATGCTTTTCCAAGAAAACGAAGAAATGTATTCAAAACAAACAAGCAATCATATAACAACTCTCGATGCACTGAAACAAGAAACGACAACTTTTATCAAAGAAAATGACGTGACAATTGAAGAACTGAACTCATTAAAAGAAAATCTCCGTAAATTAGAAAAACTTGTTAGTGAAACGCACAATGATCTTGTGAGGTGTGATGTAGAACCGTTGTCTATTAAGTACAACTCAGTTCTTGTTTATTCTGGGAAAAATAATTATATGCTGGGAGGGACATTACTTTGTGCTGATTATCAAATGAAACTGAATGAATTTTATCGCAAATCAACACAAAAATGGCAATTAATCTACAAAGCACAAATAGATGGTTTTGGTGCAAAAGATTTTCATCGTTGTTCAGATGGTAAAGGACCTACAATGACTATCATAATGAGTAAAAATGAAAATTATTTGTTCGGAGGTTACACAGCAATATCTTGGGGTTCCGATAACACATATAAAAAGGATCCAGCAGCGTTTTTATTCACTCTAAGGAATCCTCATGATATTCAGCCTACAAAATTTTCCCACAATGCCCAAATAGCCTGGACCGTCGCGCATAAGAGTTGTTTTGGTCCATGTTTTGGTGGAGTCAAGAGAAACGAAGAAGAATTAGATGACATCATTGTATGTAGTAATGCAAACGAAAGTCCAGGCTCAGAGTTTTCATTTCCATCAAGCTACCTTGATACAACTGGAAGGGGTGAAACACTTTTCACCGGAGAAAAGAACTTTATGGTGGAAGATATCGAAGTTTACACACCTTTGATTGAATAAGACTAGAAATCAACTGCAATTCAAATTATCTACTTCTACTGACATTCTCCAGATGTCCTAAATAAATAAGAATTCATTTAGTTTATGAAATATTTTGAGAATTACAATCATCAAAGCAAAACCATCATCTGCGTACATTTTTCAAAATATGATTTGAGACTTAACTGTCAACAAGACCATGGACCAACCACGATTGATGATTGGATCCTTTTTTTGCTCCTATGTGTTCCGTCTCTATCAAGGTAAATATCGGTATAGAACAAACGAACAGAAAAAAGTTCGAAAAGGAAAAAAATAAAATAAATCGAGTGTCAACAGCAAACAATGACACGTCTACTATATATAAACCACGGCAAATCGAGTTGTATTTCATAGCTCGACACACACAACACACATTCGATTCAAGCCAAAAATCTCACAAGTAAATGCTACACGTACTTTTTTACACAAAAACACAAATCTTTTTTAGGCGAAAATGTCAGGCACAGCAACAGGCACAGTTGTTGGAAAAGATGGATGTGAAAATGAGACATTTACCGGCAATGAAACATTAACAGTCTGTGTTCAAGATACTTCTCTCATGGACGCACCATCTAGTACACTCGGCGAACAAACAATAAGCTTGAAAGCAGGACAAACATTCCCGATTAAATATAGTGTTAGTTATGACCAAGAAAAAGCAGATCGACTTCCAGAATATGGTTTCACACTAAGTGCAAGAATTGAAGATCCAAGTGGTAAACTGCTATACATTAATGATACAAGAACAAGTGCGAGAGGCGACAAAATTGAAGTGAAAAAAGTTGTACCTTTCAATTACGAATAAGAAATTTTACTGGTTATCATTAGTCTTCAATCAGAATTTTACTAATCATACTCATTTCTATAACTTATGTTCTATTAGTCTGTCTCGTTTATTTCGATGTTTTTCTTTGTGAATTCTAAAAACACTTTGACAACAAAATTTCTTTCTTTTGTTGGACTTCAATTACATTTCGACGTTCGCCTTATTATATTTTACTTATAATGATATTTCTTACTAAATAATAAACTATTTGAATAGAGCTGCACATTTTAACAGAGAACTCATCCATTCGAGTGAAAATTTCCGATATTGCAACAGAATAATGCAATTTATTTACTGCAAAAGATTAAACAAAGCGAAATGTCGTGTGTGTTCTTATTAACAATTTGTATAATGCAGAGCAATTATCCACTCTGTTCAAAAATAATATTGGACGCATGTTTGAAAACTTCGATTGTTCATGTAGGACGAGAAAGTATGACTGTTAGTTTTGAAAAATGAATTTGCAGAACTTTGAGTGAATGAATGATTGGGTGTGGTTATTTTGATCTTTTCAATCGAAAACAGAACAATTATTCTTACCTGAAAATGATTAAATAAATCATTGACACGTACACATACTCGATTGAAGCAAATCATTGCACAGGTAAAATGCTGCACTTTTTTCGTATAATCATTCATAAGATGAGAGCAGATTCTAATCTATTCAACAATAATTAGTTATTAGATGTAAATGTCACAAGTACAAGTACTAGAGAGAAGAAAGCTAAACTCAAGAAAGCTTTATTTGCACACATTTATTTATATACAAGAAACCAGAATATATCTTAATCGTAACATAAAACTTCAACACAGTTTATTGGAAGATAACTTAACTAATCATACTTGTTTCTCGCAATAGATACATTGATCATTTTCGCTCAATGATTTGATATATTTTATTATTTGTACACTTTCTATTTCGAGCGTGTCGAATATTCTTGTATTAAATTAAAAGGTAAAGCACGCGGAAAGTTAATGTAAGAAATCAGTGAAGTGTGAGCCCTATACATAAAAGCACGTTTGTTTTCATCATTTTGCTCTTATTTTTGGGCTATCGTTTTAGTTTTAGTATTCATTGGATCTACAAAAAATGTCAGGTGATCGTCGTTTTCAATACGGAGAGATAACAGCTGAAGATATTAAAACGTTCAATAAGGTAAATATCGTGAAAGCACTTTTGATGTGTTCTTCATCTACTAATGAACTGATTCGTTTTTTAGCATAAAGAACAAATCAGTCAAGCAGTTCGAGAGAAATTTCCATGGGTTCCGGCTGATTTCGAGCTGAAACCAGTGCTCTATCGTTCTCCACCTGCCTGTGGCAAAATTGAAGATTTCAAGGTACAAGTAGAGCGAAACTCNTGAACTGATTCGTTTTTTAGCATAAAGAACAAATCAGTCAAGCAGTTCGAGAGAAATTTCCATGGGTTCCGGCTGATTTCGAGCTGAAACCAGTGCTCTATCGTTCTCCACCTGCCTGTGGCAAAATTGAAGATTTCAAGGTACAAGTAGAGCGAAACTCGATTATACCATTAAAAACGTTTCTTCCCGTGTCAATGTTGTAGGTTCCATTACCTGGCAATAAGTTTGTTCGTATTCAACTTACACGTGGTGGATATCTATACCATGCTCCAGGTAGTGAACCTACACAAGAGACAACAGGTGTTTACATCGATGACACATTAACATCTTCAGCAGATGAATAATTTCGCCTTTTCTGGACATTATTTTTTAGACTGATCAGTAATAGATTCTTCACATTCTTATTGTAACTAACATAGGCTCGTATCATTTAATTAAGAGTTCAATAAATATTAAATCTCATTAGATTAAAAGCTCGAAATGGACAGTCAGCCTGTGGCATACTTTGGTCAGATCGAACACAAATTGAAAATCCAAAATATGTAGATAAGAAACATTCCCGTCATCAAAACTGCATATGTTAGGAAAAATCTCTTGTTTTATAAGTTGCTCGTATGACAAAAAGAAAAGAAAGTTGATTTTGCACTAAACACTTCGAAGAGTACGAAAAGCAGCGTATAGTTCTTGAGCAAAGAGTTCCGGTTGTTCAAAAGCAGCAAAATGTCCACCCTTTTCCAGTTCATTCCAGTAGATCAGGTTTGAATATGTTTGTTGTGCCCAGCTCTTCGGCGCGCGAAACACTTCACGTGGAAAGACGCTAGCAGCAACAGGTAAAGTAAGCTGTGGACCGGACAACGATATTCCCAGAAGTCGACGTTCCCAGAAGAGCCGTGCTGCAGATGCACCAGTGTTTGTCAGCCAGTACAAAGTGATGTTATCAAGTATGTCGTCGACCTTGACTGCATCTTCAGGCTCGCCCTTGTTATCTGTCCATTCGTAGAATTTCTCGTAGATCCACATAGCCAGTGCAACGGGCGAATCACACAGTCCATAACCGATGGTTTGAGGTCGTGTTCCTTGTTCTTGAAAGAATCCCCATCCATCGGAGAGGTAGTAATTGGCTCCTTCCAGCGCGCGTTGTTCTTCAGGCGAAGGATTGTCGGGTAGATTTTCAGGGAAAACAAACTGAAAATTGAGGTGAATACCGAGAAGGCCTTCAGGATGCATATAACCGAGTACTGTTGCCACATCAGCTCCCCAATCACCACCTTGAGCAACCCAACGTTTATAGCCTAAACGTTGCATAAGCAGGACCCAAGCTCGAGCAATGCGTGCACTGTTCCATTCAGTTTCTTTTGGTTTATCACTGAATCCATAGCCAGGTAGGGATGGTACGACGACGTGAAAGGCATCTTCGGCCTTACCTCCAAACGCCACAGGATCGGTGAGACGTGGGATGACACGAAGAAATTCGATGAATGAACCTGGCCAACCATGAGTGAGAATGATCGGCAATGCGTTAGCATACTGTGATTTGACGTGAATGAAATGAATTCCAACACCATCAATCATTGTTCGAAAGTGAGGATATTTGTTAGCTCGACTTTCGAAACGGCGCCAATCGTAGTACAGACGCCAGTAGTCGACGAGTGATTTAGCCTTGTCGAGAGGCACACCTTGTTTCCAATCATCAACTGTTTCACGGTCAGGCCAACGTACCCATTCGAGACGATGTTTCAGATTATCGAGTTCCGACTGTGGAATATTGATGTGAAATGGTTCAATAGCATCCGATTCATTGCTTGTCTGATTCGTAGTCATTTTGAAACCGACAATTATCTGAAATAAGACAAAATATGATATTCGTATGCATTCTTACTAAATTCAAATATTCGTTGTTCTTTTAAAAATGAAAGGAAAAAGCAAATTCTCAGTTATTGATGTTGTTCTGCTCTGATGGTCAGCAAACGTCGACGTTTTTCGTGATACTCTTGATTATTGTCACGTGCCAATTCCCATTCGTTTCGTGTGATATTTTGTGGGCCATGTTTACCCTTTTTGCATCCATTTGCGTTGCCCGATGTTTGTAACATTTGATTACAGCAAATATATCGAAAGCGTTGTTTTGCTCGTTCAGCACGTTCCTTCTGTTCGTTCGTCAGTGGACCATTTCCAACATTTGCCTGTTGTACAGCCTCCGCTTCTTCAATGAGTAGCTGTTCGATCGCGCGTTCAGGTGACCATTGAGTTAGCGTGTTTGAATAATTATCATAGACAAATCCATCATGATGAACACATTGTCCTACTTTGTTGTCTTCCTCACTGTAAAAATCATTGCATTGGACACACCGCAGTGTTTGTTCAGCTTCTGCTCGATCGGCTGCTCGCTGTTGAGTTTCACTGACGGATAAAGTGAATTGAACATCGTCGCAGAATTGACGACAGAGAAATGGATCACGGATGACCACGATCGACCATTTCTCTTCCACCTGAGTTGAATCATCGCTCGAAAGTGTCGGTTCAATATGAGCTAATTGAAAGTTCTCCTTGACAAATATGTATAAGTTTTGATTGGCCAGCGACTGACTACTTGACAAACCCATGGAAGAGACGGACTCGCTTTTGTTAACACCGACTAACGAATCCAAATCGTAGACAATCATTGAACGACGGTAAGCGACATATTCATCCAGACGATCTTTCAATATTTCGAATCTCTGTTTCTCATCATATGCACTTTNTGAACTGATTCGTTTTTTAGCATAAAGAACAAATCAGTCAAGCAGTTCGAGAGAAATTTCCATGGGTTCCGGCTGATTTCGAGCTGAAACCAGTGCTCTATCGTTCTCCACCTGCCTGTGGTAAAATTGAAGATTTCAAGGTACAAGTATAGAGCGAAACTCGATTATACCATCAAAAACGTTTCTTCCCGTGTCAATGTTGTAGGTTCCATTACCTGACAATAAGTTTGTTCGTATTCAGCTAACATGTGGTGGATATCAATGCCATGCTCCAGATGGTGAACCTATACAAGAGAAAACAGGTGTTTACGTTGATGACACATTAACATCTTCAGCAGATGAATAATTTCGCCCTTTATGAACATTAGTTTTTAGACTGATCAGTAATAGATTCCTAACATTCTTATAAAGACTAATAAATGCTCGTAGCATATAATTAGGAGTTCAATAAATATTAAATCTCATTAAATTAAAAGCTCGAAATGAGCAGTAAGATCGAACACAAATTGAAAATCAAAAGTATGCAGATAAACAATATCCCCGCCATCAACATTGCATATGTTAGGAAAAATCTCTTGTTTTATAAGTTGCTCGTATGACACAAAAAAAGAAAACTGATTTTGCACTAAACATTTCGAAGAGTACGAAAAGCGGCATATAGTTCTTGAGCAAAGAGTTCCGGTTGTTCAAAAGCAGCAAAATGTCCACCCTTCTCCAGTTCATTCCAGTAGATTAGGTTTGAATATGTTTGTTGTGCCCAGCTCTTCGGCGCACGAAACACTTCACGTGGAAAGACGCTAGCAGCAACAGGTAAAGTAAGTTGTGGACCAGACAGCGATACTCCCAAAAGTCGACGTTCCCAGAAGAGCCGTGCTGCAGATGCACCAGTGTTTGTCAACCAGTACAAAGTGATGTTATCGAGTATGTCGTCGACCTTGACTGCATCTTCAGGCTCGCCGTTGTTATCTGTCCATTCGTAGAATTTCTCGTAGATCCACATAGCCAGAGCAACGGGCGAATCACACAGTCCATAACCGATGGTTTGAGGTCGTGTCCCTTGTTCTTGAAAGAATCCCCATCCATCAGAGAGATAATAATTCGCTCCGTCTATTGCGCGTTGTTCATCAGGCGTGGGATTGTCGGGTTGCTTTTCGGGAAAAACAAACTGAAAATTGAGGTGAATACCGAGAAGGCCTACAGGATGTATAGAACCGAGTACTGTAGCCACATCTGCTCCCCAGTCACCACCTTGAGCAACCCAACGTTTATAGCCTAAACGCTGCATAAGCAGGACCCATGCTCGAGCAATGTGTATACTGTTCCATTCAGTTTCTTTTGGTTTATCGCTGAATCCATAGCCAGGTAGGGATGGTACGACGACGTGAAAGGCATCTTCGGCCTTACCTCCAAACGCCACAGGATCGGTGAGACGTGGGATGACACGAAGAAATTCGATAAATGAACCTGGCCAACCATGAGTGAGAATGATCGGCAATGCGTTAGCATACTGTGATTTGACGTGAATGAAATGAATACCCACGCCATCAATCATTGTTCGAAAGTGAGGATATTTGTTAGCTCGACTTTCGAAGCGACGCCAATCATAGTACAGACGCCAGTAGTCGACGAGTGATTTAGCCTTGTCGAGAGGCACACCTTGTTTCCAATCATCGACTGTTTCACGATCAGGCCAACGTACCCATTCGAGACGATGTTTCAGATCATCGAGTTCCGACTGTGGAATATTGATGTGAAATGGTTCAATAGCATCCGATTCATTGCTTGTCTGATTCGTAGTCATTTTGAAAACGACAATTATCTGAAATAAGACAAAATATGACGATCATATGCATTCTTACAAAATTCAAATATTCGTGGTTCGTTTAAAAACGAAATAAAAACGCAAATTCTCAGTTATTGATGTTGTTCTGCTCTGATGGTCAGCAAACGCCGACGTTTTTCGTGATACTCTTGATTATTGTCACGTGCCAATTCCCATTCGTTTCGTGTGATATTTTGTGGACCATGTTTACCCTTTTTGCATCCATTTGCGTTGCCCGACGTTTGTAACATTTGATTACAGCAAATATATCGAAAGCGTTGTTTTGCTCGTTCAGCACGTTCCTTCTGTTCATTCGTCAGTGGACCATTTCCAATATTTGCCTGTTGTACAGCCTCCGCTTCTTCAATGAGTAGCTGTTCGATCGCACGTTCAGGTGACCATTGAGTTAGTGTGTTTGAATAATTATCATAGACGAATCCATCATGATGAACACATTGTCCTACTTTGTTGTCTTCCTCACTGTAAAAGTCATTGCATTGGACACACCGCAGTGTTTGTTCAGCTTCTGCTCGATCGGCTGCTCGCTGTTGAATTTCACTGACGGATAAAGTGAATTGAACATCGTCGCAGAATTGACGACAGAGAAATGGATCACGAATGACCACGATCGACCATTTCTCTTCCACCTGAGTTGAATCATCGCTCGAAAGTGTCGGTTCAATATGAGCTAATTGAAAGTTCTCCTTGACAAATATGTACAAGTTTTGGTTGGCCAGCGACTGACTACTTGATAAACCCATGGAAGAGACGGACTCACTTCTGTTAACACCGACTAACGAATCCAAATCGTAGACAATCATTGAACGACGATAAGCGACATATTCATCCAGACGATCCTTCAATATTTCGAATCTCTGCTTCTCATCATATGCACTTTCGTTCGATAGTAAACTCAAATCGATCACTTGAAACAGTTGTACATTGCGCGATTTTCCGTAAGTGGTCAAACGCTCGAGTAGCTGCTGCACATCTGTCTCGTCGTCGTTCAGATGCTCGAGATACACAACTTTCTCGCGTTCGTTACTGACAGGATCCGTAATTTCAGCTTCAACCTCAATACGTTTGGCTGACAAATTGACGAGAACTTTGCCTGTGTAGACTGAATTCCGTTTGTTCGGAAAATCAGCATAGTGATATTGTTGTTGATGCCCGCTTTCTTGCTGTTGAGTGACATTGCGCAGAAGAATAGTAGGCAGATTTTCTGAACCAATCGTAATACGAAACTGTTGAGCAACTGTGTGACATAGTTGTAACGCTGTGCGATAATCGAGCTGATATTTGGGATCCTTTTCTTCGGCATCAATGCAATGAACAGTGATCAAACGACGAAGAGCGCTAGGAAAACATAAGTTTAAAAAGAAGTTCATGAAATGACTTCATACCTGAGAGCTGCTCCGCTAAAGTTTGTCGTTGCCATAGTTAATTTATCGAGAATGCTTGGGGTCACATGCCATGGCTTAATGCCTGATAAAATTTTCTTGCGTGCTTGTGAAGATGGTCGACCAACAAAGAACTTTCCTGACATACGTCGCAAAAATGCTTCATCCATCATGTGTAGTCGATTAGTAGCACAGAAGATCATCAGATTGGGAACATCCTTGATACCATCGATGACTGATAGGAGTACACTCAGCTTGGCCACACTGACATCGTTCGCTTCATCAGTACGCTTAGGTGCTAATGAATCTATCTCGTCGATGGACACACAACACATGAGGTATGGTGTTTGATGGCAACGCATGCAAATGTCATTGATGATTCGCTCAGATTCACCCACCAGAGATCGATTGAGTTCACCAGCAGCGAGCGGCGGTGCAACCATATTCACTCCGATGCGAACCGATAACTTGCTCATTATATCCGATTTTCCAGTACCTAAACAAGATATTTCGTCGTTGAATACTCTCAAGTAGCGTTTCAATTTAGCTCAACTCACCAGGTGGTCCGTACATGATGAATCCACGATTGGGCTTGATGAGATTTCGATCGAGATTTGTGATTCGCTCACTTAATCCTTGCTCTATACTTGCAATCATGCCTTCGATCGTATTGATCTCGGCGCGTAGTTCGGTTCTTCTCGGTTCTAGTCTTTCCATTTCAAGTTGATGCTCTTCAATTAATTGTGAAGCCGAAAAAGTTTCTTCTTCGCCCGATGTCTTCCCAGTACGTCGAGGAGCGGCCGCCCATAATTCTCGTCTTAATCGACTGATCGCATCATCATGTTGATAATAATCATTTTC